CGTGAGAACTAACATCGGCAGCAGGAGCATTCCTGAGTTTGTTTTTCCCAATTTGAGATGTGCAATTAGAGATTTGAGAATTTTCTTTCATTCTGATCACAAGTTGTTAAAATTATTAAAGTCCAGAGAGAAAGAAGATCCACAAAATGCTCCATTAGAAAAATTGGAACAAGACGAAAGTGATTTGCCTATTCGTATTGACAACACCTTTAAAGGACTCAAAGACGATGAATTAGGTCAACCGCCGCTATATTTTTGCCTGTTTTGCAATACAACGATGGGTGGAATGACATGCAACAATTGCTCAAAATTATTAGTATTAGACTCGGTCACTGAAGGTTCGTCATCATGCCCATCATGCAAGAAGGGAATAACCAGGCCCATCTGTTGTCAACAATCCATGCAAGCTCAAAAGATGCCATGGTTGATTTCAGAAAGTCATGCATCACCATTAATGCAATGCAAACAGTGTTCTTTTGGCGTCAATGGGACCAGATGCTTTACGTGTACAACCGCAGCAAAGAATACATCTGCCTCTGGAACTCCATTAGAGTATAATGGATTTTTTAAGAGAGTTTGGGATTCTGATGTATGGACATGTCCTAATTCGTGTGGAAGAGCAAAACGAGGTGGTAAGTTGTTCTAAGCGGATGAGCAATCACATCATAATTTCAATAATGGATAAATTTATATTTAAAAAGGGACCTATCAGGAAGGCAAGTTAACATGCAAGTACTGCACAAAAGGCCTTGTTCTATAACAGTGATACATGTTCAATTCAAATACCTTTTTGATCTCGTATTTTGAACATGACAAAACAAACACATGTAAATACAAATAAAGGTAAGTGAAAGGTGGTATCAAATTTCTTCACAACAGCTTTTGTGGTGGCCCCATTGTGGATTTTAAATGAACAGATTCAATATCAGACCATCCCTGTCTCATTAAGGCTGCACAGAAATTCAATGCAGTCACAACATTCTCCACCAATTGCATTTCATTCATTCATTTCTACATGACCAATGGGTTGTGAAAGAACAATATTCTTACGTTGTCTAAAGGGCACAACTCTCATCAGCTTCTCGATACGGTGCGGAATGTAATCCTGTTCATGTAATACAGTCGGAAACTTGCCAAGTTTTGTGAAAACAGGACCCAAACATGGAGAGATCAAATGCGGAATTAATTCGCATGGTGTTCATTGTTTTTTAGTGTGTTGCCTCACAGAAGAAACAAGAACTGTTCCCAAATTATTCGGGCGAGCATTTCGAATCGCAACTTGAAATTTGTGTGAAAAGTTTCGTTTAACGGTCGTGACAAAGGTAACAAGACCGATTATAAGGAATTTCAAAGAAACCAGAGTGGCTACGGCCATATCACGATGCATGCACCTCATCCCGTCCGATTTGAGAAGTTAAGCATCGTCGAGCTACATCAGTACTGAGGTTGGAGACAACTTGGGAACCTGCAGTGTTGTAGCCTTTTTTATCTTTGCAGCTCATGAAAATGTACTTCAAACCTTTCTTGAAGCAGTAGATTGTTATCATTGCACAATTTCTTTGGTGAAAGAACCAATTTTTTTGACACTTCCAGAGAGTGTCCTTGTCTTTGCGAACATTGGAAAATCACCAATTTCACAACGTGAGAAAACACTTCATATTCAAAAAATAGCTTACTTTCAAACATCATTGATTTCATTACATGAATTTTGAACCTGTGTGTTGACCTCTCCTTTTATTCAACAGAAATGAAATCCATAAAAACTCCAAAGAACAAAACAACAATCAACACTCACTCATATCATCTACAGCGATCGAGGAGATGTTGAGCCATCTGAAAACGCCATTCCATCACCATGATGATCCTCTCTCCTCTTATTCATCCTCATTCATAACGACCACAACAGTTACAACAACATCCGTTACGAATGGCGATGCATGCACAGCACCACGATCATGTAATGAAGACTCCTCATCGATTGACTCTTTCAACAGATCGAGTGTCAAATCACAAATGATTGCCAAATCTAAACGAATGCAAAAACTTTCCAAAAGTGTCCGAAATAACAAACCTACCAATCTAGTATTGATCCAGCACAACCATACCAATACCAAAGCAAACCAGCAACAAGCCAAAAGTCACCTTAATAATTATCTTTCACAATTCTGTAACCACAACAATGAAAGATCTTTGATTCAATCCTTGACCTTTGATTACACTTTTCAAGAACGAATTGGTTGTGGCGGTTCTTCCTCTGTATTTACAGCCATTCACAATAAGAGTGGTGAAAAAGTAGTCATTAAGAAAATGAACTGTTCTTCGCCACTCTTTTATGATAACTTCCATGAAACAGGTGTCGATCATTCCTATTCGGAATATATTGAAAGATGTTTTGTAAATGAAATTCAAAAATTGACCAATCTTCGAGGTTGTGACCATTCGGTTCAAATAGTAGACTCAATTCTCACCTCACATACAAGTGTTTGTGACATGTTTATAGTGTTGCAGTATGAAGAGGGAGTCATTTCATTGGATCAATGGATTCAACAACTCAAAAATTCCCATATTTGTGAAAAAAACAATAATAGGATGATGATTACTGAACAATGTTTGAGGGAATTGAGTTTCAAGTTATTGAACATTCTCGATCAACTTCATCGAAGTCATAAAATCGTTCACAGAGATATTAAACCTTCAAATATATTGGTCAAACCTTCCTCCTCCACAAAAGTCATGTTTGAAAAGATGTACTTGTGTGATTTTGCTTTTGCTTCAAACATTGTGACAGATGTCAATAATGTCAATGAGAGACATTTCGATCATTCATGCACTGAAATTTATGCATCTCCTCAAAAACTGCACCAAGTTTCTTCTTCACACAACAACTGTCATTCCTCAACAGATCCATTAGATGATATTTGGAGTGCAGGAATGACCATTCTTGAAGTAATTTTAGGACATTCGCCTTTGGTTTCTTCACAACATGGATTCTTTCATCAAGATATTTTGCATTTTGATTTCGATTTGTTCATTCACACTCATTCCACCAAATTTTCTCATCTTTCGAAAGATTTTCTATATTTTCTTTCGAAATGCTTGAGTGTTCATCTCAAAGATCGACCTTCTGCCTTTTCATTGATGGAATTATTAAAATAATAAAAAAATAGAGTTGAAAATAAATTTAACGTTTTTCCAAATCGAATGATACTTCCAATTAGAAAACAATGTGATCGCACTTCCAAGGGTCATGCAAAGAGACCACCAATGATATCAATTGTGGTTGATTTTCCCATCCTCTGTCAGGTCATTCCATTCTCGTTCTCACAATGACCTCAATTTTTCCGTCACAAATCAAAACATTATTTTGGCGAGGCAAACCAGCGCTCAAAAAATGTCTCACTATAATCCTCTCTTTGACGAGAATGACGAAACACGGCAATATGATAAAAGGTAAGAACTCTTCCTATGGCTCATACAAATTCATTGTCCACCATCAATTCATGTTGATGACTATTCAAATTTCACATGACATTTGGCATCATCATGATGTGTGTCTCTCTGTCAAAAAACACAACCATCACTACCATCACCACAACAACATAGCTCAACACTCAAACAACCTGTGAAAACAGTCACTGTTTCCTCCTCGACACGACGAGGACTCATGAAAAGAACTCACACCAAAGTGCAGTCCACAAGTTCCATGATGATGATGCCCATCACGAATCCTCATCATGAATCCTCTTCATATCATCATTCTCATGTTTTATCCTCTTCCTTACAACCTTCCTCCCCATCAAGTCCTTCTTCTTTCAATTCTCATCAACAACAACTCTTGTCCTCATCTGTTGCGACGACCACCACGGCCTCTTCATCCGCCTCTTCTCACACGACGACGACGACGATGATGAAACGTCCACCCATTCTTGTGACTCGACGAAATACTTCCAATGTCCATTCGACGAGTATGTCGGAATCGACGCCAACCACTCCGAGTGGAGGAAGAGAAGGTGGAGTGGATGGTCATCATTGGGTTGCATCCTCATCATTGGGAACGAGTCCCTCACACCAACATTTCTCAATTTCGGTTCCGAAGTCGCGAACGACAACTCTCTCCTCTTCTTCTTCCTCTCCGAATGTCCTATCTCCTTCTTCATCGATGTGGAATCATCATGACCACCACAACCATCATCGTCATTCCATAATGAAAACCCATTCATTGATGGACCATTTGGACGATGCGAATGATCGTTCTTCAGAAGAGTCCTATTATGATCCTCGTATTCATTCTCCAATAACCTCATCGAGGAAAGAAAAGAAAAATCATCATCATTCCTATCGTCAAGCATCATCATCGGCGTTCACTCCGCAGCAGCATCATCACCAGGATGGAGAGTTGTACGAAGGAGATGTCTTATTTAGGAAGAGCAGCAGCGATGATAATGAATCATCTTCCAATGAGGATCGTCATTATAACGAGGAGGTAGAGGAGTACAATTTCAATAATAATATCAACAACAACAATAATCACCAAAAACCATCATCATCTGTCCATCATCATCAACCGCTTCAACAAAAGAGTAAGACATCATTTAAGCAATTAAGGCGCACAGAAACTGTTACTCCTGAAATCATTGGAGGAAATGTTTCTCATCATCATCGTCCTTATGCCCCCTCAAAATTTGGAGGGAGGACAGTTCCGAGAGGAACAGTCTCTAGCTTTGCAGCTTCCTCTATCATGCCCTATTCATCGGTTGGGTCCATGCTCGATGATAGGGTTGAAGGGTTTGAAAGCGACCCGGAATCAATCTCGGACGAAGATGATGTCTTTCTAGAGTCTGCTGCCATTCTCAACAACAACAACAGACAAAATTCACCCAATATCTTGTCCTCTTCGCCTCGAGCTGGAGTGAAAGCCACGACATCACTCTCTTCAAGTCCAACTCAGAAACAATTATCGAGTCAAGTACCTCCTCTCAAGCAACCAAACATTAATAGCAGTAGCAGTGCGGAGCTACTCACTTCACGAAATCACACAAAAGGCATGTATTATAGAATGCTCACTGGAGCAGCTACAACACGAGAGAAAAACAGAAAACTTGTATCAAAAAAGAATATATTTGGATTACCCATGTCGTTTTCAAAACAGCCTGCTGTCAAAAGTACAATAGAGTATAAGAATGAAGAATACTTGAAAGAAATGCTTGGAAAAAATAAGAAGGATGCAACCACACCTTCATCCTCTTCATCAAAACAAGGAGCAAAAACGATAACAGAAGAATCTTCTTCAAGTGATACACTGGAAGATATGCAAGACAAATTAGTAATGTTCCACAAAATTCAATGTTCTGAAGGAGCTCTTTCTACAACACCTGGCAGATCGTTTTTGGATGTTCCAAAAAAACCTGTCAGTACGGACACAAAAAAAGAAGACTCTAAGAAAAAGACTGCACATCATCATGATTCATCACCAGCAACACCTAGCCCAAGACAAATCGATTTTAACTCAAACATTAAGAAATATTTCTACAAGGTGAATGCAGGAACTTGTACTACTACTCCATCTTCCGTTTCTTTGAATACAGAGAATATTGATAAGAAACAATTTGAGGTGGTTTATTGGACTACCTACAAGGATTTAGCAGAAGAAGAAAATATTATTGATAATTTCTTCGTTTCTAACTTTAGTGCTATGGATTTGTTGTACAAACTCTTTTACAACAATTCGGCAAACCCCAAACGAAAAAAGAAGCTAAAGGTTTTGTACAATGCACAAATCATATCAGAACAATTAGAACAATTGAAGGATATTTACAAACAAGTTACCAAGTTACGAATGTGTACACTTGTGAAACAAAGTGATGACAGATTACAAAAAAATCAGATAATTCACCAAGAAAAACTTAATGCCTCTATCTCAGAAGATGATGGAATAGAACTAGTTGTGAATGAGAAAGGAGAAATTGATATTTTCAGCATGAAAAATATTATCAATAATTTAGATCTAGAAGTCGTAAATGAAATTAGCCACATACCAAAAGACAAACAGAGAAATATTACAGTGAATGCTGAGGTTGGACTGGGCACAGAAACACCAAAGTCAGATTTTATTACTTTGAAGGATTTAGAAAGCGAGGATCGTTTTGATCTATCAGCTAAAATTACCAGCGACGCCAAAATCGAGTTCTATACTATTCGTAACTGGTTGACAAAAATTTTAGCAGCAACAATTAACAGAAAAAAGAAGGTGGTGAAAGACAGTATGACTGAAGAGTCAGTTATTACAACAGATCCCAACAACAAGACACCTCGCATTGATTCCATGGCAACCTCCCCTGTGACAGCCACACTCTTAAACATGGCTGTTGAAAAAAACGATGCTACTACAACTATCACAGATGACAGCCAGAATTTCAGCTCTGATTATGATACCGATCCAGATAGTTTGCATAGATGGCAGAGGAAGAGCGTTATTCGAAAAGGGCCACTTGAAAATGACACTCCTAAATTGGAAATGCTGCCAACAGAATTACTTGATTACATGACGTCTCTATCTTGCTCAGCGTCGACTCTTTTTGACACACTGGAGGAATGGGAAGTGCGTATTCATGCCTTATTCGCCTTCTTAGAAACTCTCACTCTCCAGACACCACATCAACTGAACTGTATATTAATATTTTTGGGTGATCTTATTCTCTATAACCAAAGCTTAATGAGTTCGGAATTTATTCGTGAATGTCTGATTCCTTACTTGAATACAATTCTGAAAAAAGCCAGATAGTATACCTTTTGTCGAGCTGTTTTTGAAAAGAATTACAGAGAGGTCGCGACTGTTATTCATTAGAGATCAAGCCCAAAGAACAATTAATTTGGCTTTTGACAATTTTTCATCCAAGTCTACATTGCCAGACTTTCTCACTATCTCAAGTTTCCAATTATCTATACAACTCACTCTTATTGAATTCGACTTGTTCACCATGATGGAACCTTACGAATTCTACTGCAGTTACTGGTTATCAAAGAATAGATTTAAGGTCAAAACAAGAGATCCGAGTCCCAACCTTTCACTTTTCATTCAGTGGTATAATACCGTGTCACTGTGGGTTACAGAAACAATTCTTCAATATAATGACATCAAAGAACGTCACAAAGCGCTGTGCAGATTTATCAGCTTAGCGTGGGGATGTTATTCAGTTCGAAATTACAATGGCTGTTTTGAAATTATCACAGGTCTATATTCCAACGAAGTTTACCGATTGAGTAAGACGTGGGCTATGCTCAGTGAAGAATATGTAAAGAAGGCACAAACTCTCATTGAATTAACAAGTGTGGCTAATAACTACAGAAACTATAGAGAAGAACTTAAAAATTCCAAAAAGCCCTGCATTCCAAACTTGGCCGTTCATCTCAAAGATCTTGCTTCCGTCGATGACAGCCAAGAAGATGAAAGAAAATTAACAGAGGAAGAAATGCGTCTCTTGGCTGAAAATGATCAATTCTGTAAACGAGTGTTCATTGGTCGAACTTTGGATGAAGACATTGAATACAACTTTAGCAAGAGACGGGTACAAACTACCTTAATTTGCCAATTACTGAAATATCAGAAAATTTCATACCCTTTCAAACCTAACGAATCCCTCAAGCATTACTTGTGGATTTCTTTACTGAGAATCAATGAAGATATTCGTAGAGAGACAGCCGAAAAGAAAATTAGTATTGAAAAATACATTCAAGAAAAGAAGAGGCAATTCCTTGTGAGGAGCAAACAACTCGAACCAAAATCGACAAGATAAAACCATCACAACCTTTCAAATCCTTTCACTTCTTTATGAATCATCATTGACTGACACGATACTTGTTTAAATAAGCATATCAACAACATTCCTTGTGTATTGATTGAATTCAAAGTACCGAACAATTTGCCCAATAAGCACAATTCTACATACATAGTCTATGTAGAAGGCCTCAAAATCAGAAAACAAAAAAGTCAAAGCCTCTCCAACTCATCTTTCCGAAACATCACTTGTCATGTTCTGGCTCTTCGAACACTCAATAAAAAATGAAGAACACAACGACAACTGGTAGTTCCCCAACAACAACAACTTCTATGGACACTGCCCTCTGCAAAGACATTGAACATCGTATTAAAGCTGTAATTCGATATTCATTGAAGCGAACAGCAGAAGAAGGAGAAAAGTATGCCAAAGAAATGGAAAAGGAAAAATCCATCAAAATGCCAAAAACAAACGAGTAAGTTAATTTGGAGCGTTTTGAGATGTGTGAGACGACGATGATCGTCTCATTCATCATCATGTTTAAATTGGCCATGAATACATTTACATTGTATTGACAAATATGGCAATCACAACACTTTGTTCTTCCACTTCATCATCTTCGTCGTGATGGTCATCATGACACCAATTGGTGTGGTCCATCAATCGTTGTTACTCGACGACGTTTTTGCAACAACACTTCTTCAAATTGATCACTCAAACCTCTTGACATTTGACACACACAAGATCCAAGTCCTACTCATTCAAAGATTTTCGTCCCCTCGATTTCGGAATACTTCGTAAACTTTGTGGAATGAATGATCGTGACTACTTTGCCTCGATTGGTCACTCCAAATTCGAATGGCATGAAATGAATGGTAAAAGTGGTTCCATGTTCGCTCTCACTGAAGACAGAAAACTCATGATAAAAACAATTTCAAAAGATGAAAGCAAAACCATTCGAAATATAATAGTCCCTCAATTACTGGAATACATGAAGAATGAACCCAATACATTCATTGTCCCAATTTTTGGTTTACACAAATTTTCACTCGACAACAAATCTGAATTGAGATTTGTCGTGATGAAATATCTCTTTCAACCACCACACTCTTCACTACCTTCCACTCTATTGAGTACATCGTCTCCATCGACGAGTAGTTCAGCAACATCTCCCAATTCTCCATCCTTGGGTAGTAATAATGGTGGTTCGAGTGGTGGATGGAATGCACCACTCGGAAGCGTCGGAATGGAAATGGATAAAATTTATGATTTGAAAGGTTCAACCACTGACCGTACAGCAAAGGAGGGAGAAACGATATTGAAGGATGTGGATTTGATTAATGACAATATCAAATTTAATGTGGGACAGGATTTGGTGACTGAATTGTTATTCCAATTTAAAAAGGATGTCAATTTTTTAACCTCTTGTGAAGGTGAGTAGTGGATTTTGACAAACTTTTCACATTTCTTACACTTTTTCATGTTATTCACACACCTTTGATTCACACACACCTCTGAAATGGATTGATGTTGTTTCTTCAATTCATGTCATGCATGAACCAAACAACAAACCACACCATTATATGAAACCCAAATCAACCATCTCATCTTTAACACACTCAGTGATGGATTACTCACTCGTAGTTGGTATCACGCATCCTAAAGATACTGCTATGGATATGGCACTTCAGAATTGTATCAAATACAATCGAGAAGAAAAATTACGAGATAAATTCCATGTCATGGTCAACACTCAGAACAAACAAGAATATTACTTTTTGGGAATTGTGGATTATTTCACAAAATATGGACTCATGAAAAAAGCTGCGAAAAACATTAAGAGTATGAAGAATGATCCTTCAACGATTTCAACTGTGCCACCCAGCAGCTATTCGGATCGATTTATGCAATTTGTTTTCAAAATATTTGTTTAATTTCCAAATATGTGTGTGGTCCTTTTGTATTAATACACTTCAATGTTCTACAGGAATTGTGATTTTAATATGATATTCCTTTCACATCATCCATTACGGATCGATCATGATAGCTTTTGTTCCAAAGAAATTTTAATGGGCATGTCACTTGTCTTGAAATGACTTATTTGTTGACTTTCAAGCTAAAAAATATTTGAAAATTGCTACACGATCTAACTGTTCAAAATTTTGAATACTACCTTGCCTTCAGATTGGGCGGAATATGTACTAGACTCATTTCCCTACATTTTAGTCAAATTTATTTCAAAAGTTTTATTCAAAAAGTATACAAACGTTCTGTTCGGAGAACCCTCCGCCAATTTTCGCTGGCATACAAAGACGTGATTAATATAAAAATTTAGTCCCACAGGTCTTTTGCGTCAAAAAATGTTCGGATCATCCGGAGTGTTGTTCCGAAAAGTTTCGAATGGATGTTACGTCTTCTTTGTTCGAAAATTGTCTTGATGATTCTATTCCTAACAGCATTAAGTCTATGAATTCAAAATCTTCCTCCATTGTTTTTCCAATTTCATTCTTCATGTTAATATTGATAACACCAATGGTTATGTGAAAACTTTGTGTGGCGTTTACTTGTCGAGTTATTTTAACACACAACTCGATTATTTTGATGAACATTCACAAATAGTACCTCCAACGTTGATTGGACAGAGCCACTGCTCTTTAATTCTGAAAAGAACAAATGGCCTCCATTAGAATTATTCAAAGGAACTAAGGTAAATTGATTGTTAAATGGTTACAGTTGCATTACCTTCAAAATTATCCTCCCAACAAAAAGTATTGTCCACCACAATCTCCTTTCATTTACCTCAATTCTGGAATGTATTTTGGAAGAAAAGGTGACATCAAATCCTATCTCAAAAAATCCTTTCAACTTGTGGAGAATTCTGCAAATATCTTGAACGACGATCAAGCCACACTCCAAGTCATGTATGTTGCGTAGGCAATCAATCAAACCACTATCCATTCTATCCAGTCACTGGAGATTGTAAATCAGCAATGGGTTTACCCACTTATTTAGCATGTGATCATATTCAACTGGTTACAAATTCTCAAGAAGAGAATGTCAACCAATGTGTGGTGATGAGTAAACGTAATAGTATGGCAGCATTGACGTCTAGTAGTCTAAGTGTACAAACACCCCTTGTGGTTCATGAGTAGTAATGGACCTAAATGTGGAAATTTCTGTCCATGTGTTCATCAAGTGACTCGACAAGGAAAATTGCGAACCTATTTAGAAAAGCAATTGGAATTACAACGAGCTCGTCATCTAAAAATCTTTTAAAATTGAGAGTGTTGTTCTATCAAGCGAATTTTGACTGTTTGAGGTCTCTCCTGATCAGTGCATATGTTGAAATAGTATTAATAAATGTAGTACGGAGTAATTTCGATTCCGAGTGAGATGAAATTTTCAAACTTGCAAATGACATTCAAAATTATAACGCAATCAGTAATATTCCATTTATATTGATAGTGATGAAGAAACCCTTTCTTTGACCACCTTGATCAATTCCTATTAAAGAAGAAGAAGAAAAAGAAGAAGAAAAAGAAAAAACATTCATTGATCCAATTGAAAAACAACCCGTTTTCCAATGGCAAGCAAAGAGATCACACTGATTCGTAAAAACTGGGAACCAGTCGTTCGGGATATTTCCAAGCTTCATCATTCAAGTCTCACCTTCTACGATAAACTGATCAAAGCAGTGGATGATTCTCAAATTGTACTCATCGGAGAAGCCTCTCATGGTACTCATGAGTTTTACAAACACCGAGCAGAGATTACCAAAAGACTCATTGAGGAGAAGGGATTTAATTGTGTTGCTGCAGAGGCTGATTTCCCTGATTGCTTCCAAGTGAATCAATACGTAAGGAACATTACCAACTGTAGCTGTGAGGAGGCTCTTGCAGGTTTTAAACGTTTCCCAACATGGATGTGGCGTAACACTCCTACGAAGGAGTTTTTAGAATGGCTCTGCGACTACAACAAGAAATTCAACTCGACCCAAGACAAGGTGGGATTTTATGGTCTCGATTTGTACAGCTCTGATCGTAGTATGAAAGCAGTCTTGCAGTATTTAGATTCCACCGATCGAGAAGCAGCCATGCTGGCAAGAAAGCGTTACGAATGCATGCAAGGTTTTATTGAGGGCAGACGCACAGGATCCTCTCTAAAGAGAGAGTGTGAAGAGAAGGTCATGCAAGTGCTCATGGATTTGCAATCACGTACTGTCGATGATTTTAAAAACAACTCCTCTGTCACCGAGGAAGATCGCTTGTTTTATGCGGTCCAGAATGCTCTCGTTGTGAAGAATGCTGAAAAGTATTATCGTACCATGTTTATTGATGGAAGTTGGAATATAAGAGACTCTCACTTTTTTGAGACTCTAAAAGAGACTTGCAAATATTACGAGAAAACTTATGGAAAACAAGCAAAGGTAGTTATTTGGGCTCACAATTCACACGTTGGAGATGCTTCCCAAACCGATATGAAGTTTGAGAGAGGAAATGAAATTAACATTGGAAGATTATGTAGAGAAAACTTTCCTCCCAATAAGGTATATATCATTGGGTTTAGCACTTACACTGGAAGTGTGACAGCAGCCGATCATTGGGACGAAGATCCTCACTATAAGAAGGTGAATCCTGGAATGAAAGATTCAATTGAGGATTTGTGTTATAGGGCAACTTTGGGTCAAGGTGTCGACAACTTTATTTTGCTCTTTAAGGATAACAGTGCCACTGCGTCCTCTTCAGCAAGTGGAATGAGTGATGTTGTGATCGATAAGGAACTTGTTGCGGAATTGGCCAATACAAGAGAAGAAAGAGCGATCGGAGTGGTGTATCGACCAAAAACTGAACGGCATTCACATTATTTTGGAGCACAGGTTTCGAAACAATTCGATGCTTTGATTCATTTCAATGTTACTAAAGCAGTTCATCCCTTGGACACTAAGCATGAATGGGCAAAGAAAGAATTGGAAGAGACGTATCCAAGCGGTCTCTAAAAGCCAGCCAATTCTAACTGCCCAATATAAAAAGACACATTTTACAGAAAGTTTGATCATTATATAAACAAATGATTGTTGTTGTCCTGTTGTGGAAACAATATCAATGTTCATCAACAAACGATTGTTGTTGCTCTTTTCGTGCGAGAGAAGCTGTTTAGATGACATCCATCAGATTAAGTAAAAGCAAATGCCTTCAGCCTTAGTAAGCCGCCGTCAAGATTTACAATACATTGTTTCCATAAGCCACAATATTAATAAGGCTTTAATTTGTTAAAAGAAAATGAGTTCGTTGGTGGTTGGATTTAATTGTGTGAGAATAATTGTTTCCTTCAAGAACAAAGGTTTTCCTTCATCTCAAAACGAAAATCAACGAGAATTCTTATCTAATCCAAGAAATGTTGAATTTAAACCCTTGATGAAGGACATGAATTCATTGGAACGACAAACGATCCTATCAGTATTCGAAAGGTAAAGGTCTCCCATATAGAACTCTCTTGGGAAGAGCTTAATAACCAGCCACGTGTCCCAATTATACTCAATTCTCTCGGGGAGATCGAGAGCGTAGCGACCAGCGAAGCAATCAGACTTTTGCCTTCCTTATTGGGCCTAACTATAAAAGTACAATTTTCAAAAAAGCCATAAAAAAATGCATTTTCACAACGGGCCGAGTGATGTTAAGCCTCGCAACAAGCGACCTCATCAACAACCTTCATTCACTGTTCCTTCAACCCCTAAGCTTCAAACACCACAAGTTCCATCATCACCACAACAATTAAAATTTAATTGCAACGGCTTGCCGTTGGATAAATATTCCGAGCTGCTTTTTGGCGATAGCATTTTCAATGCAAATTACAAACCAATAGCGATTAAAATAGGGACAGCATTGAAATCGACCTAGTGTAGTCAACATTGTACAAGAATAAGCGGTATATGTAGTGCGTGCCAAACCACAATGCTTGATCTTGATGATATTATTTCAAAAAAAGACAAAATATTCAAGCAGATCGAAGAATACCAAAGCCTAAAAGCTTGCTTGCACATCCATTGATCATGTATGAAATAATTGCTAAATTATTGGCTAGCTCAAAGGAGTTGACTGACACGGAATCTAAATTATTGTCCTTGTTTCGACAAGCATAGGAGCACTATTCATCAACATGGGATTTTGAGCCAAAGAACATGTTTGAGTACGTCATAGAAACACCAACAAAGAAAGTGAAGTTAGATCGTAGAACAGAACCGACTTATAATCCGCAGCTACCTGAAACAAAGCCTTTTGAGGACACTTTTTTCATGCAATTTATCTTTGACCAATTACAGAACTATAGCAGAGATCCACGACATCACCAATATTCTGATGTTGCAAAACGGTTTTGGATTCTAGTCAAATATTTTGCAGGAAAGCAATTCTTTATCAGAATGGCCGGAGCATGAAATCAACACCAGCCTTGTAATTGGTTCAACCATTTACATTACAATCTCATAATTCCTGAATTATCCACAGTTAAAAGTTGGATTCCGAAAGGCAGTCGTGGTTTCATTCCTTGTTTAAAAGAATCCTTAGATGATATTGTCAAAAATTCCCCATGTAAGAATGCATGTATTTCTGTTGATGGAATGAAAGTATTGAAACACATTGATACACTAAATTCTGAATTTGTCGGAGTAGTGTATCCATGTACCTCATTTCATCAACTATCACAATTGAAAGCAGAATCATTGACAGATGAGATGATGTATTTTTCTATTAATGCTATTGACAATTCTTGGTATATGCCTATCGGATGGTTTCCGAAAAACGAGTCAATGGACAGCACAGAATTTGTAATTAATCGATTCCAAGAAATACTTAAAATTATTGACACATCTGTGAATGTTGTTTGTGGCTGTGCTGACGGTGAAATTGACGCTAAGGCTGTACAGCAAGCAATTCAAGCTACACATAAGGATTTTGTGTTTCTTAATGATTATGTTCACAATTTTAAGAATCAAAGAAATGCTTCACCAGCTTCCAGATTTTTCATCTTATTGCAGTCCCAATGTTCAACTTAAAGGATTTGAAAAATTATTAGAACAGATTAATCAACAAGTTGCAAATTATGCCAGAAAATCAACTTTGAGATTAGATATTTGTGCACCAAAACGTATCTTTCTTTGTTGTCCAGTTCCTGATTGTAGAAAACTCAAGCCTTACTTGGTAAAAGGTTGTTTCAAAAATCATTTGATTAACAAACACAACTACAGTCTAGAAGCAGCTGCTGAGGAAGTTAAAAACATGGAGTGTCAAGAATTTCTTCACCAAATGCAGAGAGATGTTGAATCACGAAAAACTTCAGCATCATGTTGTGACAATTCCAATTCCGAAGAAACACAATCAAACACCACTAATGAATATTCGGCTGAAGAACTCAAACACAAGCCCAGTGAATTGCGGTCCATATTTAAAGGCAATATTTCGGTGATAAATTCTACACCACAAAGCATGCCATTAGAACAACAATTGCTAAAAGTTGGTCGTAAATTATATCATGTTGTGGTAATGGATTTAGAGACCACAGGCCTCAATGTCAAATATAATAATTCGATCATTCAAATTGCTTTCCTTTCCCTTGCTACAAATCAATTGCATTCAATATTTGTGCGACCAGAACCGAGTACAAAATGGCAAAACAAAGCAACAGAAATGCATCAAGAAAAGATGAATATTTTGGCGAAGAGTGATTTTCTTCGGAACGTGATTCCTGATGTGTATAATTATTTGACATGTCAAGGAGTGGCTGATGTGATATTCTTAGTTCATTCGACGTCGTTGGATGAAAAGTTTTTCACGAACGCCGTTAGTAATATTTGCAAAGTTAATTTTCATTATTGCCATACGATGGAGAAGGCTATGCTTGGAAGGGATGCTTTGGAAAAGCAATATTCATCTCTATCGGACAATCCTCCAGGAACACCTCACAATGCTGCTGTTGATGTGGTGATGTTGTACGATTTACTGTTGAAAAAGTTTGCTGATGATAAGAGCATCGTGCAAGCAGTGGAGAAGAAATTGCAGCTCCGTTTCAAACAAACAACCCTCCATTAAAGCCAGCATTTTTTTGGTTTGCTACTTTTATAGTTAGGCCCAATATGGAAGGCAAAAGTCTGATTGCTTACGCTCTCGATCTCCCTCCCCGAATTCTCTCCAACAAAAGAGCGATAGCGATGATGAATCCCATAGTGAGGAAGAGCAACATTCAAATAATAACCTCTATTGGTTGTATCTTGTCGAGAAAGAAAGAGAAAAGACAAGGAGATCTGCCATTAATGCAATTGCGAACATCACGTCAAAAATTGGAACTAATAAAACTCTAAAAAACTCTTTTGCTGAAAGGCGCTTACAAATCCATCAACAAAAAATGCAAACCATCAACGGAGTCAAATCAATTCAAGCAATTCGAAGTTGCGATTTAGATGTATATTTCAGCCTCATGATGTATGTTATTGATAGTAGTAGATAGCAACCGAATTTTTTTCTAGCCTGAATGATGTGAATAATTGTGTTTTTTGTGATCGGAATGTTGAAATTTGATGATCATCACATTCTTCAATCAATTAATTTCTCAAATTCCGATAATTGATTCATTTAATGAATGTAAGAGGTGAATTGGATGGAGAGCTTGATAGTGATTTTCTCAATGGAAAAACAGGAGAGAATAATGCGGCCATTGATTTTTCTCTTTCAGCAAATCAAAACATGTATGGCAATGGGATTGAAGATTTCATTTGTACTCCACTAACGCCGTCGTCATTGTATAAACCAAAATTGGAGGACATGTATGTGGAATGTGGCCTCTATGTAAATAATAGTTTGATTTGCCCCAAAATCAAAACGTCCTATAAACACCAGAGCAAGAACATCAAAGGGTATGTTGGAATGGTTGGAATGGCAATATTGAATACAGATTAACTCAATGCATATTGATCTGCATGTCACGCTACGCAATGACAGATGGAAAGAGTGGATAACTTTTCCTGTGAAATATTCCGAGTTGTCTTTAAATACAGTGGTTTGTGTGTCAATTATTGACACATTCTTACCACGAAAACCCATCGTCGTGGCAAGCTCCACATATTCCATATTTGATACAACCACCAAGTAGGTTGAGATTGTCTCATACTAGTATTTTTACATTTGTATTTAGGTTATTAAGAAGAGGAAAACACAAATGTGTGTTGTCACCATTAGTGGGACCAAATACTTCCACACCTTCACTCACTAATATTTATAATACTACCGATTTAATCACCCGAATTGAAATGGTAGGTAAAATTTTTGGACGATTGCTGAAATTTTTGGTCTAATCCAACAAAGAATTTGTACGGAGATCATTGGAACGATGAAAAATCAAGATGGCTCATTAATGCATCATTGAAAGCAGTAAATAACATGAGAAGAGAAGGTCTTTTCTCAAGAAAAGGGATTGCATTTTTAGATTTAGAATTTGTTGATTTTCCTGAGCCAGTCATATTTTATGAAGGAGAACCTCAAACAGGAATTCACCGTGAGATACCTCTTTCCACACTAAACAGTTTCAAACAACAAAACAAGTTCATTAATACAGGAGAGCCGTTGATCAAATATTTCGACACCAAAGGAGTTCAATTTCTAGTAGATCCTGAAGTTCAAAGAGGCAAGGAAAACCCATCTGTTACAAAGCATATCAAATTAACCATGAAAGTTAGTGACAACCATTTACATTATCCAGATGTCGAAGATAAGAGAAAATTGGAAAATATTGTAAAAAAGACTCCTCTTCAAGAAATCACTTCAGAAGATACTCTCTTATTGTGGAAATACAGAAAGTTTCTTCAAGGAGAAAAGCGTATAGGAGAAAAGGCCTTAACCAAGTTTTTAAGAGTGGTAGATTGGAGAAAGGAAGAAGAAGCTCGTGAGGCAATCTCCTTACTTGATGGATGGACAAAAATTGACACAACAGATGCTCTCTTTTTGTTGAGTAAATACTTTAAAGGTGTAGATGCAGTTAGAAACTATGCCATTTCTGTACTGAAGGACGTGACCGATAAGGAACTTCTCTCTGTACTGCTTCAACTTGTACAGGCTCTTAGATACGAGCACGATATGAGAACTTGTACATTGGCAGATCTCTTGATCGAGAGAGCACAAAAATCATTCATTGTTGCAAACGATTTATTTTGGTTTTTAACCATAGCGGCAGAAGATAAGATTATGGGAGAATTCTATTCCTCTCTATTGAGACGATTTAAGGAACATTGTAAAACGGTAAGTTTTTTCTTTTTTACAAGATCCATCTCGCATGTATTGGGTTGATCAAATTATTCAACAGAAATGTCCACAATTTGTCGATCAATTTCTACGCCAACAAAAATTGGTCCGTAACCTGAGTACCATCTGTCAAACCATGAAAGAAGGGTCTCGAGATCAAACTAAACTGTTAATGTTGAAAGCAAAATTTGAAGCGATCAAAAATGGAGAAGGAGGTCTAGAATGGAATGGCGTTTTTGATGATTCTTCTGCTTTGCGACTGCCATTAGATCCATTAGTGGCTGTTAAAACAGTTGATCCAAGCAGCGTGACAATATTCTCGAGTAATGCCAGGCCAATGCGATTGAGTTTTATCACGAAGGACGAAAAAAAGTATACAACGATATTTAAAATCGGAGACGATTTAAGACAAGACCAATTGGTTATACAATTAATTCACAAAATGGATATGATTCTTAAAGACAATGGAATGGATTTGAAGTTAACCCCTTATCGAGTTCTTGCCTGTGGTTCAGTGGAAGGATTTTTGGAGTGTGTGACCCCAAGTATGCCTTTTGAAAAAATCATAAAGACAAACACGATCGAAGGTTGGTTACGAGAAGAGAACAAGCACAAGTCTCCTCAAGAACTCAATGAGGTGTTTGACAACTTTATGAAGAGTTGTGCTGGCTATTGCGTCATTACATATATTTTAGGAGTTGGGGATAGACATTTGGACAATATTTTACTGACTCCAGATGGAAAGTTATTCCACATTGATTTTGGTTGGATTCTTGGACATGGTAAGTCATTTGCTTCAAGTTCTTTATATTCATCAAATCTCAATTTTCCATAATAATTGAATTAATTATTAATTATATATGATTTAATTATAATGATTTAATTATTAATTATTAATTGAACAACATGTAAAGACCCAAAACCTTATCCTCCACCAATGAAATTAAGTGCTGACATGATCTTGGGAATGGGAGGTTCTAACAGCGATCGTTACAAAAACTTTATCAAGCTGTGTTGTAATGCATTTAACATTTTGCGAGCAAATTCGAGAATAATTCTCACCTTATTGATTCTCATGGTGGACGCAAACATTCCTCACATTGATTATGGAGTTGCTTCTAACAGAGCCACAGGAGACCAATTGACGAATATTTTAACTGTTCAACAACGATTGTGTCTCGATGTCAGTGAGGAAGAGGCCTTACAATTTATGAAAGGAATTATTGCAGAGAGTGAAAGGGCATTCTTTGGAAAAGTGCACGATCATTTGCATCGATGGGCACAATATTGGAGAAATTAGATGGTCTTGATAAAAGAATTGTGTTTCCATCTTTTCTATTTTTGATCTCACCTGTCAAACGCCATACCATCACCACCTAAAAAATGTCGTCTCCCTCCACACTGGCACCACAACATTCCGATGTTGACCCACCCTTGATCATTGAGCCATCATCAGACAACAACAAACTATCCAAACATAACTCCAAACAAGATCTCTCTCCCGCAACCAACAACAACAACAACAACGCCACCACAACCACCACACAAAACAATGCGGAATCATCCTCATCACCACCACCACAACAACAACCACCAACAACAACAACCTCATCATCCATCGACTCTAACAATACTTCTTCAGTTGCAGCCACCACTTCTCCACAAGTCTCAGCTAGTACTGATGAAAAAAAGAAAGTCAGCTTTGGTAAACGTGCCAAGAATTTAATTGGAAAATTCTTTGGACAAGAAACTGAAGAAGAACGATTGGAGAGAGAACAACTCATGATTATACAAAAAGAAGAAGCAAGAAGGAAAAAGAAGGATCTACTTCTTGGAGCCTCTTTCTATGATGACTACCATGGAGGTGTTCTCGATCAGTCCGAATTTTTCAATTCATGGAAGGCACACTCGGTCGATCACGAAGATGTAGAATATAACGCAAAAGTGTCAGAATTGAAATCGAATGCTGTTGAAGAGAAACAAGAGCCACAAAAGAAGGAAGAGTCCGAGGATGAGCATTTGACTGATGATGATTTTTCTGATGATTCTGAAGAGGATAGTGACAATGGGGAGTCCAAAAATCAAACTTTCATGGTCTCACAAGAAAATGAATATGTTCAAAGATTTATTCAAGAGAGACGTGAAATGCAATCCAAATTCACTGTCGGTGAAGTCGATCGTTTGAAATTATATGGTAATATTGTGGATTATACCATGTCAAGTGTGGAATCGAGTGAAATTTCAGACAGAATTTTACACGTGATTGCCTACAGAGATCGAATTATGTTTGCAGATGAGTATGACCATTTGATTGAAGTGAAATTTGATAAAAGAAAGGAGCTCACGGGATATATCGTGAAGAAGATATTCTTGACCATTCCTCACGCTTATGAATGTTATGTGGTATTGGAGAATCCAAGTCAACAAACCTATGTTCATTATGTGATTGATATTGATCGAGTTAGATTTGAACAAAGTGATGCTGAAAACAAGGAACCATTGACTTTTGACATTTACAAGTTTGATCCAAAAATTTCAGGTTCATCTCCACAAAAACCAGCATTTGACGGCTCCAATTATATGACAGCTGTTGGATTTCCACATTCGGTCGTTCAAGACGATATCATGACAAGAAAAATATTTTTCATGGCCGTCTCTCCTGGAAATATCATTTACAAGGTTGATTTCAATGTTGACGGAGAAGAATATGATTATGCCATTAATTTCAAAAAGGGAATTGACAAGGTGACTTGTGAAGAAGTCTATAACATGGATGCCTTGTACAATGAGAAACAAATCATTGTACATTCTCATAGACAAGGATTCTCTATTGATAGCATTGAATTTGCTGAAGTGAAAGAAATGAACGAATTTATGGTTTTCATTTCAAGTGTGGCTGGAGTTGCAGTTTTCACAGGAAGTGGAGAAATTACTGACATTTTCGATCGTTACGGACCAGAACAATCCATGACTCCAGCATTTAGAAATTTCGATGAGGAAGAACAATTGGTTGATTTTGACAAACCAAAAGGTTTTTATAGAAGTATTTTGAAGGTATACGATTCTACCTGCTTTGCTTGCATCACTTCCAAGTTCATTGCATTCGGAAGAATTTACAATGACGCCCAAAAGACTCTCGATCGTGCCGGAAGACTTGCTCACAAGAATCCTAACGATGTACCTGTCGACATTGAACTGAACAATTTTCATCTCTTCGTTTGTTATAAGGATGAGTTTTGTGTCATTATGCAACCTGCATATTTACCTCCCTCGAACTCGAGATATTCATTATTGAGTAAGCATGTGGTTACAGTGAGACTGATCAATACACTTGGTGTGAAACTTGATCGATCCATTATTGATAAATCAAGAGAAGAGAGCAATGAATCCATCTATGTCTACAGTTCATCCAAATTGTTTAGAGTTTCAATTTCTGATCAAGCGAAGGGATTTTGGAGAATATTCTTGGATGCAGCTCTTGAAATTGAAGATCAAGATATGGAACGAATCAAATCCGAGTACTTTAAGAAAGCTCTTCATTTATCAGCTTTGTTTGATATGAACTCTGAAGAAAATACAATGGCTATTTTCTCAGCAAAAGCAGATCACCATTTCAAGAAAGGAGATTATAACACGGCTGCTCTAGATTATGCCAGAACCAACAGAAACTTTGAAGAAATTGCAATGAAATTTATGGAAGCAGATCCTGAAGATAAGAAAAATGGTCTCTATAATTATCTTTACTACATGTTGCATCGATATGTAAGTTATCAAGTAGCTACATCATGCCATCATGAATTGACATTTATTTGAAATAACATGCACAGAAAAATGACAAGAAGAAAATGGAAGAATGCCCAGAAAGTGTCATTCTTGCAGTATGGATTGTTGAATTATTGTGTTTCAAGATGAACCAACAACGTCACATTATGGGCAAATTCATCACTGTTGCTTGCTCAGAGGAACAATACAAAGAACAGCTGAATGAAAAATCCAAAGCAGAACAACAACTTCACAGAATCAAAACTGTTTTAAGAAAGTTCACTTACAACAAGAAGGAATTGCTTGCAAAAGCTAAAGACATTGTGTACAATATTTTCTTGAGCAATAACTTTGTGAGAGAATTTTTGTTTTTCGCAACTTCCATTGGTGACTATTTGACCATTATTCAACATTGTGTCACAATGGCTAAGAGTAGTGAATATGAAAACAATCACTCCAAAGAGTTGAGTTATTATGAAACTGCTTACACAATTTTGAACAATTTCTGTACGGAACCACACGCTTTCGATAAGAATAATGATGAAACTGCTCCACAAAACCAAATTTGGTATGGATATACCCCATTACTCATGAACTATGAGAAGAGAGATGAAATTGTGAAATCCTTTAAGAGATTACAATTCCTCAACCCAAGAGATCTTGTTCCATCCATTTTGAAATATGATCAAATTATGAGATCTGGTCCAACTCGAAGAAGATCCATGAGACAAGATGAATCTCAAGTTTTGGATTATTTGAAATGGTGTATTGAAGATCAAAAGAATGAGAACAGAACCGTTCATGATCTTTTCGTCTACTTGTTGGTGAACAATAGAAACACAGAACTCTTAGAGACCTTCTTAAAAGAGACTAAAGAATCTGAAAATGTTTACTTTACCAAAGAATATGCATTACGGTTGGCTGTTGAAGGAAGAAAATGGACTGCTTGTGTTTTGTTATATCGATTGTTGGAATTGTATGAAGAGGCTGTTGATCTTGCACTTGATTCCAAAGTCAACAAAGTCAAATTGGCCGAAGAAACTGTGTCACAATATGTGGAAGATCCTGAGCTCAAGAAGAAACTTGCAATCAAGATTGTGAAGCATTACATTAAGGAAGAAAATTATAGAAAGGCTTTAGATTTGATTAGTGACTTTAATGATGTTCTTCTTTTGGATGATGTCATCAAATACTTCCCACCAAAAGTTCAACTTGAAGAAGTGATCAAAGATGTCGAATCCATTCTCGATGTCTACTCTTTCCAAAACAACAAGGTCGAAGTACAAATGAGAGATGCAACCAACGATGCTGAATTAATTAGAAACGAACTCTCTTCCATGAATGTTTATCATGACATTGACTATGATGACATTTGTGAAAGATGTAAATCACGAGTGCTCCTTCCCAACATGAACGACCCACAGGATCGAAAGAACTTTTTCTTCTATGTGTTTCCATCTGGACAAAAATTCCACTTGAATTGTTTATACAGAATTAACAAACATCAACTTGAAAATCAATTGATTGCCATTGATGAGAGAGCCATTGAAGCAGGACGAAAAGAAGCCACTCAAAATCATTTGAAATTATTCCGAGAAAAGAAGTTCAAAAAACAAAAGAAATTGGAAAAATTATTACGTGCTTCCGATATGGCAGAAAAAGAAAGTGAAATTAGCAAGTATCAATTCAAGATCAAAATGTTAGACAACACCATTAATGAAATCAAACAAGGAAAATTCCAATTCACTACCATTGAAGCCATCTACACACCAGAGGAATTAAAACAACGAAATACACTCCTCGAAAAGATTCAAAAATTGAAAGAAATTTATGAAAATTGGCACAAAGCTCGATTGGAACTTGCTGAAGCACTCAATGATGGAAGTGAAAAGACACAACTCTACTGGCAACTTGAATTTAAGAATGCAAGAAAACAGTTGGATGATATTCTTGGAAAATCATGTCCAACCGATGGCCCAACGGTGGTGGCTGAGACTACCATTCCTTTCATCACCGATGAAGAAAGGATGAACAATGAATTTGTTGTTTAATTTTTTATTGTTGTCATGTCCTGTGTCACAGTTTGAACTGGAATGTTTATTCATAAAATTCGTTACAATTTTCTTTTCCTGTAAAAAATCGAAAAAAAAATGTCCTCACATGAAGATGGTGAAATTCATCAAGAAAATAAGACGGAAGAAGGAGGAGCATCCGATCGTTCCTTCTCGACTTTACCTTCCGAGGTCGAACCACCAACAAAGAAGATGAAAGATGAAGAATCTTCATCAACGGAAGAAACTTCTTCTACTACAGACACCAATAGCAGCTCTACATCATCTGCAATGCCAACCAAATGCAAGGCTTCTACTTGTCCTTTCTTTGGAAATCCAAAAACGGAAGGCTACTGCTCGGTTTGCTATAAACAAATTGTACTCAAACAAACCATATCAATTCCGACCACTGCACCCCAAAGAGACAGTAGGCGAGAAAAAGATCCTTTTCAAGAAGCAATTCAGAAGGGTGATTTAGAGCGAGTAAAAACAATGATTTTGGAAGACAAAAGAAGTGTTAATGAAGAGTTCTTTGTGTATGGTGATGAAGATTTGGGGCCTTGGACGCCACTCGGTATTGCTTGTTTTTGTGGTCATACAGATATTGTGTTGTTTTTATTGAGTCAGCCTGGGATTGATGTCAATAAGAGAATGTATGGCGATACATATCCAATCAACTCGTGCATGCAAAATCATAGAATTGAGACAGCCAAGAAATTCATTGAGGAGTGTAAAAAACGAAACATGTTCCTAGATTTACATAAGAAAGGATATTTGAGGTGCACGCCCTTGGAAATGTGCTGCTATGAAGCTATTTGTAAGAATAATGCACAAGAGCAAGAGTCATTTGTGGAAATGGTGTTATATCTTGTGAAGGAAGGTGCTGAACCTATCATTGATTCCCATCATTTTAGTGCCAACATGATGATAGAAATCTTAGATAGAGCTTTGCAACTACTTTAGGCTATAAAAACCAACCAATTTGTGACAACCCACCTTATGACTATGACCTAGAAAGTATTTTTATAGTATACTAATACTGGAAATCAGGTTTGGAGAGAAATTGAATTTTATTTTACCAACGTTGTTCATTGTTTATCATGCAAGACATATCTATCGCGAGTATTAGTGATCTCTAAATTTAGAAGAGTTTTTCTTTAAAGTCCGAAGTTTGAGGGTAGTTAGTTAGTTGGGCCTGTGCATTAAAATTCCAAAAGCTTTGATTTTTTCAAACTCTTCAAGTTTTGAGTTTTGCTCTGTTGAATGAAAGGACAAAAATGAAACAAATACGAAAAAACAAATGATTTGGATCAAATTCGCACAACGACGTTGAATTAATTTCCCTTGTTTTTGCTTGATTTCATGGTTTCTTCTTGTTTTCCTCGAATTTTCACTTTTTAATGCACAGAGTCAAGTTGCTTCTTTTCCTTTCGAAAACACCGAAAAAAAAATGTCTTGGGCAACAACTTGTTCCGACCATCCTGTCGAACTTGCATCATCGGAGGCCAATATCAATAGTCATGAATCTGTCGTGAACAATCATCACGAACCACACAATGATGAAACGAATAATCATCAACAAAATCAAACAACAACAGGGAAAAAGTTGAGCAAGGAAGAGAAATTACAAAAACGAAAGGAACGATGGGACAATAAACGAGAAAAATTCAAAAACCACAAAAAGAAAAAGAAGGAAATCAAACAAGAACAAAAAAAGAAGGAAAGCGACGAATTCTTTGAAAAGCTTCGGGAAGAATTATCAAAAGAGGAATTTGATAAATTAATGGAGGAAAACAAGAAAAAGAAGGAAGCAAGAATCGAATCACAAAGGAAGCAAAAAGAAGAAATGCAAAGAAAATTACAACATGTGATGACTACTGGACTTTCCAATGATTCAAATGTCTGCATTAATATTGACTGCTCGTTTAATGACAAAATGACAGATGTTGAAATTGTTTCACTAGCACAACAAATTGGGAAATGTTACGCTGCATACAGAAAGATGACTTCTCCTTTTTATTTGGTAGCAACTTCTTTGGACGGCGCTTTATATGAAGACATGAAAAAGTTTGAAGGATTTCCCGACAAATGGTTCATGCACCATTCTAAAAACCATTTCACACAGGAATTTGAAAAACAATACAAGGAAAATAAGATTATTTATTTATCGGCGGACGCAGAAGAAGAAATTACAGAATTTCAAAATGGTTATGTTTATGTAATGTAAGTACAACTTAGTTTAGCGGCCATATCATTATATAATATTTGACCGAACAATGTGCACCATTTCGTCTACGTTCCTATTTCAACGTCTCTGACTCCAAACAATGTCACATTGTTGAACATATATGGCTTATAGTGGTGGAATTATTGATCGAAACAGACACAAAAATCTCTGCAACACTCTCGCCAAGGATGAGTACAAACTACCAACAGCAAAATTTCCTCTCGAGAAATATGTGGACATGAAAGCTGCAACTGTTCTCACCACCAATCAGTGTGTGGAAATTATTGCGACCGTCATGGAATTGAAAACACAAAATCCCTCCCAGAGCAATGATGACATGTGGAAACAAGCTCTTCAAAAAATCATTCCCATGAGAAAACGAAAGACGTAATTACATCTTATTACACCACCAACACAACGACCATGGTCGAGTAAAGAAGAATTCTTCTAGCGATATTTTAAAAGGGCAGTAAAAAATTTGGAATTGGTCTTTGTTGATCACACATATCCACACCACAATCATCATAATGATTTGTAAAAAGAAAATCCTTCCAGAAAACGTGGCCGCGTGTAAGCACAAACACCAGACCTTCTCGAGAACAAACACTAAATTCTATAAAAGGGAACTCCACTTTGTTTATTTGGCGCGCTTTGAATTAGGCGGCAAAAAAAATTACAAAATGTCTCTGGTCGAGGAGCCACCACAAGAGTTCAATGAAGAATATAATGAAGAACGTACGTATCATGATCGGGAAGATGAAGTGAATGATAAGGAAGCCAAAGATGATGAAAAAAAGAATAGAGACAGTAGGAGTGTTGAATGGAAGGCGAACAAGCCAAGAGTGAGATTTCATCCAGAAAGTGAGGAGGAACAGGACTCGGAGTCGAGGCCACCCTCTTCTTCAACCAAGAATAACAACACAATACAACAAGAAGAAACACCACTGTCAAATAATGAACATACAGAAACCAATCAAAAGATTACCATGGCCATGCAATCCGTTATGAAAAAACTAGGAAAAGAATTAATAAGGGATAGAATGAGGAGAAAAATTGATAATGATGATCCCCTCGATATTGAATCTGTAAAATTAGCAATTGAATTTTTTAAACGTGAGGAGCTAGGTATGTGATTTTTGAATTTCAGTAATGCCGATGTTGTAATATTTCTTTACAATTAGATTTGGAAGAAAGAAAATCAAATTGGATAACGGTTGAAATTGTTTATCAAATTCATGATTTAGTCATTAAAACCCGAATACTTCAACAGAGTGGTCTTGTAAATATTGAGAAACTTAAATCAGTGATTGGAAATCGAGTGAAAATTGGGTCAACAATTTTGAATTTGCTTCTTGCCAAGTCAACCAGTGTCACAGAACCGTCTTCCGTGGAATACAACAAATTTTTAGTGTTATGTTTGACTCTCACTGGTGATTCTGTGTTTAGCGTGTTGGAAAATGCCCTCTCGTTATTTTGTGCGTCTGGAACGGTGACAGTACATCACCAAAGCGAAAACGATATTGTAGCCATTGATGAGTTCATGTATTGTGTCAAGTTTTTATCTGATGAAGAAGAAAGGTGTGAAAATAGGGAGTTATCGCAAGAGCTTAAAATGATGTATGACGAACTTTCAGATTTATCCAAGATGGAATCATTTGTTACGAGAGGAATGGTTATTTCTAGTATATCCTGGCAATCATTGCTAGAAATGGAGACCAAGAAAGTTGGCAGCTGACGGAATAAAAGAAGCAATCATTTCAGAATACTAGTGCCAACTCTTCAGATGATCCGTCCAAGATGTGTTAGATCAATTTATTGTTTGGAAGTTTCCTTATCCTCTTGTTGCCACGTGACATGTTGGATGTTGTGAATTTGATTATAGGCTTTCAAGACTTCATCCAACACATCTTCAAGACTCCTAAATTCACTCCAATTTACCTATTCAAAAATGGTAACAATCACATGCATTATTCCAAAGTGATCCACACTTACCTTAATGACTGGAATAATTTTGGAAATTTTAGTTAGCCATTCCTCATAACCAGCATGCAATCTTTGAAGATACTCTAAAGTTATACCAGACTCACATTCTCGTCCTCTCAACTTGATTCTTTCCAAACTTTTTTCTGGACTCACATCCAAGTGTATAATCATTGTGTTGTGCTTCATGAACTAGTGTGCGTAACACGTTCATCAGATAATTGTTATCATTCTCAAGCGCCACAAGAAAACAAACCTTTGACATGTTTCTGAACAATGACACATAGGTATCATAATCCCTCTTTTCCATCATTCCAGTCTCCATTAACACTTTAGCAAAAATTGTGTCTTCATAAATGGTTCTATCTTGAATACCGCCATTACTTCCCCAAATGATCTTTTGGTGTTGTTCAAATCTTCTATTCAATAGATAGACTTGCAAACGGAAGGAATAAGCCTTCATATCAGAGTAGAAATCTGCTAAATATTCATTATCAATGACAGGCTCATAATGCACTCCAATTCCGAGCTTTTCAGCTAGTGCCTTTGCAAGAGTGGTCTACCAAGGAGTTATTCGTTTTTAATAATAATTCATCAAATAGTGGATCATGATGGAAGAAGAGAAGTTTTGAATGATAATATATTCTCATCATTGAGAAGAACCATTCATTAAACGTGTTGATGTTTTTACCAACCTTTCCTTTTATTTATTATTGTATAATCATAATGCTGAAAATTCTCAAGATGAGAGGTACAATTCCATACCTGAGCCAATCATTCCACTCACTCCGATGAACACTTGGTCATTCAAGAATTGATTATCAATCGAGGAGGATAGAATATCTTGTTTCATCATTTTTTTGAATTTCGTATTCGTGGGTGTGGATTTTCCGAAACCTTGAATTTTAAGTATTCATGTAAGTATCATATTAATATTGGAATGAATACTTTTGAATAACTTCTACTTTCAACCAAAAATGCTGATATTCAAAATGGAAAATATTTGAGTTTCTTGAAAATACTGGAATGACAAGAGCAGATGACAAAAAAAATGTCCAGTCGAATGAATTACCCATCGAAATTTGTGGTCAAATTCTTTCATTCCTTCCCATTCTTCCGTGGTTCTTCAAGGCCTGTCGTGTATGTAAAGCATGGAAGGAACAAGTGGAACGATTATTAACGTCTTACGAAAAAGAATTGGACCGATATCATTTTCATTTACATTTTGGTAGGTGTTTGTGATGATCGGAACAACAACATCATTTACATTCGATGGCCATTGTATGATGCGAATAATAATATTTTCAATTTTCACATCAAATGAAATATTATTATAATATTTAAATCGGTAAAATATGATCAATTCATGACCAATTAATGATCAATTAATGACAACAGGATATGTGGATGCATCAAAATTTGCATTTCATGTCTCGGAATGGTACAATTAAAAAGTGTTAATTGTTCTACTCTTGTCAATCCAATCACTTGTGCCACTTCGGAAGAGAAGATCATGTTTCTAATCTGTAATCTTTCTAATCTGTATCCTACTGGCAGGAAAGCTATTAAGGACGCAAGACTTTTCCAGGAATTTTTAGAAATTTCACAATCACAACCAGTCGAAATAAGAAAATATTTCCAACATTTGAGAAATATAATGTTGATCAATACCTTTGAAAATATCCTTACAGATGGGAGGACAAACAAGCTCTCCCAATTACATTTAAAAAAGTGTGTCGCTTGAATGAATTGTCAATTTGGACCAAATTGAATTCACAGAAATGGTTCCCAAAAAACCCCTCATTGAGGAAGTTGACTCGAAACGTCCTAATTCCATGACTGATTGTAATAGAATTTTCTTTATCGATACTTGGCTCCAGTCTCGTTCTTCGACATTATCTCGTTTTCTCGACTCAAATGACGTAGAAGCTGCAGTTATGACTTTGACTAGTGGTCAACAGATTAACATTATAGTTGTCACCTGGATTTAGTTGTCTGGAATACTTCTTTTTGGAAAAGATGTTGAGAACTGTTTCACAGAAAAACAACCGTGTCACCAATGATACCAATGATAATAATGATTTTATGTTTTTCAGAGATGGTCGGACTAAGTTCAGGAGAAAATCAAAACAAATTGAGCCTTGTGCATCTTATTCCGAATGGGTGAAACAAGTGTGCGTGACGGAATGTATCTCAGTCATTGAGTGGATGCATTCCAGAATACACCATTCGCTGTGGATGGAGACAACCCAGCTGTGAAAAATACCTTAAAAGCTTGCAAGAAAATTGACAAGGCATGGCAACAGTGGTTTTCATATTCATCAACCAAGGAAGAAAAGCCATCCGATTTTATTTATTGGCATAATTTCTTGCTGAGCGGCAACAAACATGAACCTTCTATTGAAAATTCAATTAAGGAAGAGACAAGACGAGGATCTGTCTGAACTCAAAAAGACAGCCAAAAAAAAAGAAAACGAAATGGAATATGTTCAGTATTTAAGGTGATCGTATACAAAACATGAATGATGAAAACTTGAATGAATGAACATGAATGCATTCATTATGTGAATTAAATCACACACTCATTGTTAGCAGGGTTCATTTCACATTTTTCTCTGAAATTGCTGAGACTGGCGAAAATTTTTGCTCCTCCAATGACATTCATGTCTGTGGGTCCCCACCGAGCTTGCTTCACACTTCCTCGATCATCACTATCGAAAGTAACATTTTCTTGGATTGTAAAATTAATTTTGAGGTTGGGAAGGAGCTCGGTAATTCTTGCATTGAGCCTTTCTGACATGTTTTCAATCATTGCTCCGCCGCCTGTGATCATGACGTTTGATAACACTTTGTCACGCAACTCTTTCGAATACCCTTCATTGGTTTGAATGGTAGAGATGGCATCCTCAACACACAACATAATTTCCTCATAGTACCAATTGCCCAGCTCGAGTCTTTCATGTCCTGAAATTTCAACAGGTGCGTAGTAACTTCCAATATTGATTTTGGGTTGGTTTCTTGCAAAATCATCGTATTGTTTTGGATTTCTGTCCTTGTCAAAAGGAGTCACTAGAGCTAGCTCTGTAAATTGATGTGGCCAATAATAGCTTTTGTCGGCACCGTAATAATACGAGCTGTTAAGAAATTTCTTAAATTTTTCTTTCACAGGAGGATAATGGAACACAGAATTATTGTTTTGAGGCTGGCCATCAATGACTGTTGTGCATCTTACACCAGAAGGTCCAACATTAATTCCAAAGAAATCTGGTTTTTGGTAAAAAAGAGACAGCATCTTGTTTGGGTCTACAAAACAAATACCTGGAATTCCCAATTCGAACTGGTGTTTCAAAGAATTAAATATAGTACAAAAATAAGCGCCAGATGAAAGCTTGTTTGAAATAAAACCTACCACTGCAGACTTAACCTTTTCCTTGTCGCTATCAGACCAAGCCACTGGTGTGCAAATCACTAATGGATGTTCTTTCAAATTAACATTGAGGTCATCCTTGTACAATTGATAAATCAACACCTTGAAGAGATTAAAGTCCTCAATTTCACCGGTTTCAGTTACAATGTTCAATCGTTCGCAGTGGTATTGTGTGCACAGATATCTATCTCCAATAACAATGTCATCATAACCTGTATTAATATTGTAGGTGTAATTACGATGATTTAGTTAACACATGAGTTCACAAATGACTTACCATACTGATTCAAATAAAAGTGAGGATGATCGGGCCTGCCAGCGTATGTTCTACTGACCCAGAAACAACTATCTTTAGAAAGGCCATATCTGTAATGAGAAATACCAAAATCCAATAATACTGGGCAAAAGAACTTCTCCATGTTAGCTCTTGAAATGAAGGCATGATACCAATCCTTGTATTCTTGATCTTCTTTTCCACGATAGGTTGATTCCAATGCTTCGATCAGCGGATTTTCCATACTGGAAACATCTTCTCGAGTTTCGTCTGGAATACTTTCATCATCATAGTAATATCTATACTTGTTCTTTTTCGACACGCAGCATGATTTGACCAATGGAGCCCATCTGAGAGCATAAAAGGCCTTCCATAAGGGAGGTGATCTTGCGTATGAATTAATGTCTCTATTCAAATAAAGAATATTCTTGACGACATCCTGAACAGTTAAATAACTGAAAATGGTAGCGAAAATCTCTTCTGGTAGAGTTTTTTCAATGAAACTTAAATTTCTGGTGTTCTCTCTTTTCAAAGAGTGAGAAATGGATGTGTGTAACTCGTGAGCCTCCAAGTACTTTTTTCGCAGACTCCAATACCTTGCCTTGTTTTTCGAGTTCATTACTCTCATCCACAAGTTTTTTGATTCTCAAATACTCTTGGTCTTGCTTGTAATTCATTCGATAAATGCTCTCAGAGTCAATACGCTTAAAAATCAACTCTGTTCTAAGAACATATTTGCGACCATATCTGACTCTTTGTCCGGCATGATATAAGTCATGGTTAAATATTGCAACGGCGCCTTCTTTTGGTCTTAATGAAGTAATCTTTTTGAATTTCATAACAGATACATTTGTCTCTTTTGAGTCAGAAACTTTTTTCAACAAAGTCGTCCCTGCATAGCTTGCATCAAGATAAATAAGTATAGTGAAAATGCTTTGCTCGTTGTCATTTCTAATAAATTTGGCATCTTGATGGGGCTTGAAAAATGCATTCTTTTTGTATCGATTAAAGCGTAGACATTCATTGGTACCAATAGGTTTCCAAGTACCTCCATTGTCGAATCCATAAGGACGAACACCTTTGAAATCTGCATCTGTTAAGTATGGTCTAATCAGAATGTTATACATGATCATGTGGATGATGATGCCATTCTATAGAACGAATAAACTTACTTGATTCTCTGCCACAACATGTCAGCTAATTTTTTGCACAGAACCAAAACTCTTTCTGAACTTCTGTATTCTTTCGGATATTCATGCTCAATAGACTCGTAACCTAATTGTGTGGTCGCTTGAATTAGTTCAGAGCATTCAGATGAAGTGAGCAAAGATCCAATATAAATACATCTATCATGATTTTCAATTTCTTCCGTGTGTTTGTGTTCATTATCGCTGTCCGTTTGTGTTTCTTCGTCGTCGTCTTCAAAATCACAATAATCGGAATCATAATAGGTTCCATCCTCTTCTGCCTGTTTTTTGTATTCCTCTTTCTTTTTCCGCTCCTGATCTATTTTCATTTGGACCTTTTCACTGGACAACAAATTTACAGTTTTTACTTGAGGATTGATTTTGATGGTCGTTCCGGGAACAAGAATGTCTTTTCTTCTCCAAAATTTGGGTTCCTTTTCTTGATCTCCTAATTGTTCAAGAAAAGCTGGTTTACAGATATCGGATGAATCATCATCCCAGTTGTAAATGGGTGCATGAGAGAGGGCTCGTTCTGTCATTTTTTTTATGTCCCTTGTGTACTTCGCAACACTTGGAACTCCATTACAAGTTCATCTCAATATTTATTGATTCTTCAAAGTAGTATCAGAGACGAATTCGCCTCCACATTCATTGAATTCCTTGATTCATTTTCTTGAAGCAATATATCCATTGTCTTGCAAAACTTTCTTAGCAACACCTGTGATGATTCGTAATCGATCATTTCCAAGCTTAATTCCTCCATACCATCGAGTCACGACACAACACACATTCTCTGCATTGGATATTTGCATGAGATATAATATTTGGTCAGCTGCTCCTGTCTCTCCATCGTCATCTCGATTCTCTAAAATTTGATCTCCCTGTCGAATTCTGTACGCATAAATGTTATGAGTGGCATTTGCTATTTTGTCATCTTCCTTTAATTGCTCGAGCATGGCCGTTACTTGTTGCAAGGAATGGACAGTTGCCACATGTCCAATAAATTTCGATTTTTTCTCTGTGAATGGTTCCCCATGAATGATTGGAATTTGTGTTTCAGTAGAATTATTATTTGAGAGGATCTTATTTCCTTTCTGTTGTGAATGGCCACTTGTTAATTCTCTTGTTTGTTGAGTCACTGCAGTGGTAGACTTGACATGTTCTTCAATCTTGTCATAATCTAATACTGTACTCATTAATTCGTTTTTGAGAAATTCAATCCATGTGAATGCAATGGGCATTCCACTCATAAACATATTCTTCAATTCTTGTTGAATAAATTCCTTGATTATGAGTGTTTCATCATCATTCTTGTTAATCATTTCATGAGGTGAATTGCTAATCAAATTTGTCGATTCATAATCCTCTCGTTTAAATCTATGAAATAATAAATAAATCCAATTTTTTCCACCTTTAATTTCAAAGTAAGGAGGCGCTGAAGATGGATAATTCGTATGAAACCAAAATTCAAATATCAATGGATCCAAAATATCATCCTGATCATCATTCCTACGCTCTTGATCCTCTCCGAGGCAAGACCGAGTCATGGGAATGGTCATTAACCAGCATCTATCCATTCCTTTCCGAGCTCGGAGCTCTTCTGTCGAATACATGGAATGGAGGACTTGAATTTCATCGAGTTGCATGGACTCGTTGCTCTCTGCTTGCATTTTTTATTGTTGAAAAAGTTGAATTGGAATATTGGTGATGTAATGAATACAATAATTACGTATGAACATTTCCTCTTAATGATGGTATATATAAAAACATTAAATCAATCCACAAAATACAAAAGAGGTTCATGAGTGTTTTATTTCTCGCAGTCTCACGCAAATGAATCATTGCTTTTGCTGAAACTTGGATTCCGCTCAATCCCAATTTTCAGTTTTGAAATAAATAGAAAGTGTATCATTTATCCTTCCATGTTGTCACAATTCAAATACCCGCCTGAAACAACATGTTTGAATTCAAATAAATAAATAGTGTGGATTGATTTACGCTTTGGTTTCTGTCATTAAAATCTTAACACAAAATAAATTAACACTACCAATCTCTTGTTGGTGTGACATTATCATTCATGATGATGCCGACTGGTGTTGAGACGGCACTCTCGCTGTCCAAATAATTCAACACAGAGCCATCCAATAGAGGGTCCAGCTGTAGAAAATCATTATCTGTCACTGAGTCTGCATTCATAGGATAAGAACAAGCCTCTCCAGAGCTGCCATTCTGATCTATATCAATGACTTGCTTATCTACTTGGCATTGGGTGCGTGCTTTTTCATTGAAATAATTAATGAAACTTGGTTTTTCCATGAATGGCTTGAAAAACTTTTTAACTTCCGAGTCAAATTCAGCCAATCGAGAAATCTTTGCGTGTTGTGACACTGGTCCTAGAGGAGGATTTTGATAAAATGTTTCGAATTGAGTATTCTTCTTTTGAAGTACAGCGTTTAACTGTTCAATCACACTTCCATAAAGATTATTCACTTTGCGATACCTCTTACTCAATACGTTCAGAGCATGATAGTTTCGAAGCAAGAGTGAGTAATAATTAATTCCATTGGTGTTCAACTCTCCTGAATCCACAACCTTTTCCATTTCCAACAATATCTTAATGGAAATGACAAGATAGGTCACAACGACGGGTGGAGAGAAGACGAAATATTCATTTTCAGTAATGTTTGTGAGTTTCACAATCAAATCAAATATCTTTTGTCTAAAGTAAATCGTGTCAACAAATGCAAGCAATGATATTTCTAATCCAACATTCATGCAACCTTGAATGATGTCATAAATTACGGCAGCAGCATAGGAGCTCGTCCTTCTCTTGTCCAACCTTTGTCCTATCATGTGACAAATAGAAATTCTTTCTTCAATGTTCGTCTTGGTAGTGTTAGGAAAGTCAAAGAGGGCAAACTTCCATTCCTCAGGCATGTCTTCATTTAAAACTTTTTTGAAAAAAATCAATCAGTTCATCCGGTAATAGAAATGGAAAGTTTGGGCTAGATAAATAATCAATCAATAATTTAACCCAATACAAATTCTTCTGAATTTCATTATAGGGCTGCTCAAGCTCTTTCAAATAAAAATCAACAAAGTGATTGTAAAATCTTGCTTTTTTCGAATCTCCTTCTCCTACATAAAAGTACGCAATCATGGAACATGTAGCCACTACATAATAATTAGAATATTCGTCAAAAAATTGCTTCAGGGTCTGTGATGCTTTTGTAATATTTTCATACGCTAAATCTGCATAGCCAAATCTTTGTTGACAAATTCCTTGAAGTGAGTAGACAAATGCTAGCATTTCCTTATTGTTGGCATAATCTTGACCAAACATAAATTTCTCCAACTCATGACGTTCAATGAGAGGATATCCCAATGAAACAATTTCATAATAGGCATCAATAATGCTCATCTTTACAGAACGTAATAGATTGAATGTTGCATCTGCTGTACCCAAATTCGGAGCTTCACCACACAAAGTGTTTTGTCGAGTACTATGTTGTGTTGGTACATGAATGTGTTGTTGTTGTTGGGAATTGTAGCATGTTGTTGTTGGATTGGAAGAATCATTGCTGCCACTGCTTTGAGGAGAAATTCGAACATCCAAATTGGCATTCCTAGCAGTACTATTCGTGTGGTGGTGTTGCTGTTTTTGATTTTGTTGTTGAGAGAGAAATGTATCGGAAGATGTGATGTAAGGAGCTGCAGAGGATGTCATTGAATGATGATTGCTGGTCGAATTGCCAGCACTCGAGGAAGATGACGACGAACCCTTTGTTCTTCCTTTTTTCTTGGGTTCAGAATACTAAAATCGAGTCGCCAATCATCATGGTGAACAAAATTCATGATTTGAAGGGTCAATTTTAGTATCATGGTGAACAAAATTCAATAAATTGCATAAATAAATCATGAATATTCATGATCGTATTTTCAACAATGGATCGTTTCCTCTATTACTTACTATGCATGTGAGTCCCTTAGATAGACATTTAGAACAGGATGGCATTTTCTTATCTGCAGTTAAAGTTCAAACCAACACGAGCCATTCCGATTACAAAAATCATGAAACACTTACCGCAGCGTTTGTGTCTGGCTCTGCAATTCTGGCAAGCAATCGGATGAATTTCCTCATTCTCCAATGTTGTAACTTTTCTTCCGATCGAAATGGCACCACTCTCTTCTTGAACGGGGAATTGTTCACTCCAACAAATCTCATTGGGTGGTCGTTGGGAGGGCATGATATCCACAATTTTTTCGGTTGGAATTTGAACTCTGGTTTCGTCTTCTCACAATATCGGTTCTAATTGATTGAAAAAGAGTTTTGGAAACTTTGAAAATCGAGAATCAGTCAATCAAAAAGAATGGGAAATGCAAAAATCATTTGCGTCGACCGGGAATTGAACCCGGGTCACGGCGATGGCAACGCCGTATTCTACCACTAAACCATCGACGCTAGTTGATAGCGTATTAACGAATTTAATTGTGATCCTACAAATTTACTAATTTGTTAGATACGCTTCGTGTTTTGCGCTCTTTTTTTGCGCCAACAATTACACTCACATCCAAGAGCAAACAACAAAAAACAAACAAGCAACAACCCTCATTATGACGACATCATCATGTGCTATTGCAAATTCCTCTCAGGATCAAGTAAGAAGAGTAATTTATCGCTCCGATAATGAAATAAGGAGATTACAACAAGAGGAAGAAAAGAAGAAGAGAATTAGTAGGCTGAAAGCTGTGCGAGAAATGGCAAAATCCATCTCTCGGAACAAAACAAAGGAATATCAATTGGTGAAAGAGAAGGAAACACAAGAGAATATACAACAAGTTAAACGAGCTTGGCAAGAACGAAAAGACAACGAACTGCAACAGCTCCAAGAAGAAATAGAAAAGGCAAAACAAAAGATCGGAGAAGCTCACCGAAATGCTCAACTCTTTCATCAACAATACGAAGAAGAGTTGAAAAGAAAGGAACGTCAACAACACGAAAATACAAGAAAAGCACAACACCGATTTGAAAAATGTATGAAGGTCGTGAAATCAGAACAAGCGGCCAAAGAGCAGCTTCAGCAAGAAAAGGAATATAGAATGGAAAAGGCCAAAAACTTGGAATATCCTGCAGTGGAACAAGTGCAGAATGGCTTTGAAAAATTATTTGCTGTCCCATCCAATCAGCTCAATAATGTCATAGCTGCATGGAACCCCATTCAGAAGCGAGAGGAGGCTCCACAAGATTTTGTACATTCATTCCATCACAAAAAACAGCATGTAAATACCGAAAATCCCCAAAGTGAAAAACTGGCCTTGTCACAACAAGTAAATCCATTTGTTGTGAAACATTTTGAGCCCAACAAGGGTCTTGACGTCAATAATCAGCAAGCAGAAAAAGATAGAGAAGAAAAAAAGCAATTAGCTGTTCAACGTGCAATCATGGAGAAGAAATTTGCCAAGAAAGCAGCAGAAAAATTACGAATGGATAAGCTGAAAACCACGTTGGAAAAGGAGCTTGAACATGTTCAAAAAATAGATATCCAACAAAAAGTCGATTCTCTCACAGACAGTAGCTCGCGTAATACTCTAGCTGATAATCAATTCAAAAAGAAAAAACAAATAGAATTAGAAAAGAAGTTTGAGGATCTATTTCGGGCAAGAATGCCTGATCTCCAAGACAGTAGTTACTTTTAAAGCAACTTTGTTCAATATTTGAATATTGATTCTTCTTTCTAACTTTCCACAAATTAATTGTGACACTCAAGCATTCCAACAGTTTTTTGATAATATTTCAAAATAGTTAAAGTCTTGGTGTTAATGATGTGGGTAACCTTGCTGATGATGAGGTAGACTCATTTTGATACAGAGGCAATTGTTCATCCACTGTTGGTCCGTATATGGATTGTAAAATTGGATGTTGTAATTTGTATCGGAATTGAGAGACATCATTCTCTTCCACTTCCACAAACGCGAAATCAATAAATAATTGTTGGGGTGGCCGATCAAAATGATCCAAAAATTGTTTCAATCTCCTCATTAAATGTGGCTTGGTATATATACTCACAACAGGAGTAGTGGATGCAACCGACGATGATGGAGAGGAGTGGGGTGTATCACTCATCGGAGGTGGTGTATATGTCTTGACTTGAGAACGAAGAGAGGAATTGTTCATTTTTTTGTTGTTCTCTTTTTTCCTTCTCGGAACTGCTCATTATGGTGTGAACGTTTGCGAAACTTTCATGAATGGCCAAATGAATGATGAAATCCAATAATAATGATTTCATTTGCTGGCACGCATCAAAGAGAAACGACCATTTTCATTACACTAGTGTTATTAAATGTCATCGATCCAATCAATTGAGCCTTCCTTGAATCGAGCTCGATCTTATTCCAATACTTAGGAAGAGACTGCTGGCGACTTTTTCCGGGCTTTGAGAGGAATCCTCATCAGTACTTATTGTATCAGTTAGTAATAATTTTCTACCCGAGCATCAAAACGACAAGAAAAAGATGGACATACCTAAGGCTTGAAACGCTGGCGTTCCCAACTCCCAGAAATAGTGTTACAATAGCATTTGGAAAGCACTTTATTTTTTAGAATCCTAACCATTTTAAAAAAAGTCGAGCAGGCTGTCGAAGTTTTGTTCTGGTGTTTGCTGGAGGTTTTTTCAATAAAAATGTTAAAACATGAACGAAACGCCTTTGTCGGTCTGTTGAGACCGGAATATCATGTTGCCATCAAAACAATGCTATTCGCAGTCCATCAATATATTAATGTCGAACATTTAATAGAAGATATTATTGATCAATGTGGATTTCATCGCAAGGATTTTAATACCATCCATCGCCATCTCGAACTATATTTTTCATACCTCATCACACACAACAAACGAGTCCCATTTGTTCTATACTGTTGCAAATTCCAGGTTGACAATTCAACAAAGATTGCACAATATGTTACTCTGACCCAAAATTTCAAAATCAAAGACAAAATCAAGAGTTAACATCAGAATGGATCAACAAACTACATTTTCAAGGCTATTTGAAATTGAAAGAGTGTCATGACGAGCTGATGCGAATTCGTCAAAAACGTAAACACTCCAAAACAAGTACAGCTTGCGAAGACCCACCTCAAACCTCAGCACGTCACAACGTTATTCTAGTTCAACCATCATGAAATTACTCAAACCAGAAAAAAATGCCGGCGTTATTGAATTACATAAAATCCTGGATCATGGTTTTGCTGAAGACTACATTACGTTGTCATATTCAACAAAAGAACAAACAGCACCGTATTACATGCTGCAACAACTAATTAACAACAAATTTATTCCAACACACTCATCAATTGTAAATACAAAGTCCGACACCATCTCTCATAATTTTGTAGACCACGCTGATTTTAAATCACAAAATAGCGATGATGATAGTTATTATGCGGAATGTGATATATTTGATGAGGATATTCAAGAATTGAAAAAATTGTTTTTTCAGGCGTTAGGTAGTCGCAAATTAGTACCTCGAACTTTCTTTTTCACATATCTTCGTGATGCTTTTTCACAATTAATTTGCAAAGACAGTAGAGGCCATAGATGGAGCCCATCTGTTCTTTGTTTTGCTCAAGATTTATTGGTTATCATGGGATACAATGCGTATGAAGCATTGGCGAGAGGGTTGAAACGAGGACAAGAATTTGAACCCTCTTCTGAAAGATGTAACTTAGTCCTCCTTGTTCATCCACTCTCGACCATCTTTTTCACACCGCATCATATGGAGAAGGGAATACTAAACTAGACAAAGATGACTTTGATAAGCTAGTAGAAAAAATGAAGGTTATTGAAAATCAAAATTTTGGTCTTGTTCAAATTGATGCAATAGATGTAACACCGCATTTAGGAATCAATACCAAGCTTGGGCTTGTATAAGGTGCCAATGAAGGTCCATTGAAGATTAGTGATTGTACTGAACTAGCTCAGAGTCCGAATTTTCCACCCAAGGGTTTTTTAGCTGAAAAAATTGTTCAAACTTTATATTGCAGTATTAACGGTGAAGTTCGAATTCCTGGAAACTTCAAAGTATGCACTACTGAAACTGAACAAACCATTAGAGACACGATTTCTGAATTTCGTGACACATATACTCGAAACATCGTCTGTACTGTGTCAGATGCAGGGTCTGCTAATTACAAATATTTCACATCGAGCCCAAATGAACTACATCATTTTTGCTACAGTCACCATTGCAAAAACATGAGGAATGCAATTAATGGGAGACCAAAATTATATCCGGTTGCCACTAAAGTAGGTGCTCCAAACCTTCAAATTGCACGCCATTCCTCTGCTTGTATTTCTTCCAACGACAACGGAAACGGTTGCCATTTGATGAAAATTGTTATTCAAAGAACACAAACGACCAACATACCACTTTCCTTCATAGTGAATGACAAAGACACAATTTCATTTGAATGGAAAGAAAAAGAACCACGGAATTTTAACTCTGGAGGCATTTCTTTCTATCATAGCAGCAATGACAACGAATTAAGTGTTACGTTGTTGAGTGAAACCCTTCATACTAGCATTGGTAAAGCGTGTGTGGCAAATTTTAGCAATCAAGACATAGTTGTCACCAAAATTTCTTGTTCTATTTTACAAAGATTTGAATTGAACACACTTGATGAAATATATAGACAACAACCTTTAGAGTGGTGTAAAATAGTTAAACGGAGCTCGTTTATCAAATATGATGATCAAATCTGAGGATGTATTACGTGATGTATGCAATTTACAGTTACTTGAAAAATTACGATTATTGAACGAGAGAACCAACTATCGATATTTAGGATTCTATCAGTACTTAAAAGCGATACATGATTTATTTCATGTTTACGATGACAAAAATCATGATGGAACATCTTCACACAATTTGCACGAAGTGTTGCAAGTTCTTAAGGAAAATTTGGACTATTTGAATGAGTGGGATACCGTTTTCCAAGACGTCATTATTTCCAATAAGAATAATAATTTTACATTATCCGGAACCCTCACAAAAAACATCATTATCCATAACATCAAAACAATTCAGAAATTGATCAGAATTATTTCACAAGATGCAGTTTTTGATTTGTCTTTATTGGGAACACGTTCTCTTGAAGGATTTTTCGGAGAGTCACGTGATTATTCAAAAACCACAGTATTGGACTATCATAGAAGTTACTCAAACATGAAAATCAAATTAGTGAAAAAAGAATGTGTGTATCTTTCATACAATAACGATAGAAAGAGGAAATATTGTGATGCCCCTAGTCAAATTAACGAACAAATTTTGATGAGAATGACTGAAAAACAATTTGTTGACTTTAATAATGAAAGAAAGCAAGCTAGAGAAAGCGTGACATCCATTGGGTAAAACTTGCCACCGATTTCATGGAGACAAGTATTTCCAATTACTACAACATTTCACTTCCTGTTTTCCATATTGAAACAAGTGAAGTTTTGCCAAACTTAACAGAACGAATTACATTAACCGACGACATCAGTTTTACCATTGTTCAAACACACGACTCATTAATTCATGCTCAAAATCATATTGCGGCATTTTTGCTTAAAAAGCCCGTAGAATTTGAAATTAAGACTAACCATATTTCTTTGATCAATGCAACCGTAGAGGTTCGCAATTTCAATGAGAACAATGAAAATGCATCTCGACATTCTGAACCAATTAACTCATTTAAAATATTTGTGGCACCAAATCAGACGGATCCATTCAAATTTAAATTAATTGGACAATTTTCATCAACAACCAGCACCAAGCTTTATCAAAAACAAATTGCTGTGATTGTTGAAAATTATCAGTTGTTGTCACCTCCTTTTTACGTATTTGCAAAGAAAACAAAAAACCTCGTTTCGTATTCCCAGCTGAGCCAGGTGGTGGCTTCGTCTCAAGACATGCAATAAAATGTCAAACATTCTTCATCACAAAAAAAGTTCGTCCAAAAATTGGAACACGTATAAAATTGTTCACCTATTTATTTCTTCCGACCACAATTACACCGTATTTTTCAAATCACAACAACATACCTCAAGTCGTTTTATTATTCATTATAGCTCCAGCAGAAGCCTTTGTCCTTCAACAAAGACAAAGCAGCTTTTGCTGGGCGAACAACAAAAAGCTAATGTAACAAAAACACTGAGACGTAGACCGAATGAACCAAATAAAGGAATGTTACACCAGCAAAGAAGTGGAAGTTATAGTTGGGAACGCCAGTTGAAACGGTGTATGTATTTATTATTGTATTACAAAACTCGAGTGGGTTGTAAAACAAGCACAATCGTCCAGAGGTATATCGACTCACCATTAGAATCAAGCTTCACAACAAGTAATTACTTGAATCTTCTTTCACTTTCCTCGATTTTCACATCATTGATACTAGCGTCACGTTTCTTCATCAAGCCCGACTCGCGATCAAATTTCCAATTTTCATTTCCATATGCACGGAACCATTGACCTTCTTCATTATGATATTCATATTCAAAATGAACAGAAATTCGATCATCCAAAAAAGCAAACAACTGCTTCTCCAATTTGTAATCCAATTCATTTGAAAATTTGCGTTGAAGGAATTCACGAATTTCGGAATGTCCTTTCAGGAATTCACTTCGATTTCTCCATTCACAATCTGGAGTGTAGGCTTTGCATATACGATCAATGTCTTTAGAATTCCAAGCATCTTGTGCAAATTTCACCTTTTGGAGGGCTGTTTCGAGAGTGAAAGGAGGTTTAATGATGCTTGGTGTGGAAAGAGAAGACATTTTTTGAGAATGAGGAATCAACAACATGGGCAGTCGTCGTTGGATCCATGAACATTTCATTCAATGATTTAGTACGCCCTCAGGAAGTATTATGCAATATACGGTATCAAGTTGTACACGCATTCCTTTGGATTCTTTTCCAACGTCTTAATTCCTCACTTTTTGCAAACAATTTTGTTGTGGATACTCAAGACTTGTGTTTTTAAACAAAAACATGTTCGCTTGCAGTTTGAACAATAACTTTTCAAATATGCGTTTGGAGTGACAGGTTAATCAATATGAAATTTATCTTTTAAATATTTTCAGGATGAGCCAAAGCAAACTGTATGTAACAAAACTCAAAATTCATTCCTCAATAAATGTAAACATTGTGTGACCTTTAGCAACCTCAATTTTGTGTATGTAACAAAACTCAAAATTTATTCAACATTGTGTGACCTTTAACAACCTCAATTTTGTGTTGTAGTTGCACACTGTACATCACTACTGTCAACTGCCATGACAATATTTTGACCAAACCAAGACATGTCCACGCTTCCAACAACGTCGAAATGTACTTTTTTAGAAGTCATTTCTCTCATTTGCTTCCTCTATCAGCCAGCTCGAATCTCTTTTACTTGTGTTGTTTCTTCTTCAACCAAATATCAAACATTCATACAACACAATAGGATGAATTTCTTTTCCTTTCACTGAGAAAGAAAGAGAGAACACCGTTTCTCCTCTTTCATGATCCGTACTTCAAATCTCTCCAAGGAATTTCACAAGGTGTTGTTTCAAATTTTACCTTTCCGTTGCCGACTTTGCCACTTATTTTCCTTTTATAGACTTTGACAGAGAACAAGTAAGACATCGAATCGATGCCTCGTGTGTCTCTAACACGCACCGTAAAAAACAAACCAAAACACACTTATACGTGTTGTTGTTGTTGAACAAGCTGCAACAGAGAACTGCAATCTAACAACTTGTTGTTGTTGAACCTTTGCCTTGAATTTGTATTTTCATTAAAATACTCTCTGACTGTTTAGTGAACCACAGTGAACTACAGCCATCATCGCTCTTAGTGTGTGTTTTCTTTCTCCAGTTGCACACCAACCACTCGCACAATTCCGAATCATTCCAATAACTCTTCAAGTCATCAATTCCAACAAACAACAACAACCACCAATTCATTCTGAAACATCACTTTTGAAACATTCGCATCGCATTTAACCTTCTCAATAACACTCACAAATTTCTCTATATTTCACTTAAATGCCAGGTCCAAAAGTACATCGAAGTGGTTATGTCTTCAAGAAGGGAGGACTCATTAAATCCATCAAGAAGCGTTGGTTAGTATTGAACGAGGAAGAACTCGCATACTATGAAAGTGTTGAAAAGATGGCTGGCGAGCCACCAATTGATAGAATTTATCTTCGGTTGGTGATTGCTGCTGAAGATACGGGAAAGACTGAAATGATTTCAAAGAAGAATTACTTTGAATTTATTATCAAGACAAATCTCGGAAGGGATTATCAGATTTATGTGGAGACTCCTGAAGAGAGAAGTGTTTGGGTAGATACAATTAATTCATTAACTCATGCTTTTAAGAGTCCTGTGAAATCATTTGAGAAGGTAACGGATCCAAACATGTACAACAAAATGGCTGCTGTCAAAAATTGACATTTGACATTAGGACTGATGAGAGACGTAGTGGTGAATGTTGCCAATCTAGAGTGTGGTAATCCACCTCCACAATATATCCATTCCGAAACTACCGTTCCTCTCGTTCGTTCAATAATCAGCATTCCTCACAATGATTTTGTAGAATAATTATTAGACATCAGAGAAAAGTATCCGTCTCCTAATGTACACTTAGATTTTGTTAAGCTCTCTTGGAATGACTCAAGGTACAATCCCTCGATCATTCATTTGTAAAATAAACTGCAAGACACATTTGTGTCAATCTCTATGCTGATATCGTCGTTCTTTTGCTATCATTGATTTGTGGCACCACTCCTTCAACTAAGAGTTCTCATTTGCGACACATCATTAGAAATCTTCTAAGGTTAAGTTTTAGAATATTTTGTTTTATTATTTTAGAATATTTTGTTTTATTATAAAGGTTGATGAACTAATTTAATCGAACTTCTCAACTTGGTTGATGATTTGTTTACCTCCTCTAATTCTACCAGTTCTACGAGCAGCAATCAAACCGACCTTTCTACCAGCTGGTGTCCATCTTGACACAGTAGATGGCTTACCAATGTGTTGGTGGTTACCACCTCCGTGAGGGTGTTCAACAGGGTTCATAGCAACACCACGGACTCTTGGCCATTGTTTTCTTCCCTTAGCCTTGAATCTAAAGTAGTTGGTTGATGCCTTCAAAACAGGTCTTTCAGTCTTACCACCGCAAGCAATGACACCAACTGTGGCTCTGTTATCGGATGGGAGGGTCTTCTTGACACCAGATGGAAGCTTCACTCTAGTCTTACCATCTTCTGAGTGGGCAATGATGACTGCAGATTCACCAGCAGCTCTAGCCAAAGCACCTCTATCACCAGTCTTTCTTTCAACGTTGCAACAGACAGTACCTTCTGGCAAGTTACCGATTGGAAGAACGTTACCAATCTTCAATTCAGCCTTTTGTCCACAGAAAACAAATTGACCAGTGTACAATCCTTCTGGGGCGAGGAAATATTGGATATCCTTCTTTGGCTTGAGAGGATCACGGAAAGCAATTTCAGCAAGTGGAGCTCCTCTACCTGGTTCGTGCAAGATTTGTCTAACCACACCCTTCATGAATCCTTCTCTTTCAGAGTAGTCCAACTTTCTGTATTGTGGCTTGGCAATCTTGTGGATGGATCTGGTCTTGTATGGACCAGCACCGTTACCCTTTCTTTGTGCTCTAATTCTCTTACCCATCTTTGTCTGTTGTTGAAGTGAATTGAAATTATGTGATCAGTCAATAAAAAGTTTCAAATTAGAAGAACGATGCTAGAAAGACGATGACGTACATTTGTTTTGGCTTATTTTTTTTCGACAACTTTTTTCAAAATTGTGGTCAACTTTATTTTTGAGTTTACAATGGAAGAGTAAATTCTGGTCTTTATTGGCAGCTTGGCAAAGATAGGTCGTGTTGCTCACCAAGACCTAAATGCCAAAAGCTACTTGCTGAACGTCGATCCACAAAGGTTGCAAACCACGTTAACACAAGATTCTCCTTCTCTATTGTTTGGAATTGAGGCACTACCATTTGTTTTTGGTGATGAGGAAAAGAGAGCATGAGGAGTGCTTGTCTGTGCTGAATCATGAGCTTCTTGCTGGTTGCCTTCTACGGCGACAGTGTAGCTGTGAATAATGTCTTCTATTATTTGACATGCTCTCGAACGTGTGGCATACTCACCACATGCTCTACATTGGGCCGAGTCGTAAACAGGATCTCGAATAATTTCAAACGTGAAAGTGTCTCTAGCGATGGGATGATGTTTAGGGCAAGTGGAATGAGTGAATTGTGCTCCTAGTTGCATTGAAAGACGAGAGGAATGAGAGGGTAGGCAAATTGGACATGCATCTCGTGGAGGAGGTATAAACGGTTCTGAAGTTATTCTTTCCAGTAGAGTGGATGTGACATTCTCAGTGTTGCGTTCATTCAGAGTTGGATTGCTTGAAAAAAAAGAAATGAGGGAGCGAGTGAAATCAATGACGGGCTTGTTGGATGATGATGCCTCCTCAGCATTTGTCAATGACTGCATGATGGTGTTGAGATTTCGAGCCATTTTTACATGATCTGAAAGAGTGGTGATAGCTTCATCTTTGTCAATGCAATGATGTGAAGGGAGCAACACATGTGCTTGTTGTGAAGACTCTGGTAAATAATATTTCTTGATCAAACTCTCATAATACAGTAATAACCAATCACACAACAATTGTTGTGTCTTTTGGTTTGTGCCTTGCTTGGTTAAAAATTCCAAGAGTTCAATGGCGTAATGGTGGCGAATGCAATTTCCTAGAGTAATCTTCTTCTGAAAGAGGCGATGCTTGAGCTCATTCTCCAAAGTTTTTGTCTCTGTACAAATATTCGAGTAGAGGAAATAGATTGATTTTTTCAATTTCCAGTCTTGGTTCTTTACAGCATGTTCAAAAGAACGGTCGAGTATGGCTTCTATAAGATGACTCATGTCAGGTTGAGTAAGGCAAGAAGAAATATCAAACAATTGTTCCCTACATGTCAATCCCCTAGTAATTTTAGTCGTGAAATAATCAATGATATGTGATTGAGAGATTTGTTGTTCTTGAGGTATATGATAAAGCGCTCTAATTGCATGCATGAAGAGAGGGATGATGTAAATTCTAGTTTTGCTTCGATGCTCAAGATCCACTCTTATTTCTTTTAGGGGAGGTCTTTCGACAGCAATGGCAGCATGAATATGATTAGGAGAGAGTGAGCAGCCCCAAATTGGAAGATCAGATCTCTTTGGAATAATTGTTACTGAAATATATCTATCTGGAGCTTGGGAGAAAGAATCACCAACGTGTGGCTGAGGATGTTCCACTATTTTCCATTGAACCAAGCTTCCATCAAGTGAGCTCGTATAAACCATAATGGCATTCAAAGTGCAATGAGTTTGAGAACATTCAATCGAAACTTTCTGAATAGAAATGGAAGAAATGATATGATCCTGACAAGAGAAAGACTTTCTCCATTTGAGAGTCATATCTTCACTAGCATTAATGACAAATTTACAAATGAAAAATTTCTTTGCTTTCGCATAAGCAATGTACAGAATATCTTGGTCGATTTCTGCAGTTGAACTTGAAGAAACAAAGAGGGATTCAATTGAGATCACTGGAATCCCATCTTCTTGAAAGTATTGAGAAAATTGTTGTTGAGACATATCACTGACCGATAACAAATCCTCTAGTTTTTCAATGTTTTGATTGAATCCTTTAGGAAATTTCAAAAACTTGAGGTCGCCGCTTGGACTTGCACAAACAACCTTGAAGTGATTTTCTGACTCCTTTGAGGGAAGAAACTTTACCATTGATAAAAATGTGGAAAAAACTTTGTGATATCCAATGAGTTGAATGTCAATTTTCTCATCATTTGTTTGCATAACAGAGAAAATTGACATAAATCCAGATTTTGATCCACACACCAAATAAAACGCGTTTTTCTTTGTTTCATCGTTTAAATTAGTGAATGTAGTTGAGAAATCAAAACATAATATTTCCGATAAAGTCAGTCGTTGAAAATAATCTTGTTGAGAGAGCTATTTAAGATATATATATACCACCAATGGTTAGTGCTTTAAAGTTGAGCAAGACATACCTCTTCATCTTTGGCTCGAGCTGATCCTCTTGTAAAGTAAAGCCTTTTTGGCTTTTTTGTTGTTTGCTGCTCCTCAGAGTCTTGTTCCTGTGTGTCATTCAATTTTCTTTTTGAGCTACTTTCCTCGTTATTTTGCTCGTCATTGGTGTGATTATTTTCTGCCGTATTGCTTTTTTTTGACTTCTTTTTTGTAGATTCTGCCTTTTCCTTCTCAGGAGAGTAGATATTACAGACCACATCAGACCTTTGGCCTTTTTCCTTATCTTTTCTCATTTTAGTTCTCAATTTAATGTAGAGATTTTTAGTAATACTCTCTTTTGAAATGTTAAATTTTTCCATTCTTGATTTATATGCTTCCAAAGTGCTCTCCAGTACCTTGTCATAAATCTTTTGTTCTTGATCTGTCCATTTTCTGTATCCAACCTGTTTTCATGAATGAAAAATTGTAGTTACTGTGGTACGGTAAAAAGAACACTTGAACCTACCTGATATTCTTTTTTGGAAGGATCAAACCCAGACTCTTCGGTGAAATTTTTGTAAAAATCTGCAAAAAATTGTTGTTCCACGCTCATGACAGAGGAGTTCTTTTTTGAGGAATGAATTCTAGTTTTCTTAGCAACTGTAGTGATGATTTGAGAGGGAGGAGGAGGAGGCATAATTATAGTTTGGAGAGTCGAGGAGTTTTGAGACTCATTTTCAATGGCTTGTAAATTTTTGTCATTATCTTGCAAAATTGACCTTACATCGCAGACAAGCTCCCAGTTTGTTGAAAATGAAAAACTTGGTTTTTTGTAAATTTTACAGTTATTGTCAGATGTGGAACAACATAAAAGACATCCAAAATTATTAGTAATGTATGCTTTTGTGAGATTATTGGAAGGTACTGGAGGACTCCAACCAATGCTACGGAAGCAGCTTGGAAGAAAACGGACGAACATGGAGGGATGAATGACTGATCTATCTTTGAAATGGGTTGACGTTCTCACTGGTTCTTGATTGGTTGTTATAACTCCATCTTCAGATTCAGTTTCTTTGTGCAAAACAATAATTCCTCTCTTGTCTGTATTCGTGTTCATAATACAAATTGAATTATTTGTCAGTAGTGCAATTGAATTATTATCGTTACACCATTTGATTGAACTCGGAAATGAATTTCTTGCATTAAATTCTTCAATAAACGATCCATAGTTATCTGGTGGTGCATTCTCTTCCAAAGATGATGACGAGGAGGCAGTATTAGTTTTTCCGATCGGATCGTTATTATTATTGATTGTGTTGCTCATAGATTCCTCAATATTATTATTATTATTATTGTAATTATGATTATTATTATTCGAAATAGGGTAATGTCTTTCTTCATCATCAGACATGGAACCGTCGTCCATGGATAGATGTAAAAACAACGAGCTTTTCTCCGTCGTTGGCTCCGATGGTATCTTTTCTTTGCTCATTTTTTTTTCATCGAGAAATCTCCTATTGAACCCTAAATAGTCAAAAGCCATGAGAAAACAAAAACAAGGCTTTGAATTAATTGGATTGAGCATTCGGAGAATCTAAAGGATTTGAGTTTGACTGCTAGAGTGACTCCAACTCGAATAACTCCACATAAACTCACAGGGTTGTCCAATCGTAGCAAAACCGACCAAGAAAATCAAAAAAATCCACCAATTTACTCAACCTTCATCTCTCAATCTTGCTGACATGAGTTGACCATCGAGGCTATTCTCCGAACACACTACCACCATCATCAACACACACACAAACACCAATATATTATCCAACCAACCATGTCCAATAATAGTAATTCTAATGCTAGTACTTTTTTACATTCTACAGCTCCGATACCTTGGAATTTTCATTCGACCGACATGATGGACCAATGCAACTATGCAAGTCCTCTCTTCATTTCCCGAATCAACAAAATACCTCCTTCTAATTTCTACAGAATTTACTTGTTGGGAACAATATTTGGATTGGGAATCATTCTCTATGTCACTGCTTTTGCACTCGTGATTATTCGGAGGAACAAGTCTCCACTTCGGGATCGTTCTGTATCGCTGCTATTGATCTCTGGAATTAGTGGAGCTTTAGGACTTGCCTACATGTATTCACGACTGTATTTTGATTTGATTTTAGTTTGTCCCATCACTTACTATATGGTGGGATTAGTTCAATTTTCATATTTTCTTCCCTACTTGTTTCGTTGTTTTCGAACAATCATGCAATATAAATTAGCTCAAGCACAAGCAGCCATCATGGAAGAACAGGAAATTTCTGCAGAGGAGGATAATATTCATGTGAGGGATTTGAATAGTTATTATTATAGAATGGAATCGATGGAGAGTGGAAATCGGTCAAGAAGAAGACGAAGGAGAAATAGAGATATTCGTGACAATACCTTTCTCGCAAGTGACAATAGCAATGACTTGAATATTGTTGAAAGGCCATTGAATTACGACTTTTTGTCGTCAAAAAAGAGAATTACACAGGGCAACATGATTTCCGAATTGGCCAAGAATGAAAAATATTCTCGTCTCATTAGTAGTCAATATTATTTCTCTGAGGGCTTTCTTCTCATAGTGATGACCATCATTCTCATCGTATGGGCAATGATTATATTTATGGCACACATGATACTCATGTTTGGATTTAGTTTTATTAATCCAGTTTGTCAAAAGAGGTGCAATGAAGATGAGGGTATGGCCTTGCGAGTATTCGTTTGTGTCACCATTATTCTCATTATTCCATTTGCATTTTTATTGTTCAAAATGAGGAAAGTGAATGATGATTTTTCGATTCGAAAAGAAATGATGGTCATGCTATTCTTTAGTATTATTGTAGTGGCCATTCCTTTAATTGTATTATTAGCACTTCCTGGACAGTTTTGGCCTGATCAACCTACAATTGGATATTTTCTGGGCATTGAGGTTGTAGGAAGTTTTATTATTTCAATTATTTATCCTCTGAGTTCAACATGGGTTCGAGATATTGACTTGTCGAATATTTTCAAGAGATGGAAGCAAGGAGTGAAGAAGAATTCTGATCACATGCACATTTCCACTGCAAATATGAGTTTAAATCAACCCCTCGATTCAACTCTGGCTGAAAATGCCATTCCATTCTATGAAAAATTCGAATTTTATTTACAAAACAACGATGCAAGGGAGGTTTTCAAACAATTCCTAGTGAGAGAATTGCACGTGGAGAGTCTCATGTTTGTCACTGAAGTGCAGTATTTTAAGAGTTTGGATCAGGAGGATGAATTATTGGGAGAGATTGCGAAAACTCTTTTTGCAACCTATGTCAGAGATGGAGCACCTTTTGAAGTGCACATTTCACACAAAGTGAGGAATGAATTAATTAACAATTTAGAACGACCTTCTCTGGACATTTTCAACAAAGCTGAACATGAGGTGTTAAAAGTTATGGAAACTCAAAGTTTTTCTCGTTTTAAAAAATCAAATTTATTTTCAACCTTTACTGAAAGATTTAAGAAAAAGTAAATTTGATTTGTGAATTTGAAGAACAGCCTTTACTATTTGCAATCATTAATAATTAAATTGGAACTATCAATTTCACCATTGGCCATCATCAATAATATCAATGAATGTTGATATTGAACATCTAACCAATATTATTATTTTAATTCAGGAATGGGTTTATTGAACATTTGATAATTAAAATAATAAAAAATGAAACGCCTTGCTAACTGGAGGACATTCAACACCTCTTCTTCATCATCTTTATCGGAGATGCCTTTAGTAAAATCAAAGAAGGCTAGTTCAAAAAAGGGTGAATCTACAATCATTCATCATCCTAAGAATGCTAACAAGTTTCAGAATTTTCTAGTACCATCCAAATTCCGAGAAGGAGAGGAATATGTACTCACTCATCAACAACGAGAGGATCATTCAATTTATACATTTAGACATGTCATACCTTACATACATGTTTATAATCAGAACGTGGAAAATTATGAAGGAAGAATGATTGGAAAGCCTTTCAGAGAGGCTTACTGTTCCGAATATGGAATTGATGAAAATACTTTTTCTCGAATGTGCGAAATGGGAGTCATCACTCTAAATCATCAACAAATTACGGCAGCAAGAAAACAAGTACAAAAATTGAGAGAAGGAGACTCTTTTCAAGTTCGAGATATTCGTATGGATAGACCTATTAAACATTTTGATCAATTAGAAATTATTTACGAAAATGAGGACTTTGTGGTTGTGACAAAACCAGATAGTGTTTGTGTGCATCCAATTCGAAGGTATCACAAAAATTCTCTTTTTTACATGATGGAACATGAATATGATGAACATTTTGGAAATGATTTACATTGTAAAAGTATGTAGTGTTGTTGTGTGTATTTTTTGGATGACCCTTTGTATGAAATAACACAAAAATTTCACTTTTGAAAGCCATTCATCGATTGGATCGTCAAACAAGTGGTGTTTTAATAATAGGAAAAACGAGTAAAGGGGTAAATTTATTTCAAAAACAGTTCAAAGGACAACAAATGAGCAAGCAATATATCGCAAAGGTTCATGGTCTTATTCGTGAAAATTCCAATTTTGAAATTAACGATCCACTCGTGTGCATTCAACCATGGGATGGCCTTTACAAATCAATACCGAATCGCGAGAAAGATTTAGAGTATCGTGAGCTCTGTACAAAGAATCAAATCAAATTTGATCCTAAACCTTCTAGGTGAGTAATTGTCGATTAATTTGATTAATTTTGCAACGATATAAATTTTTAAAATATATTTAAATATTAATTTAATAATAATAATTATAATAATTTTAAATGGTGACAAATATTTTTGGATGGACCATAACAATTTCAAAAACACATAGAACCAAATTTCAAGTATTACTTCGAAATGAACAAGAAAATACCACAACCTTATTATGCACTCCCATCACAGGAAGAACACATCAAATAAGAGAACATCTTTCAGGAAGAGGGTTTCCCATCATTGGAGAAGAATCAAGCAAGACTAAGCTCGATCCTGAATATTCTGAAAAACGTATTGACACAGGAACGGATATTTGGAATTACAAATTGGATTTATTTGAGAAGTATGGTCTTGAATCACCACAAGTAGCAATGCAAGCGTTGGAGGATACAGTATATGGACGTTCTTTTCAAATTCCACAAGATCTCTGTCTATTTTCTTTTAGATATAAAGTTGGACCTTTTGATTTCCAGAGTGCACTGTTCGTTCCAGAGTTTTTGAAACGTGATTGGAAAGAGATTTGTTTCATGTTGAAAGGAGGAGGCAACAACAGAAAACGTAATTAAGGAAATTTTTCAAGTCACACAGATTTGGGACAACTTTCTCAGGTGAATCCATGAATGACGTGCATGCACAAATAAAGGACATAACAAGATCATGCCAATCGTGGAAAAGAATGAACTCCATATTATTGAACAACAAATTTGGACTGAGCTACAAAAGCATCAATCATGCTACTACTTGAAATTGGATAATTCACCAATTGGACTGTCTTTCCATCCTCTGAGAGAGTGGTGTGAGGTTGAATAAAGACTTTTCTTGGTTGTTTCTTATCCAATACAATCTTTCTCATTTTGACAAACTCTTCAGGTACAGAAGTGTATTTTTGGAAAAGTTCCATGGCTGCATTTTTGTCACCAATGGACTTGTAGACATTAATCTTCAAAAGATAATCGTAAATGGCCTTCTTTCCGACTGTTTCAATCTTGGTCTTGTCTAAAGATAGTTGTAAATCATTATCTAATTGCTTAATTTCAATTAGACCATTTCCAGCTTCGAGAAGAACTCTAAGAATTGAGTAACGAGCACGCATGTGAGCTTGGAGCCAGGCACCTGTATCAGGATTATAAAATTGTAAACCCATTAATCCTGCTCTGACCATATTCAACCAATTGACATAAATGATTTTATCAGCCTCTTCTCCCTCAAAGCCACAAATCTTGAGAATTTCACGATCCAAGCACAAATAAATTCCAACACATTCTGCTCTGCATTCTTCATAGGCATTACTAATTTCACCAATGACTGAGTTGAAATTTTCTCCTGGTTTGTAGAATGTGGTCACAGGTTGTTTGGTGATTGGATTAATGACATTGGCAATATCAGATTCTTTCAATAGAGAGCCGCTTCCGTGTCCCAAAAGTTCATGAAGAATGACTTGGACTTCGAATGCTTTTCCCTTGTATTCCGTGTACAATTTCTTATCTTCCTCGCTCAAGAATGTAATTTCTTCACCAGAAGCAACAGGAGCACCCAACACATTTCCCAATGAAACGTTCTTGAAACCGTGTTGATCTCGAATGTTGAAGGAGTTTGGGATGTTAATGCCAGCCGGTAATCCAGAGCTTGTGAATGTAATAACTTCGAGGCTGTTGTTTCATTAAAGAAATTATATTATTATAATAAAATATAATAGTGAGAAAATAGTACCACAATGCAGTAAAGTGTGAGCGAGTAAAATTCAGTAAAGGAAAAAGTGCACTCAGTGGTTGAAAAATATTGGTGTCACAAACAAACATACCTTGTAAAATCAGGTTTGGTAAATTTGGCGGCCTCGAATGGCTTTCTGTCACCATTAGTTGTGTCTTCATTCCAAGGTAATCGAGCAATAAATTTTTCAGCATTATCTACAATAGTTTGAGCCTTTTGACTTGCCACCTTGTTCACAACTGCTACGAATCCTTCAAATTCTGCTCTCACTCTCAAAGGATCTCTGTACGATTCAATAAATCCAATATTTGTCTCTATGATGGGACCTTTGTCTTTAACCCATGAGATTTGAGAATCTAAGAAATCTTGACCATTACCCGAGTCAAAGAATTGAATGTATTTTCTCAACATTTCTTTTTGGTGCTCGTTGGCAGCAAATGGCAAAGCCTTCCCCAAGTTGTCACGAATATTTGCCAACTGTTTGCTAAAATCACCATATGTAATAGTAATCGTAAGATCTTGGAAAGTGTGAGTGGTGAGTTCCTTGACTGTCGCACTTGCAGTCTTGAGCTCGAATTTCTTGTCACCAGTCTTGAATAATCTTGTATGTTCAATATGAATTTGTTGTTGTTCCATGAAGGTCTTGACCAACTCAGCCTCCTGTTCTGTCACATCTCTCGAATAGTAGGTAGAGTTACCAAAACCCAACTCTAATACATTGCTCTCCAGACTGTACATGGCGTTTCTGATCTTTTCAAAAAGATCAATGGCTTGTTGATTTCCACTTGCCTTTACCACCTTTTCAAACTCCTCAGGTTCACATCTTGGAATGAATTTACAATCTCCAAAACTCAAATAATTACCCATATTTCCAAAGAATGAGACTGCATAATTAATAACAGCTTCATAATCATGTTCAGAGACTCCAGCTTTTAAAGCCTTTTCTTTCAAGCCATTCGCTTCAGCTCCTCCTTTAAACAACAAACAAAGTAATTGATAAATTTGAGGACTCTCCTCCGAGACTTGATGCAAAACAATGGGTGTTCCAGCGATGGCTGCTCGTGAAAAGTAATGGGCATACAATTTTTGATCATCACTGAGAGCATTCCAAGCCTCTTCAAGCTCCAATCGTGTTACAGGAATTTTCTCGGGACACACATAGTGTTTTAATTTCTCATCTTGAAGAATGGATTGAACGTTCAATTGAACCATGTTGATGATGGAATGATGGCTGAAAAATCGTTGTTGTTGTTGGTAATATGGAATATGAAAAAGAGAGGAAGAGTTTGAGGTGAATAATAATGATGGATTTTTCTTGTAGTAGCAATGATGATGATGATCCGAACCGCCGATTGGCTTTCTTTTGAGAAAAGAGGAAGAAACAATTCCGAGTGAGTCCAGTGGCCACAGAAAGGACTTTTTTTTAGATTGAATTCCAAAAGCTGCTGTTTCCGCTAAGCGTGTCATCAACGACATTTTTTAAAAGAATCCAACTCAGTTAATAGGATAAGAATTCTAAAAGAATGTTGAAGATGTTTGTATGTATTGAGTATGATACAACTATCCATTAGAGTTTAAATTACTTTCTTGGTGAGCTTTATGAATGGCAATGATATTTCTTATTTTTTTAAGGTGGAATTAAGGAACAATAAAAAAGTCCTCCCAACGTGTTACTGCTGCTTTCTATTGACTTGACAATTTCAAAGTTTGTTTCCATGATTCACATTGACTAATCTTCTCCCACCAAGCTCTCACATGAGGTCTTTCCTCAATCAAATGTCCCAAATTGACTTTTGGATGAAATAAATAATTTCCAACAGGCAAGTGAAACAAATCTGCCAAAGTGAACCTGTCGCCTCCTATATATTCCTGATTGGATAAGATCTTTTCATAGACATCCAAATTCTGAGTGAGTTTGTGAGTGAGAAATTTCACACGTTCTTCATCAGGAGCTCCAAGACCTTTCATACCTTTCCAAACCAACTCAAACACGAGAGGAGAAGCAGTGGAATCAAAATAGCTTGTCTCAATTGAGGCACCTTGTTCAAAGATTCCAAGAGCTTTCACATCATCCTTCTTGATTCCATAAAAGGGAATTAATTCAGTTCCTTGATTCGAGTATTTGGTTTCCAAATATCGACAAATTGCTCTACTTTCATACACCAAGAATCCATCATCCTCCAGGACATGCACCACTCCAAAAGGTTGTTTCTCCAAAAACCATTCTTGTTTTTGTTCACCCTTAGACAACTGCACTGGAATGTACTCGAATGGGAGAGCTTTTTCAAAGAGAGTCAAAACGACACGTTGGGTGCAAGTGGATCGATAAAGACCATAAAGCTTGAGGACCATATCTGTGGAAGAGGTGTTATTATTGTTCTTCTAGTTTAAATTGCAACGTTGTGGTTATTGTGGTAGTTATGGTTGTTTGTGGAAAAAGAGAAGAAGATTTTAAGGAGAGAGAGAAAACTGTTGTGGTTGTTGAGTTGGAAGGGTGTGTTTTTTCTGTTCAATGTTTTAAAACAAGTGTTGAGTTGGCCAATGATTGGTGAGCTTTTGAATTGGTGAGAGGATTTTCTGGACACCCGAAATGATTTTGCGCCCGCATGTCACTCCATGCGTTTCGCGAGAACATTGGGGATAATGTTGGTTTGAGATGGTTCTGTCAACCGCGGTTGACCTCTTGACGTTCTTCCACTTTGGATGTTTTGGAATTTAACATCATGCATGAATGGATTTGAATGTGCAGCAAGACCAAAAGTAATTTTCTCCTTCCGTTACGACAGAACGCACAAACTCGATAGTTTCCGCGCATTCCTGTTTTTGTATATAAAGTTCGACCACCCCGACCGAACAATCAGAAAAACAACAACAAAAATTAAGACACAACAACCACCAACCACATTGTTTCTTCTACCTTCCCACAACTATTCAAGACGGAGGAGGAATTTTCTTTTCATTATTTTTGAAGTATTGACCGTTCAAGCATTGTTATTCTTGATTCTTCATTCCGAACGACAAGCATTGTTTCAAAACACATTTCCAAATTACGAAGAAGAAGAATTTGATTTCATTTATCATCATCACCATAAATTTCAAAACATCATGACTCTATCATTCGTAAAAGTTATTAAAACAATTCTCGGAAAGGAACAATCGGAAGGCGTCGGAGCTCGAGTCATCCGAACCATCGGAGGACAAGTTTCTTACCATGATCCATTTCTATTATTGGATGAATTTAAGGTTTCGAAACCTGCAGGATTTCCCGATCATCCTCATCGAGGTTTTGAAACAGTCACCTACATGTTGGATGGCTCATTCCGACACAAAGACAATCAGGGAAACAGCGGAGTGATTGGTCCGGGAGATATTCAATGGATGACTGCAGGACGAGGTGTCGTTCACAGTGAAATGCCAGAAGGAAGTGGTGTGAATACTGGAATGCAACTTTGGGTCAATCTCAAGGCAAAGGATAAGATGGTAGAGCCACAATATCAAGATTTGAAAGCTTCAAACATTCCAAAAAAGAATATTGATGAATTTACAACCATTTCCGTGATTGGAGGAAAGAGTCAATCGGTGGAAATTGAAAGTCCTCTCAAATTGAGAACGAAGGTCTTGTATTTTGATCTCAAAATTACAAAGAACGGACATTCTTACAGAGAAATCATTCCAAAAGGTTATCAAGGATTTGTTTATGTCATTAAGGGATCTGGAAAATTGCTTCAAGATAATAACAAGTCAGAAAATGCTCCAGAAAAATCAGCCTTACTGTTTAAGGAAACCACTGAGGATCAAGCATTCGAGTTTGTGACCACCTCTGACGCCACACAATTTGTTGTGATTGCTGGTGAGCCAATGAAAGAGCCCATGTCTCGATATGGCCCATTTGTCATGAACACTCAAGAAGAGATTTATCAGGCCTTCGAAGATTATCAATCCGGAAAGTTTAAATAATTCTTGTCATATTGCATCGACATCAAGAGAGACACAATAATTATTTGTCTCACCATTGGACTGCGCCTCTTTGTGTGGCAATTGAAACACAATTTGTACAAACATTAAACACCTAAATGAACTAATAATTTAATTTCAATGCAATATTCACAATCGAGTTCTATATAGTTGAGAGAACTTGAGATCTTCTGCTGAAAATCCTCACAAAAGAGAGAAAAAGAAACCCTTCGAATGTGTGGAAGGACCTCTCAAAGTATTAAGAAATTCGTTCCAGTGCTCCATGTTTCAGCCTCTCAATCACTTGCCATTCTGTTTGCGATTCTGTAATGAAATATTTTCGAATCATTAAGCGTTTAATGGTTAAGGGGTCATCCCCAGTCACAACAAGTGCTTCATCAATCAATTTCAAAAACTCAGAGCTCGACATGAACATCTGCATGTCAGTATCGACAAGAAAGGCAAGTGCTTTTTTCGCTCCAAACTTTTCGTAACATTTTCTATAAGTTTCCTCAGCCTTCGCATAATTATCCATCAATGCATAGCATTCAGTAATGTTGGTATATGCATCAACTTGTACTTGAGTATATGTTGAAAGTTCCAAACATTTATCATAGTCCTTAATGGACTCTGGGTACTGTTCGAGCTGTGCATAGGCATCTCCTCGATTTTGAAATACTAGAGCGTGCTGATTAAAGTGAGAATGACCAATATTGTACTGCTCAATTGCTGATTCGTATTTTCCCACAGAATAAAAACTACCTCCAATGTTGTTGTAGAGTCCTGCCAGCTGATAGGGTTCCAACTTTGGCAAGAAATTTGTTTCAAAATGGTATACTAAGGCCTTCTTATAAAATTGAATTTCGAGATCAAATCGATCTTGATCAGAGTGTAAAATTCCAAGCCAGTTTAAAATGGCATAGAAACTTTCATATTTTGTCAAACAATACAAGGGTGAAGATTCCAAAGTTTTTTGATGTCTCGGTGATAACACGTATTGCAAAGCTCGATGAAAATAGTAGAAACTCGATTCATAATTTTTCTCATAGAGACAAAGAGAAGCACTAAAAATACAGTACCAATAGTCGTGGTTAACAATGTTAACCACCATGGTTTCCTTCTTGTCAGTTTCTTGTTCTCGAACATGGCTAGAATTTTTCAAACGTTCTCCAAACAATTGTGAATGGTTGTTATACGAATACACTGTGAAAAACATTCCTATTTTTAGTGTTCTCAATTGGAGGGCATTGAAGCCTAAGGACCAGTAAAGAGATGACTTTCTAAAGTACGCATGTCCAAAATACGGCAGTATCTTGATTGCTTCATTAATATATTTCTCGGCTTTATCAAAATTATTCCTCGCAATTTCCAACTCAAATAAATAGATGAATTGATTATATTTTTCGAGTATTGATTTCGGAATGATCATGGGAAGAATTCTCGGATGTGCAACTTCATCATCCATGAAAGTTTCCTCGTGTTCATCCACAAATTGATAATAATCCTGAATAGCAAGTCTATGCTCTTTACTAATCGGAGGATTTAACAATGACATGGTGGTAGGTATTAACAATTTCTCGCTTTCATCCATTCCTACCGAACTTGATTGCTCCATTTTTTGTTTAGATAGTTACATAAACGAATCGAAATACCCATGAGCATGTTGGATCAAACGCAAACAACATGATTTATTCAATGTATTGATCCAATTCGTTCACCTCATCAAATGGCAACACATCAATCATGCAATTCTTCAAAACTCCCATAATTTGTTTCATACTTCTCATTGAGAACAAATCCTTAGCATCGACGGTGGTCAAGATATTCTTCACATCGAAAACATTTCGAATCTTGCAAATACTGTATTTTTGTGAATCGACTGGGCTCACTGAATCGGTATAACATCCTGGATGAGAATTGAATGCATAATCGATAATTCTCTCGCAGGTCCATCCCTGGGAAATCTTACTCACCACATTATCCATCAAAGCTTGTTGTAAGCAGTGGCCAGTCGAGGCTACCCACTTCTTTGAATATTCACTCTTGTAGGCTCCAGACGAGAGATCACTAAAGAATTTAGTGCAATACTTGAAACCGTAATTGATAGCATAACCATTAGAGCCACATGGCATGATCTTTTCCAAACAATCCGTGTAGAAGGAACACTTGTCGTATTGTTGAATGGTTCGGAGGCAAGTGGCTTTCAACTCGGGTGTTAGCAGAGAAGAAGAGACGGACACTCCACCTCGAGTAAGAGCAGCTTGAGTGTTGCAAGAGAAGAGGATGATAGCTACTGCAGCCATCATTAGTAATGGAAGAAGGAATAGAGACTATGATTGAATAGGCAGAGGTGTATGTAAATGGAGATGATAATTGAAAATTTGATGAAATTATTGGTATCGTTTCAATAACAGTAATCATCATGAAATGAATATTCAACATTTAGATGAAACAAATGTACGTAAAGGAGAATAGAATCATCATGATGAATGATGAAACAATACGGAGAGAGAGATCCATAATATTGGAAGTTGTGTTTCAAGCCGTCATCCACACACACTGGTCAACAATTCTTCATGTTCAAAAAAACAACACACCTTCATCTTTTGGGTCTTTTTTTGTTCATGACATTGGTCGGAAATTGACTTCTTCGCATTTGTGATTCGTGGTGGGTGAGTGGATTAAAAACCCCTCAACCAAATAGTATTCAAGACTCACGGAGAGAGGAGGTATCATTACGACTAACAGTTAGAGTTTGATTGAGCAAATTGAACAAGTTCAAGCAAGGTTCAGAAACTCGCTCCTCCAGAAAATGTCATCACCACAACAGAAGACCCCAACCCGTATCTGGTTGTTTGATTTTCTATGGAGTGATGATGATAATGCAAAGCCCTTTCTCTATTCATCACCACAGCAAAAGCTCACCCATAAATTCCAAAACCAAATGAAAGGCTTTACAAAATGGTACCTCGATGAAATCTCCACACAATTCTCATCAACAACAGCCAAAACTTTTAATGAACTTTTTACTCGTAACAACAAGCAGGCCTGGACATTTGCTGTATTTCAAGCGCTTTTATTCAAGAACTGGAGAATACTTGATTTTGTTTCAAAACAAGTACTCTTGGACGACAACTTTAGAAAACACTTGAAAGAATTATTGCATTTCCATAAATGTTGCCTTGGATCCAGATAATCGAGAATATGTGTTGAAAACAATAAGCGTGACTTTTCGTCATATTAATTCGCATTTCCTTCCTTTGAGAACAAACGGGCAATGACTGATGTCCTTTTCTTGTTAGGGAACATAACCTGCTGAAGATCATTGTTCAAGTGAACAATTGATGAATGCAGCAATCCATTCTTGTGGAATGACAGACAACAAAATCAAATTTAAGAATTTTTGAATTTTATAAATTATGAAAAAGACAATGCGAAATCTTCGTCTTAATCAACATCAACATCTTCGAATTTTGGTTGAGCACCTCCTGTGGATGATTCACCACAAGTCATTTCCCATGCACTTACAGTATGCATCAGAAAGACTTCGAAACGATAAGGAGCTTGTATGGAATGCTGTTAAGGAAAATGGGGAAGCCTTCCAATTTGCTTCTCCCAAATTGAGAAGTGATAAAACGATTATTGCGACAGCATTGTTAAAGGGAAATACATTGGTTACAAGTTACGTCTCTGATGCAATGAGAAACTCGGAACTGCAAGCAGCAGTAGACATGATTCATGAAAATAGAAATAATAATTTTCTCTGTATAATTGCAAAACGACAATTCTCTCTTTTTAGAAGCATTCAAACGTTCAGGTGAATAGTGTTTCAAAAAGCATGTTGAATGGTCATATTTTTCAGAGTTAAAAAGAATAAGGCTGGATTTTGAATATTATGGATGTGATATATTTGAAAGATTTCTTGTGACCAAACACCCGCTCTATCTATTGGAGAATGGCGATTTTTGGTTCATAACGAGAGATATTTATCTGGCGTGGACAAAATATTTATTCGAGCAGACTGATTCGAATATTGATTGGAGACATATATTTGACCCTTTACACGTAAATCCTGAAGTCTGAATAAGGATATTGTTCAATAGTTAATATTTAGAATAAAAATTGGCTTGACATTTTCTTGTAAAGCTAAATCTTTCAATGCCCCAATCTCTTGGTTTTATTGTTATTTACAATAGGCCATGAACAACTTTAAAAAATGCCAAATCGAGCACCCTCCCCAGCCATCACCTCCGGTTATCATGATGACGGTGCAGCCTTCGCTCACGAAACGGACCACACTCCACTTTATGGATTTTTCCTCATTCTTGTATTAATTTTTGCAATCATCAAGACATTTATTCACAAGAGCATTGTATACACGTTCCGATTTTTGAAGAAAATTATTACGGGAAAAGACTATGAATGCGTGTTTTGTGGCTTACACAAATTGGATGATGAATATAATACTATTGTGTTGTATAGAGATGAAATTTGTTATATTGTTGAGGATATCAGACCTGAGGCAGAATTTCATTATTTAGTCATTCCTTTTAAACATATTCATAGTAGACGAAAAATTGAAGATTTGGAGACATTACGTGTGGGTACGTGTGTTTTTGACATCTACAATCTCTGTACCATTCATGGTGATTGCTCTCGACAAAATTTCGAAAATTTCCATATTTGATATTTTGAATTATCGTATTTATTCGACAAACAAAATAATTCATGACATGATGTTTGTGCATAATCAGTGAAACACATGAAAATTGTTGGACAGCAATTTGCAAAGAGAAGACATTATGAAATGTGGAATGAAATGAGCAGTAATGGCATTGCGGAAGATAGAACCGGTTTCCATTTACCTCCTTTCAACTCGGTAGAACATTTACACATGCACATTTTGATTGGAAAATTTAAAAACTATCTTTCAAAACTAGAATTTACTCCAAACACCTATTGGTACGCCACTTGTGACGACTTGATCGAGGATGCAAAGTCTAAGAAAAAATCAATGTAAATAATGCATCATCAAATGTTCATACATGCATGGATAAAGTAGGCAAAAATTTTCCCGAGATTCATTATCCACATAATTATATGAGTGAAGTAATGTTTAGCCGTCCTCACCCACACCTCCATCAATTTTCCTTTTTTGTAACTTAGATAAGGTTTTCATCATTGGTTTTCATGACATGTAGCATTTCACAACCCAATTGCCTTTAAATCAAAAGAATACACACAGAAAAAACGCCAACATTTCATCAGCACGAAACCACCATTTAACATTTGAATACCTGTCATCACCCAATGCCATCATCGTTTGAATATACTCCCCAATTCACATACTCTCTCTCCTCTATTACTGACCTCTTCAATCAACATCCAGAGTTCACAAATCTTCTACCATCATCCACACACGAAATTATCTCTTCATCCCCACTTCTTGTGAAACAACAACGACAGTCTAGTAATGGCCTCTTATCATCAGCAAAAAATCACGATTCCAGCAACCACTCAATTTTCCCTTGTATTCATGGCCTCAGTGAACTTTTAAAAGAGGATTTGCACAATCCCCACAGTAATCTGCTTCATGATGACATCAATAATCCACAAGAGAACCCAAAACAACAGCCTTTTGAAAACCTTACGCCTCGTGCCATTCTTCCATCGACGTCACCATCCAACCATGTGTCAGCAAGTCATTCAAATTCTTGTCAAACAAAAACACCCTCTCCAAGCGATGGTTCACAATCGAAAGATGTCGTTCAACATCACAATTCCACCACCATTGATTGTGGAGTTGTAGTTGAGAATGGTGACGATCTTGTGAAATCATTACCTTCCTCCATTCGGTCATTGATATCGAACCAACAGAATGTCATGGCACCTCAACAACCATCAGCTCTCGATTTTGTAACAGCTTATGCAATGTTCTTGCAGAATCAACAAAAACAACAAACCTCACCATCCTCTTCCAATCTGAATGTTGATTCTTCCAGAAAAATACCTTTAGCAACCAATGAGTACAGCACTCACCGTTTAAACACAGGAATCCTTGATGTATTAAGTGGAAGCTCCATGAACAATCCAAATGCTTTCATTCTTATGCAAAAACATAACCAACAACAAACCTTTGAGAGAACTCAACCACCTCAACAATACACAACTTTTCGCTCTTCATCACCTTCTTCGAGTTCAATACCAACACCAAACACCTCCAATTCTATTGATCCATCGAATTTTGAACCTTCCTCCAACACACAGAAACGAAAGAGGAATGCCGATAAGGATCATTCTTCCAAAAAACAAAAGAAGAATTCCTCTTCACTCATTTCATCCAAGAAGGAAGAAAAGCTCAAACAAGAACGGAGCTCCATGAATGCAATATCCTCAACTTATAACAGTGCTTCATTCCTACATCAACAACAATATGCCATTGCTTGTGGAAATATTTGGTTCGTCCCTAATGAATTTGACGTGTTTCGATCTGGTAAAAAGCGACAAGGAATTCAATACAAATTTGAAAACATGATTACACCTTCGAACTACAAAGGAGCATCAAGCGATAGAAGAGAATAAAACCTCTCTTTCACGATCAAATAAAACGTGATTTGCATTTTGATAAAAGCAACAAAAAATGGAACAACAACAAGTAGAAGAGGCACATGTGGTTGTTGAAATGATCTCGGACTTTTCATGTCGACAAGGAACATGGAAGGGGCAAGCATGGATTCAAACTGAATTATGGAAGAAATTTATGAACAGGATGAGACAAAAACCGTTCAACCTATCTTTTAGGCTCCAATACGAGCTAAAATCTCCTTTTGAAAATGTGAACTTTCCAATTATAACTGCAAGAAATGTCAAAATATCTTACAATCAATCTTGTATTTTACTATTGGACTCTTCCAATTATCGAATTTTAGTGTTCAATTTATACACAAAACAATTCAAAAAGACCATTCATATTACTCAACAAAAATTTCCCGTTGATTTTTGTGTGGAAGAAAATTTTGATCAACACGTAAATGATGCAATACTCGTCGCCTGTGAATGTATGATGGTCTTTAAATTTAGCTTAACAGAGGCACTACAAAGCCCTTTTGATTATAAATGTAAATGGAGGACTGAAGAGGATGAGTTTGATACAAGTAATGTCTTTGAGGGAATCGCAATTTTACAAACGATACGTCAAGTATATGTGTGTGACTCTCGGCACGACGTTATACACGTTTTAGAATTGGAAACAGGAAAGAAACTATTTGAGATTCAACTTTGTGAGAATCCACATGCAATTTGTATAAGCAATGATGAACAGTACATGTTCATTAGTGAAATTAGCAATTTTTCTCAATACATACACAAGTTTGAGAGAATGAACGATGGAAACGAGCTGATCTGGAAAAAAATTGCTAATTTTGGCCAAAAAGGTTCAGAACCTGGAGAATTCCTTAATCCTTATTTCATTGTCTTGGACCCGACCATGCAACAGTGGCTTCTTGTTAGTGATTACTACAACAATCGTCTTCAAATCTTGAATGCAACTGACGGGCAGGTTGTTAAAGTATATGGCTCCAAGGAATCCAAAGAATTGTATCACCCTCTTGAGACGTGCTTTGATCGACTCACAGGTGAATTGATAGTTTGTGAGAATAATCGAGTTTTGATTTTCAAATAAATTTACTTTACATCATAATTTTGTAAAGAAGGTCACTTTCTAAAAAAAATGCCAAGAAAAAAGGCGGAATCATCCTCTTCTTCGAAAGGCTCTAAAAAATCATCTACTAAAGAATTAAACAATGATGGTAATGAATCAACAACTCCATCATCGGAAAGTACAAAAAATACGAGAAAATCCACGAGAGCAAAGAAAAATATTGTTGATGAAGAACTTGTCATAGACTTGTCTACGGACGATGAAAACATTAAATCAAAGGTTTCATCAAAAAAGAGGAAAAAAAAAGGAGATGACGATGAAGGAGATGATTATATTCCAGAGTCATCAGAAAATGAGGAGGATGTAATATCTGTTGCAGATTCAGTGAATTCCGAAGAGGGCGAAGAGCCTAAAGCTAAAAAATCAAAGAAAAAAAAAGATACTACAAGCAAAACCAAGTCTTCAAAAAAAGGAGAAAAATCTACAAAGCCTAAGAAAACTGCAAAGAAAAAGAGCACACAAGTGGAGCGAACATTGACGCATCACGTCACCACAGAGAGTATTGTGATTGATCCTAAAAAAATATGTTCACAATTTTTGCCAATCATTGAAGAGCGCGAGATCAAAGATGACATTGTACGCAGTATAATTATCCAAAATTCTGATCATTCGGCTCAAAACGTTAAAGAAATAATGCCCAAAACGATATTACTCAATACCAATCCAGAAAAGGAAAGAAAAAATTATATTCCAGAGGATCGATCAAATGAAAGACCATGTATACAGGTAGACATACCATTTCATCAAGGTACACTCTTAAATACTACTAGGAAAAGTTCTCAGGTGCAGAATTTGGCAATTTTGAACATTGGCGCTCCTGTTTGGGCCATGGATTGGGTGAATAAGGCACCAGAAACTAGCGATCAATATGCTGCAATTGCTCCTCACACCACACATTCTGCGTTTCATAAGTGTGGAAAAGTAACAACTCACAATGATTTATTTAGGCCTCTCGGGACAACATCAAATGCTACCATCTCTGATTTTGATCATTGTGGAAAAATTCAACTTTGGAATTTTGGAATTTTGAATAGCAAAGGACAAACAAGCAAGAATCCAACCATTGATTTTTACGTCGAACAGAATCATGGGTTTATTTGGGACATGAAATGGATGCCTAATTCATACCTTACCAACAAGAGGCTTGGAATTTTAGCTTGCGCATGTTCGGATGGAACAATTTTGATAACATCTATTCCTCATCTTTCTCAAATCCGTAATCATGAGCATCCCACTATACATTCGCATGAAAATGGAGCTTTAATTGTCAAACTACGATCAGAATATTACACAAGCACGCAATTTGATGCTGAAAATATGTTGACCAATAAGATTCCGTATTCATTAGCTTGGTCTCCTAATTGTAAATATCTCCTAGGTGGTTACAACGATGGTACAGTTTCTGTATGGAAAATTAACGCTAATGCATCATTGCAAGACAACAAACCTCTTCTGGAAATGGTGAGCACTATCCAAGCTCATAATCACCCAACGAACGATTTATCAATCCGATCCATGTCATGGTTCGATCCTGCCTTGAATGAAAACATTTTTGCAACATGTAGCAATGACGGAATGAATAAGATTTGGGACATACGTGACATTTACTATCCCTACTATTCGGCGACTAATGCCAATAGATTCTGGTCCACAGGTGTTGTGTTTCCAGAAGGATCAAATGCTCTCATATGTATCTCTCATGATGGAAATGTGCGTCAGTTCGATGCAGTTGAAAATGTATTCCAATTAGTATCGGCTACAGATGGACCCTTATGGGATATTTCTCTATGTTCATCACGTGCGAGTTTGCTTGTCTGTACAGCTACAGGCAGAGTGGAAGTAATGTCACTTGAGCAAGATTCGATGGCAAAAAAACGAAGATCAGTGGATACGAGAGTTGATGATTTACTTTTGCAAATTGATTTAGTTGTCAATGATGAAAGCAGAAGCGGTGAAAAACAATCCTTAGACAAGTTGGCCAAAGAGATGAAGCGAGCGCAGTTGTGTTATTCTTTACCATATCACATGCCTACAGGTGACTCTTCAGACAAGGTTCAGACCTATTTCAAACTTCCAACAAAAGTTAAAGACATCAAGATGGTTCCAGATGAGCGTATTTCCATTCATAGATGTTTGTTTCATCCATCAAAAGCTCAAGATTTAAGAAATTGGAGTCTGGTTGGAGGTTATGATGGAATTGTCTTTGCAATTCCCGTTCCAGAGCAATATAGCGACTAAGAAGAACACATTCTTAGGATCATTCCATTATTTCACTTCATCCCAAGTGCTTTTGGAAACACGACAAATACAACGTTTAACCTCTTTTCAATTCAAATCATCACTATTGTGATTGCAATTTCAATGTGATTTCCTTGCAAGTGCATTTATTAAGGTAAACTCATCACTTTTCATCTCCAACGCGAGTAAGTTTAAATAATACAGTTTTCTTCCATTTTTGTGGTCGATCATCCATTTGGTGATGATTATGGTGAATTGGTTCAATCTTTTGGTTGTTGTTATGAAGTTGTATAGCTGAACCAAACATAAATACAACCTGGTTGGACGGATGGATTCTAGTGATGCGGAATCATCAGTGGCCATTCATACAATCAAAAAAATTCAAACAAAATTTTATTCTTAGCACTCTGAGAAGACTTGTTGTTCAACAACTGCCATCCATCTTTTTAACCTTTTGAAGACATCCAACGGCCGTTTGTGACATTCTTGTGATATTTAGTGAAAAACAACGACACAACAACAACTCTCGGGACACTACGAATCCGTATTCAGAAAAGTGGAAAAGCTTTCGACACAACCCATCCAATCTCCTAAATTGTACAAATTCTTGTATTAATATTTATTTATTTGAATAATGACCATGAGTAGAACAGCCACAACAGCAACAACAACCTTCTTGAAAGAAAAAGACATGAATGTTGTTCAACATATTCCTAACGAACCTTCATTAATTAACTACGAAGAAGAGTGCGCACTCGGCGGAACAGGAGAGTCTTCTTCTCTCACTCCTTCCGACGAGTTATTCTGTCCAATTTCTCATACAATCATGTGTGAGCCTGTGATTGCAGCTGGTAAGTTTTCAGTGGGATTCTTTCATGTGATTCATACGAATTCATCATGATGAATGATTCGTTGGGATTCTCATGATGGGGTCATGATTTGAAATTCATGGTTGTTGAAACATGGTTCTAGATGGAAGAACCTATGAGAAGGTATGTATAAAAGAAAGAAGAAGTAGAAGAAACGAGACAAACACATAAATGCTTTCAATGAATATTTATATATATATTCAATAATGAAAAGGAATTAATTACACAATGGCTTCGTGAACACAATGGAACCTCTCCTTTCACAAGAGAAAATATTGGACTCAACACCATTGAAAATGTACATATTAAGAATGAGATTCAACGTTTCTTCTCAACATTGAAGTCGTTAGAGAGCCATTGCGTTTTTCAATATCACTTATCGAATGATGTCTTTTTACCTTGCTCCTTGTTGGTCGAATTTCAACATGCTGTGAATAAGAATGATCTAAAGACTGCCAAAATGCTCTATGAAAATGACATTAGGCTCTTACTCTACTCGCCAGAAATGTTAAACGATTTTGTCAACCACAACATTTCCTCTCTTGTGAGACCAAACAATTTTTCTTCCAAATGCTTAATAAGTTATGTATTGAATGGATATGAATTGTGTTGTAAAATTGGATCTCTTGGTAAGTAATTCAGGATGTAGTTTCACCTTATCGAAATGACCTTTTTGTGGTATAATTATAATTATATGTCATTGTGAAATTGTCAAATTTTAGAAATGATTGAGGAAATGTACAATTTTCTTACTAGATCTTCGTTGAATCGGCCTTTACCTCCTCTTGCTAATGAAACAAATATTGAAAGAAGTTCATTGAATAAGGCATTGTGGATCGAGTGCAAGAAAGAAGTGCTCGATTTGCACATACTCTCCAAATTGATGCGATTTGGAGCTCAACCTCACAAATTGGATGCATCAGGACGAAGTAGCCTCTATATTTTCCTGACCTGTCACGATAATGTCGAGGCGTTTAAGATTCTATTTGAGGAACATTGTGCAGTTCTCATTCGAGAGAAGTGCCACCAAAATGAATACCTGTTGTACAGTGCTGCTAAATTCAATCGTTACAATATTGTTCGATATTTGATGGAGAATCATGCAGACCTCATTGACTTGTCTTTACAACATGGACCAAATAATGAAAGTCCATTGCATGCAGTAGTGAGGAACTCAAACGAAGGTTTGTATTTGATAATGACATTCATGACACTTGACCTTTCATTCTTGTTGTAAACTTTCCACAGAGCTACTTTCTTTCTTCCTTTCTCAACGACATGTTGGTGTTGATTATTTGGACAGTTCCAATCGATCTCCACTCATGCTTTCATGTAAACTTGGGTTCTATGGAGTAACAAAGTTATTGTATGACAAGGGTGCACAACTGGATTTGTGTGATCAAGATGGCGACACTGGACTTCATTATGCGGCTTCAAGGTAAGTGTTCAACATTTTCCAAATTATTTATGGAAAAACACAAATGATTCGAAAATTGAAATAACCACAGAAATTGGTCTCCAATCATTGAGCTTTTAATTTGTAATGGCGCTGACGTTAATGCTCGCAACAAACGAGGTCTCACCCCCTACAACGTTGCTTCCTGTCAAACCACCAAAACTCTCATTCAAGTTCTGACTGCGAAACAGTTGTCATTCGCATTTAAACGTGTTCGAATCATTGAAGATGAAAATACATTTCTCAAATCACAATTACTCTCCATGATGGAACGTATTGAAAAACTGGAACAACAACAACTACCACCACTCAACAACCATAAATAATAAAACAATGCACAAAAATATGTTACTTTCAATTAAGGGTTTTTGACATTTGATGATGGTTCCAATAAATACAACGAACTGTAATAATATGGACACACACGCAAAGATACAATCTTGTTTGAACCGTTAATCTCCATTTCCGGTCGCATCTCTTACAAATTGATTCGCTAAAATTTACTGTAGTTACAAGATCGAGAGTCAACTATCGTGTAACCGCGAGGTAATTCTTTATTGAAAAAACGGCGAACCATTAGTATCAAAGAAAACCCTCTTCTCTTCACCATTGTCGTTTATGGATCGTCATTATTGAAAAAACGGTCCAATACAACTCATAATCAAGTCTTGTAAATTGGTGTGGTTATCATTAATTTCCCTCTTTTAGTTCAATACATTATCCTAATCAGGATACCTCATTCATCATCATCCTCAATCGCCAGAACTGATTAATTCTAACAAGATGACCAAGATTTATCCCTCCGAAAGCACAGGAAGTATTGCTGTTGGAGCAAGTCATTCATATTCAAACACAAACAATCGTCTTCATCAGATGCCAGGCCATCCTCTGAGTAGCGACAATGCTATAAAAGTCAACTCAGAAGTCTCATCGAGTGAAAGCCAGTTTGAGGTTGAAAATGATACAAGGGCATTGTGGGGATGTCTACCTCTTCGTCTCTTCCTAAGTTTGGTGATTGCTTTATTGATTGTAGTGAGTTGCGTTTCGATTTGGGTCAGCACCTTTGTTGTTTCAAAACATGCAATTGAAAGTTTGGCAAATAATGTGATTGGAGTGAACAATCAAAAGATTTTATCATATTTGGATGCAATGATCAATCCATTGGGAAAAATGTCAAAAGCAATGGCAGCTGATTTCAATTATGGAATTGCGAATGTCGAAAATTTTCGACAATATCTCTTTCCGAAATATTATTTCTTGGGAGCAACAAGTTGTGGATACTTTTTTGGATATCCTTCTGCGAAATATACTTATTCCATCACAGGAGTTGGAAGTAAGGCATATTTGGTTTATTCATATCAACCTCCTGGATTCATTGGAACGATTCGAGACACTGTGAACAACAAAACAGGAGCAGTAATCAAAGTGAACAGTACCATTGATTATACACCTTTCTTTTCAGCTCAACAAGATTATTACAATTCAACAATTGATTTAAGTTCAAAGTTGGGAATTGAAGGAGTTTATGGATCTCCTTACAAAGCATTGAATTCAAGTATGGCTATTTATCATTCTTCAGTGGTTTATGATCCAATTTTATTTTCATCGACAGGAATGAAAAAAGCGGTTGGAGTGACTCGAATTAACATGTCTTTGGGTGCAATTGTTTCATATTTGAGCAAAATTGTGTTGATTGGAAGAGGATATTGTTTAGTTTCTCAAACCAATGGAATGATGATTGGAGGCAGCATTAACACTCTTGCAGGAGATGGAGAAACGAATTTACACTTGTTCAATGTTACTGATAGAAATGCAGGAAAGCTCATGAAATCTCTTTTCATGCTCTATGACAATGACCAAAAAAACATTCCTCCTATTTCTTACATTAATGATGGAGGAATTTCATATATTGTTTCATTCTCAAAATACATCATTGACAATTTGGAATGGAATGTGTTCCTCGTTATCTACGAAGAGGATGTATTTCAATCTCTGATAATGGCATCAGGTATTTCAATAGGCGTATTAGCAGCTGTCACTGTAATAGGAGTGATTCTGAGCATTGTATTGGGAAGTTTTATTGCACATCCCCTCAAACGACTGGAAGAACAATTTGCTTTAATCAAGATATTGGATTTAGAGGAAGTACACGTCTCTCGATCACCTTTCAAAGAAATCAACAACATTTTCAACAGCTTGGGCGATATGATTGTGTGGCTAAAAGAAATCAAGACTTTCATTCCTGACCATGTTTTTGAACAAATTGAAATGAGCAAGAGCCAAACGACAAAAAGGGTAGAAGTGAAGAAAGCTAATTCAGTCGGATCCAACATTAACAAAACATTTGTTTCTTCCCTTTCACAATCGAATACAGTTGGATCCTCTTCGAAGCATTCCAGATCCTTAAGCAATTCAGGAGGAAAGTTTGGAAAAAGCATTTTTCAAATGGGACTTCATACAAATGTTTGTTGCATTGTCCATGTGATTTTCAAAGGTTTTGCTCAGGTGGATACATCTTCAGAAAAAGCTGAATTGTTCAGCATTGCCATTTCAGCAATAACACCTCTCATCAAGTTGTACAAAGCGAATATGCAAATATTAACAGATTTTGAATTCCAAATCACTATTCATGGATCTCGAAGTGATCACAAGGTTGCCCTAAAAGGGTTGGAGTGCGCTTTGAAAATTGTGAAAACTCTTGAATCCATAAACCCAACTCAATTCATTCCTCGAGTTGGTGTGAGTGTCAGTGAGGCTGATATTGGAAACATTGGAACGAAAAATTCAAGATTTTTCACAACAGGTACGTTCTTGACATGTTAAATTCGGAAAAATGATTCATTAATTTTACGAAACCATTTGTCTATAATCAGTTGGTAAATGTGTGAAGGAGGCTTCAAAAATGGCTAAAATTGCTGTTTTGTTTCATCTACCGATCGTTGCAGATTCATCTTGTTTTGACAGCTCAACAACCAAAGAGAAATTTATTGCCAGGCCAATTGATCGTTATAGAAAAGATAAGAATTCAGACATCGAAACGATTTGGACAGTTTTAGACGAGAAGAATCACGAAACTAACGAATGGTTGTACGAACTTGAAAATTCCAAACGAAACAACACGTTCGAAAAGTTCTTGAATGCTTTTTGTATTTTCACCAACGAATTTTGGGAGAAAACTGAACCTGACGATTACTCTCAAGAATTGAAACATAATTTGGACGTTCTGAAAGAGTATGCGAATAAGGTGGATGATCATTCTTTACCTCGCCTGATTTCTGTAGTTTCATCGGTTGCTTCAGGCTCTTCTACGAAAAACATTCCTTTCGTTTTGTCAAATTATTCCTCAGAGTTAGGATGTGACTATAGAGGTTTACTGTTAGATTCCAAACCTGTGGATGATCTTATCATTGAGATGTAATAACAAGAAATTAATTCTTGGTTATATCCTGTCAAATTCTTCGAATAATTATAATTTCCCATTTCAAAAATTCACAAACACCATCATGAAGCGCTTCTTTTCTGTTTGTTCAACAACTTTGAGAGTGATGACAAGCAATTCTCTTTCTACAAATGCCACAAGAACACCATTCGGAATTGCACCATCAGTGTTGAGGATGTGCTTCAAATCTCCAAACCATTACTGCACAATTCATCATTCCATAAATTTACACATTAAATTCAACAATTATCATCATCATTATGGCAATCCTACACTTCATACCCACTCCAACAACAACCACCACCATGATCATGATCATCACCACTTCAACACATACGTCCTTCAACAAGAACTCGTTCGTAAAGCATTGGAAGAAAACGATGCAGAATCGCAAGCATCTCTCGGAGTTGCCTACTACACGGGTGAGCGTTTCATCGTCCATGACCAACAACATGTGTTGAAACAAGATCTCTCAAAAGCCTTTCAATTCTTGTCGATGGCAGCACAACAGAATCATCCGGGTGCACTTTTTCTCCTTGGCAATCTGTACCTGGAGGGAGTTGAAGGGGTGGTTGAGAAGGATGAAAAGAAGGCTCTCCACTACTGGGAGTTGGCTGCCTCACTCCAACAACCACAAGCTCTCTTTGCGTTGGGTGTAATGTATTTGAATTCAGAACATGGAAGCATCCTTAATGAATTGGGGAATGATAAAGAAGAAGAACAACAACATCACCACCAAAACTCAGAAACTCTTTCAGCTACAGTTCAGAAAGGTATGCACTATTTGGAAAGGGCCGCTGAATTGGGCAGTACGGATGCTTGCTTTAATTTGGCACTCCTCTATCATTGTGGAAGTGTTCAACAACCCAAAGATCTTTCAAAAGCCATTCAATATTATGAACGTATTGCCAACTCTCCACATGGGGATGCCCAAGCTCAATTCAATCTCGGATGTTTGTATCGAGAGAGATGCATCCATAATCATCACTCTGGAGAGAATGATCATCAAATATCGTGATGGAATTGCAATGTCACATGTAACGCAGGACTATGCCAAAGCTCTTGAGTACTTTGAGATGGCCGCACAACAGCATCATGCAGGGGCACTTTTCAATCTCGGAGTGCTCTACTTTAATGGAACAGGAGTGGAGAAGAATATTGAAAAAGCATTGCACTATTTGGATCATGCGGCTCGTCATCAAGATGTGGACGCATTGAGTGTGTTGGGAGCCATCTATTTGCAGGGTCTGCATTTGGAGGAACCCAATGCACGAAAGGCTTTGGAATACTTTGAGAGAGCAGCTGCTTTGGGTCATGCAGATGCTGCTTTTAATGTGGGGCGACTTTATGAAGAAGGATTTGGTGACTGTCCTCCCAATGTTGGAAAAGCAATGGAATATTATGAATTGGCCTCTCGTTTGGGAAGTATGGAAGCCAATTATAATTTGGGTTGTTTGTATGTGAAGAATGACAGCGTGCCACAAGATTTATCCAAAGCTCGTCACTATTTTGATCTCGCTGCTGAACAAAACGATGCACAAGCTCAATTTAATTTGGGAGTGATGTATGAAAATGGAGAGGGAGTGGAATCGAATATGGATACAGCATTGAAATATTATGAGATGGCAGCTCAACAAAATCATTCTCTAGCCAAGCAGCGTTTGCAAGATCTTAATAGGGAATAGTGTAGCAGAAGAAGGATGAGACAAACATCGCATTGTGCTCTTATTGTTGAACTTGGGATTGCTGATGAATAATATATCATTTCAGTTTAGCGATCCAACGAGTAAAATCGAAGAATTGTGGGTTTATTTTACACGCGCGTAGAGTACACAACATCAATCTTCCAACTCAATTCTTCCACCAGGCGCATTCTGATGTTACACTAACAGAAGCCTAATGAATAAAGGACCTAACAATTGTCTTCTGACAGTATGCATGATTTGGTTGTGTGGACCTATACAAGGTTTGAGAAACGTCAAAACTTGGATTTTTCTCACGAAAAAACCCAAAAATTGTGAAGGCACATGACAATTTGCTCGTCAGCCAAAGAAAGAATACTGAACCAAGTCAGAAAATCACAATTAAAGATGTTCAAGCTCAAATTATGTTAGATGGATATTTTTAAAAAAATTTATGAGAAGCTCGTTCAAGATATCTAATTCGTTTCTCAATTTTCTGAGTTTTCTCATTGTGTAGTTTCTCCATCTTTTCCATTTCTTGCCTGATTTTAGAAGCTCGTTCCAGGACCATTTAATTCTAGACCTTTCAATGCATTTGAAACGTGTTATTTAAATTGAATAGGCTTTCATAAATTAAAACATTCCTTTAAGCTTGGGATGTTTCAAAGGTATTGGGTGGTTTCAAAGATTCAGGGGCGTTTCAAAGATTTTGGCGCGTTTCAAAGAATCCGAAACATTCCAAATCAGCTTCTTTTCAACTTAGCTTGGGAGTTTCAAATAAAATTTTGAACTGAAAAAATGTCTCTCGATATCAGCAAAGAAGACGCTGTGAGATTGAGGGAAATCGAGGTCAAAAAATTGGTGGCCAATGAATGGAAGGTATTGCATGAAGAGCTGCCAATTATTCAGAAATCAAAAGGTAGAAAGGATATCAAGGATATTCCTACAATGAATAGAATTAAAGAAATAGTCTGCCAAAGAATTGGATATGTTGCTACATTCATCTTCTTACATACTGTTGGTACTATCTGTGGATGGTTAGAAGGTCCTTATCGTAATGTGGACAAAATCTTATTAATTCTTTACATGTTACTTGAAAATGAAACACTCGGATCCTTAAATGAGAGGAGAATTATCGCAAGGTCTACAATATGGAGAATTCATCACACAATTTTCGTTGAATTTCATGACCAACTTAATGAATGGGCTGACACTTGTTTGCAAAGAATGTTTTCAAATCCTATTATTCGATGTCTTACTGGTATAATTGAAAACGAAAAAGGCTTCAAGGATGGAACCACTTTTTTAGATGGTCATGATACACGTATTGAATATAGTAATTTAGCCAAATATCCTAAAAGGGAGTATTGGAGTTACAAATATAAAGATTCTGGATTAAGAACTCAAGTATTGATGGATAATCAAGAATTAGCAATTGCTATTTCGAAATCCCTACCATGTGCTCCTAATACAGACATTGGTATGTTCAAGCAAATGGAGAGAATTCCAAAACTATTAGATCCTAGTGTGGATGTATTGTATTTTGATGGTGGTTATTTCTTGGGAATTCCTGATTATATTGAAAAATTGCAAGAAAAAGGATATGATCTTGATGAGTCAAATTTCAGAACTCCAATTAGAAAACCAAGAAATCAAGATCTAACATACAGTGAAGCACAATATAATGAAGAATTTGGTGCTTTTCGTGGTATGATTGAAACATTATTCTCTCATATTGGTGAGAAATTCAAACTTTTCAATCCTCATTCAGTTGCTAAAATGAGTGGAGATTTGGAAAATGTGTGGAATTTAAAATTGCATTTGTTTTGTTTGACATTCATAGATTCGTAGAAAAATATAATATTCAAGTATTAGATCACCACAAGGAATGGATGCGTTCAGACTTGGATTTTCCTATAGAAAAGCCAAAATTATTAAGACCCTCTGTTAATGTTGTCCGTCACAAAGAATATGCAGAGGAAAAAAGAAAAGCTCAATGTAACCTTATTGCTAAAATGTTGACAATGAGTGACACTGAATTAATGACACTATCAACTCGTGAAATTCTAGAATATTCACATAATTCTAATCCAGTACAAGTCGGTGATGAAGGATCAGAAAGCGGCTCGGATAATGAACTTCCAAGAAATCTACAAGAAAGTGATTCTGATAACGAAGGATCTGAGAGCAGTTCTGATAATGAAAGATCCAATTCGCAAGCCTCAAGATCAAGATCAGAAAGCGATTCGGATAGTGAAGGATCAGAAAGCAGTTCTGATAATGAAGAAAGATTGATATCACCAAGAAAGACACAATTCCCAAGAATAACCACAGGCTCGGAAAGAAGTTCACAAGACTACACACCACAAAAACTTCCAAAAAACTCCAAAATCAACTTCACAACCAAACACCCCTATCCAAATCCAAAGGCCGGCTCTGCAAGCATCATTTAAAAAAGTTCAACAGCCAACAAAGAAGAAAACAAACAAACCAAACACTTCGGAACCTTCTTTCGGTATTGGAAAACGGCAAGCCAAACCAACAGCTGCGGCTAATCCAGAATACTACTCACCACAACAAAAGAAGCAAAGAAAGTCAACAAAACAGTAATATAAAATTGTGATGATATTTTTTTGAAGTTGAAACTCCCAAGCTAAGTTGAAAAGAAGCTGATTTGGAATGTTTCGGATTCTTTGAAACGCGCCAAAATCTTTGAAACGCCCCTGAATCTTTGAAACCACCCAATACCTTTGAAACATCCCAAGCTTAAAGGAATGTTTTAATTTTTATGAATTTTGGAACCACTACTGAATCAAGGAACATGCTTTGGAATTTGGAATGACTAATGGGACTGAACCGAGCTTCTGACTTGACATTAGTTAAGGTTTTTTTATAAACGATCAAAAGGGTGCACATCTCTTTGAACGAAACCTTCAATGTGTTGATTAAAAGTAATTCATCCATAACATGCACTGTTGGCAGTCTTAACCTTTTCAAAAAAAAATGAAATCTCTGTTCATCATACTCGCGTTCTTATTGCTGTTTGGACTCGTGATTAATTACAACACTAAATATTCCACTTCTGTCTTTCTAACAAGAGCCTTCTTTCATGTCGTCCTATTGAGAAACAAATATTTGGGTATGAAAGAAGGAGATCCCGAATCAAGTATGATTGGTATCACCACTCGGGATTGGAAAGAAGTTTCGTTGGAGGCTCAAACCTTTTACAATATGGTTCGTTTTGTAAGAGGTAAACTCCGTGATGGAGTGTCGGATGTGGAGCTGAGGGATGTTTCCTATCATGCGTTAGCTCCTCCTGTTTCGTTTCATAACTCATTGAGTTTTAAACATGTTCCTGAAATTCGGAATTCAATATTTGTAAAGTTGAGAGATCAGTTCTATGTTGAGCACTTCTTTGGAAAGGATCGTCGTGGAAAGGTCATCTTTCTGTTGCATGGAGGATGTGGCTTTGCTGGACACTACGATGGTATGTATTTGTGAGGAGTCATCACGCGATCATCATAATTTAACTTCTCATAATTTTGATTAATAATAATTAATTTTTTTAATGATACGTGTCATGACAGGTCAGGAACTGAGAAGTATTGTTGAGCACATGCAACATAGATTTAACAGTTCCTTGACACATATTCTCTCTGTGGATTACAGACTCATGGGATTGACGGAAGAAGAGAGAGCGAAGAAAAATGTTTTTGCATCCACATTTAGCGAACAAGCAGACGATGCCATCCAAGCGTACAAATGGTTGTTACAAGCATTTAAGCCTGAGGATATTGTTGTTGTAGGAAGTTCATTTGGTTCTGCCCTTAGTGTAGAATTGTTACGAAGAGCAGCCAACGAAAACCTTCCATTGCCAAAAGCTGCAATTTTAATTGGTGGTGTCTACGATTTAAGTATGAAACTAACTCACAGTAACAAGAATTCGAGAAATAATATCATGCTATCCGATCAGCTTATTGACGTTATGCACAGAGTGTACAAAGAAGAAGAGTCTCCTCTCGTCACATGGAAGAATGTCAACAAGGCAGTGTTTTCAACCAATCTTTATATGATCTACTCAAATGACGAAGAATTAACCAAAGACAATGAAGTGTTCATTCAGCTTTTAAAGGATCTCGGACATCCATCGGTGAAAGTCTCTGCTGATCGAATGATGATTCATGTGCATCCAATTTTCGAATATTATTTCCCTGAAGCAAAAGTTGCCATGTCGAAAATTATGGACTTTATCGATTCTCTTCAATAATAGAGTTTGAGCTCACCAAGTTCAAAGAATCAATTATATCTACACGGCACACAACCCGCAAATAATTTTATTTGAGTGAATTTTCAAAGACTTAATGATCTAAGATAATGCTTGAATTAAAACAGCTGAGAATATAATCGAGTTATTATTCCTGAAACGAACACATTTTCGGGCAAATTACTAGTGACGCATCAAAGGTGATCACAATAGAGATAACCACAAACTTACGCAGGTGACACATTTTGAGAGATGACAGAGCTGTCAGAGCCAAGTGCAATATGCGTTCAATACTTTGATTTTCTGTGGTTGAGTAACATCAATGCGCATCACAAACAAAAAAGAACTGATTTCCTTCTATCAGCATTGCTCATCGACCTCAAGGATCAGAACTACTTTTTCATTGTTTCTCTCTGCACAACATCCATATACCACACCATCACATGACACGAATATTTCCAGTCACAGGGAGCTCCGACGCTACTTTTCCCTCAAATCAGCAGCAACCCACTCACTGCAACAATCCACGGATGGCCCAATATTCGGCGGCAGAACCTTCCACAAAATCACCAGAAGCTACATTGAACGGCCCCAATATTGCGAACGAATCGCTACGAGTATTCGCGGGAGAGTTGTCGAGCTTCAATCAAAACCACAACAGTCAACATACATTGAAAAGCTCTGCCACCTCACCTGTGACTAAAGAAGGCCTTAACAAACTTGAATTTAACCAAAATGAGGATGAAGATAGACTCTCTACCGTCGAACTGTTCCAAGGTTGCATTCCCCTTCGTCTGTTCCTCATTGTGATGGTGGCCACTTTGATTGTGATAAGCTGCTTTTTCATTTGGGTCAGCACCTTTGTTGTTTCAAAACATGCAATTGAAAGTTTGGCAAATAATGTGATTGGAGTGAACAATCAAAAGATTTTATCATATTTGGATGCAATGATCAATCCATTGGGAAAAATGTCAAAAGCAATGGCAGCTGATTTCAATTATGGAATTGCGAATGTCGAAAATTTTCGACAATATCTCTTTCCGAAATATTATTTCTTGGGAGCAACAAGTTGTGGATACTTTTTTGGATATCCTTCTGCGAAATATACTTATTCCATCACAGGAGTTGGAAGTAAGGCATATTTGGTTTATTCATATCAACCTCCTGGATTCATTGGAACGATTCGAGACACTGTGAACAACAAAACAGGAGCAGTAATCAAAGTGAACAGTACCATTGATTATACACCTTTCTTTTCAGCTCAACAAGATTATTACAATTCAACAATTGATTTAAGTTCAAAGTTGGGAATTGAAGGAGTTTATGGATCTCCTTACAAAGCATTGAATTCAAGTATGGCTATTTATCATTCTTCAGTGGTTTATGATCCAATTTTATTTTCATCGACAGGAATGAAAAAAGCGGTTGGAGTGACTCGAATTAACATGTCTTTGGGTGCAATTGTTTCATATTTGAGCAAAATTGTGTTGATTGGAAGAGGATATTGTTTAGTTTCTCAAACCAATGGAATGATGATTGGAGGCAGCATTAACACTCTTGCAGGAGATGGAGAAACGAATTTACACTTGTTCAATGTTACTGATAGAAATGTTGGTCCATTGATGCGAGCGTTGCATGCAAAATATGGTTTTGATTCTGACAATATTCCATCACTTACTCATATTTCATTCGACGACACTTCGTACATTATTTCACACTCCAAATATACCATAGATAACTTGAAATAGGACGTCTATCTGATTGTCTTTGAGGATGATATTTTGCAATCCGTTATTGTAACCTCTGGCATTTCAGTAGGAGTGTTTGTGGGCGTCATACTCCTGGGCCTCCTAGTAAGCATTGTTTTAGGATCGATCCTCGCAAGACCTTTGAAACAACTCGAAGAGCAATTCTCCTTAATGAAAGTACTAATTTTGGACAATGTGAAATTATCAAGCTCAGTATTCAAAGAAATCCAAAATATTTTCAATAGTTTGGAAGAAATGCTCCTTTGGTTACAAGAAATCAAAACATTCATTCCGGATCATGTCTTGGAAGATATTCAAAGTAGTGATCCCAAAATGTGTTGTTCCCCTCCACTCTTAACAAGTCGTCAGCATGCATCTATGAGATCGAGCGTCACAAAGAATTCTGTCTCGTCGTGTCAATCGGCAGGAAGAGAGTCCAGCACAAGCAAAAGACCCAAATTCTTGCGAGCATTAAGCAAAACGAGCGGAGTGGGGTCAAGTTCAAGTTTTGGGATGGGTTTACTCTTCCAGATGGGTCTTCAGAAAAAACTGTTGTGTGTTGCATGTCGTATTCAAAGGTTTTGATTTTGTCGAATCGGCATCAGAGAAGGCAGAATTGTTTACAGAAGCTCTCTCTACGATTACTCCACTGATTAAGATTTACAAAGCTTCTCTTCAGATATTAACGAATTTTGAATTTCAAATTTATTTCACTGGTAATCTTAACGATGATGAATACAAAGTTCCAATTAAGGGCATTGAATGTGCTTTGAAAATAGTCAAATCTCTCGAGTTAATGAATGCCATCAAGTACATGACACGAATTGGAGTGAGTGTAAGTGAGGCACAAGTTGGTAATATAGGAAACGGAACCAAAGGTGCCAGATATTTCGCAACTGGTAAGTTTGAGTGTTGTGATCTGTCATTCCTAATTAATTAATGAACACACTTATATATCTCTTTTTTAAATGATGATAAATTAATCACAATTTCATATTGCATCTCCTCAGTTGGTTCCTGCGTGAGAGATGCCACCACCATGGCAACACTTGCACGGCTTTTCAATCTTTCCATTGTAACAGACTCTTCGTGCTTTGATGGAACTCTTTCGAATGAAAAATTCATTGCAAGACCCATTGATCGATTTAGGAAACATAAATCTTCTGAAATTGAAACCTTGTGGACCGTAATAGATGAGAAGATTCTCGAACATTCTGAATGGCTCCTTCATTGTTGAGATTAATTTCTGCATTGCCACCTCGAGCGTTGCCACCCCACAACAAATTCCTTTCGCATCTTCCAAAGAGTTCACAAGTGACCGAAAGTATTCAAATTGAAAAGTAGTGACATGATTCTTGTTTGAATACAAGATTTTCTTAATCTTTTACATTTCAATATTTTCGATCTTTCTTGCTCAATGTTGCCACCTCATCACTCCATCATCTTCTGAATTATTATTTTTTTTAAAAAAACCCAAAAAAAATGAGCATTCCTTCTTCAACCATGCCATCGACCTCTCCTTCGTCCTCTTCGGCTTTACATCAAACAGCTCCTATTAAAACATTCTCATCCGAGCATCAAGATATGATTCATGATGCTCAGGCTGATTATTACGGAAAGAGATTAGCAACATGTTCCAGTGATTGTACCATTAGAATTTTTGATTTGGCTCCTGGTGGTACCGAACAACAAGAACCAAAATTGTTGGATGTGCTTACGGGACATGAAGGCCCGGTTTGGCAAGTGAGTTGGGCTCATCCACAATTTGGATCGATTTTGGCAAGTTGTTCCTATGATCACAAAGTAATAATTTGGAAAGAAAATCAACAAACTCACAAGTGGGCCAAAGTTTTTGATTATAGACTCGACAGCAGTGTAAATTCAATCTCTTGGGCACCTCATGAACATGGACTTCATTTGGCTAGCGCCTCTTCTGATTGCCAAATCACAATCTTTTCCTATGATGAACAGAGTAATAATTGGAGAGTCTCAAACATTAGAGATGCTCACAAAATTGGTTGTAATTCTGTTTGTTGGGCTCCTGCATCACACACTGGTGCCTTGGTTCAACAACCTTCTCAAGATCAACCCGAAAGTAGCAAGTTTGTGAAGAGATTGGTCTCCGGTGGAAGTGATAATCTCGTTAAAATTTGGGAATACAATGAGTCAATTAATCAATGGAAAGATACCACACTGGAAGGTCATACTGATTGGGTCAGAGATGTAAGCTGGGCTCCAAATATTGGACTTCCATATGAAACTATTGCCTCTTGCTCTCAAGACAAAACTGTAATTATTTGGACTAGAGACCAAAATTCAAACCAATGGAGTAAGCAAGTTCTAACATTTGATCATGTTGTTTGGAGAGTTAGTTGGTCATTGACTGGAAATATTTTGGCTGTCTCTACAGCTGACAATGAAGTGACCTTGTGGAAAGAAGATGTCACTGGAAAATACAAAAAGATTAGCTCACTCAGTGACAAGTAATTTTTTGGAAATATTCCAATCTTCCTTTATAAAATTCTTAGTTTCATTCTGTTGTGTGATTTATGTGTGAGACATAGTGTTATGGAGTCGATGCAAATTTATTTATTCACATCCAATCGATGTATACGCGAAATGTGACATATGCGTCGTAGAATAAATAATCCGTTTTATCAACCAATTGATTTTACAACATAAGACATGATGTATGCTCGGACATTCCATGATTTTGTTAAGAAAGACGACCTTAATGTGAACGAACCATCGATACTAAACAGGAAACTGGGAACTTGAGAACTCGAGATCAAAAAAATGTTTTCACATCGGGAACGACCGAGTTCACTTTTCTTTATTTCCTCGAATATATCTTCGTTCATCCTCACGGTTGCCACAACCATTCTCCTTCTTTCCTTTCACTCTCATCACGGCGCGATCGTTGATGGATCATCCTCTCAAAATTCTGCTGAATTCATCAGAACCAACACGTATGATACCATCATGATGATGAATAGTGCCATGATGATGAAAACCCTCTCCGCAAGTATTCCTTCCTATAACTTTACTTTTGGTGGAAGACTCACTACCACCGACTTGTTACAACAAATTATGGCTTCTAATAGAAGTACTAGTGGCTCTTCTCGGGAATCAGCTCTCGCAACTATTGCTTCTCAATTCTATGCATTCAGACTTCCAGTCCGATTTTCTAATAATTTAAATTCAAATGTACTCTCGGAACGTATTGAAGTGATTGCCTTTGATAAATCTAATGGTAATATTTATCTCATCGTGAATAGTTACAATGTAGAGTCATACTTTTATGGAAAGAATGCTTCTTCAAGCGGTTCTGATAGTACTATCTATCCATTGTTTTCGGAAATGATGTCTCCCTATTTCCCAACTGCTTTTGATGGCAAGAGTTTTGTATTGATTTTTGAGCCCAATGGTTATGCCAATATTTTGAAACAGAGTGATAATGCAACTAGTTGTCGAACGGTACTTCATATGCCATCTTTTAAAATGTTTTCTCCGGTGAATGTGAGAAATCAATTCGTAATTTCCAATGTTTATGGAATGGGTGGAATTCAAGTGATGAATAAGGAAAGTGGGGAATGTCTTACTTTCAATAATGAAGGATATCTCAATAATTTAATGGCAACATTTAGTGCATGCAACAAGACGAATCCAAACCAATTATTTGTTTGGACAGGTGCATATTTGGTTCCAAAATATCCAACCAATGACAATATGTATTATGCTCTGAAAAGAGATTTTGCATTTGGAACGTCATTCTTACCATTTTCATCGGGATTTCGATATATTCGAATGACCATGCAATTTGTGACACCAGCCAATTATGATCTTGTTCGTTCTGATAAGATTTTGAATTTTACAGACTCTAACATTGAACAATTTTATAAGGAAAATACGCTTTTAATTGACGACAATTTGAAGGGAAACATTACGGCTCTAATTTCTCAAGCGCTTAACTCGAGTATTATTTCACAACTGGCTTTCAGGTGGTCTGGTGCAAGATCCATTTCAATGCTCTGTTCGATGAACCTTGTTGCTTTGGCGACAGTGATGGTGGCATTGCTGGTGTAACTTCACTCCGAACTGAATAGGATCAGAAAGCCAAATTCACACAACATGTTTTTTGAAATATTGTAATAATTTATGCTACATAGTTGTACTTTGAACGACTTTCTGTGGAACGTTCCAAATATTCTCTTTCGATCAAACTTTCAATACGTTTCTTAATCATGTCTGGCGATGGCATAAATCTTTGTTGTAATTGTTTGGTGACTTCAATGACAAGATCTCTGTGTTCGAGAGTCTTTCTTGCCTTCATGATACGGACAATAGCAGCGTCCAACATCCACTTTCGTTCTTCATCGACTTTTTGTTTGGTTTCTTCTTGTTGTTCCTTTGTTTCCTTCACAACAACAGGAGAAATTTTAACCTTAATCAATTTGCTTTCAAAATCGTTGTTAACTGTGAATACAGAGTCTTTCGTGAGGGTCTTATCGGAGCTGTTGGTCAATAATTTTTGATGGGTTGCAGTTTTAACTGTTAAGGCCATAATATTTCTCTTCAACTCGTTCATAGGGATCTTGGTTTGTTGTAAAATGTCACCGTATGAAAGAGATTCCTTTTCGTTAAATAACAAAAGAATGATCATTTGGAAAGTGGAAACGTTGAGTTCATACTTCTTATCGTAGCCGTTGGCCTTCACGTCGCAAGTTCCCATGTTGAATTGCCAAGTAAGCTTTCTACCAGTGTGTTCGTTTGTGTAGAATTCTTTGAAAATATTGGCTGCCTTGTCTACCAACTCAGGAACAGTGACAGCGATCGATTGGGTAACTGGCCAGTAACCAGTAGTCAAAACTTGCACGCTCAAATCTACTGGAGGCTTCTTGTTAGAATAACGTTCGATATAATTCTTAAATGACTCGTTTGTTTCTCTGCTCAGTCTCATATCGGTAAACATTCCTTCTAATTTTGTTGTGAATTGATAACCAAATTCTTGCTTCAATTTAGCAATGAAGGCCTTTTCAGCATCATCGGATTGAGAACGTTGGTTGAGCAATCTCTTTGCCAAGTGGGTCTTGTAATACTTTTCAAAGATGTCCTTCTCGCGCAAGTGTCTAAACAAGGCAATAACTTGTTCAAAGAGAACATCAAATTCAGATTCGTTGATTTGTGTTTTGCCCTTCTTCAACTTGCTGTCAACATAGAGAGACAAATATTCAGGAAATCTCTCGTTGGCGTTAATCACATCATCGAAAGCCTTTTTAACACATGTTTGGAACTTGGAATCTCTCATGACATTCTTACCCTTCTTGATTGAGAAGGCACGAACCAGAAGATCTTCATACTTTTCTTTCAAAACAATCAAATCGGCGATAAAATCAACAGGGTTTTCTTCCTTTTCCTTATCCTTGACAATATGGTAACCTTCGCTTCTACAAAAGTTTTCCACTAAGTCCACACATGGATCCAATGCACCCTCAACGAGAGACAATACATCAAAAACGAGACGTAAATCATCAACTCTCCATGTTTGCAGCATGACAATACAGCCTGATCCTTCTTTTTCAATAATTCTATGCTTGAATTTGTCAATCATGACATTCTTTAAAACAGTTTCAATCTTTGGTTTTGTGTCAGGATCCATACATCTGTCAACTCTGTCTCTTTCTTCCTTTAAACGTTGTGTAACCTTCTTAAGATAGTCGGTTGCAGTAGATGATTCAAAGTAATCATTAGCCTCCTTAGTATAGAATTGTCTGCTTTCATCCAAAAATTTCTTTTCAAAGTGAGTTTCATAAATATCCTTCTTTGAAATTTCAATCATCATTTGGGTAAGACTCTTCATCAAGAAACGATCTGCGACAACTTCACCACATCTGTCCTTGTAAATAATATCCATAATCAATCTTTGAATTCTTTCGAGTGTATTCTTGTGGAAAACTTCTTGTCCAAAAAGTTTAATACCGAGCTCATAAACGGGTGTCTTTTTGTATTGTTTCACATAGTTTCGATCCATATACATGAGAATGTCTCTCACCATGCTTACGGAAGTTCTGTGTTTTTCCCATTGTCTCAAAAGTTCTTTGAGAAAACCTTCATCGGTACATTCCATAATCTTTTCTCGAACACCTTGAATATATTGAGAGAGCTTTGATCTCACTCCCTCATAGAGGGCATCTCCGTTCTTGTGCAGAACGATTTGATAACCCGATCTGTGTTGTGTGCAAGAACATGTTCACATGATGACACAAATTGAGTGGTGATGAATTCATTTGGAAGATGAGTCATTAGTGTGTACACAACAATAGCATAGTAATAGCACAGTGATAGAAGCACCAAAAAGTGTTATTCGTTGTTCCATATCAAAATGGAAATTTAAAGTTCATCAATAGGAAGCGAATGGTTGTTCATGAAGGAATTGATAAGAATAAACGAAACAACAGACAAAATACCCAATAAAACCTACGTATAGAGTACTTGGAAAGATAATGATGAAGCATTCTCTTGATAGATCTGATCAATGGCGCTGATAATCTTTTCCAATTTATCATCAACATCACTTTTGCCCATTTGTCCCTTTCTTTGGATATAACCTGGGATCACTAATTTACCTGATCCTCCCAAAGGAGCCTTGTTTGTACCACTCATATTGATCTCTTTATAATGATGATGATGAAATTACTATTATTTTAAATAATAATATTTTGTTTCCTGATGAAGATGATGATGGCACACAAAATAAAACTACAACTCTATCGGGAGATCCACACACAAAAAATCTCGTTGATAGAGAGAGGAATACGAGGACGGATTGGAGGATGCGATAGAGAACAACAAATTCAACTTGGGTTTCTTCTACTGCAAGAGAGATTGTTTGGGTTGTTGTTGTTGAGCCAAAGCCAATTTTTTCAAAATGTAAAAACTTTATTTTTAAATTCTGAACTTCTCGAGTGCACTCTCGGAGAGTTCATCTTTGAGCTTGAATTCATCATTTTGCGAAATGTGAAGAATTCAGAAGAGCACACCACCTTGTTACAACAAGATTATGAGGAAAGGAACCTCAAAAAATTCTGTCGAAATATTCCTTACATCATGATGTTGATGGATCGTGTTGATGGGATGGTTGGCAGGTTTGATGGACACACAAAATTCCTTCACTTAACCTTAAATGCCACCTTTCATTGTCCCATCAAGTCAAAAAAAACAAAACTTCAACTCTCCCTTATTTCATACTTCCAAAGCACTGATTTTCATCATAACCATTCGAAATCACCATTCCCTCACAATGCAACATCCCATTATGAATTTATTTCCTTCGCCATCCAACGCTGAGAGTCAAGAAAAGTCTCTGCCCACCACAGATTCAATTTTTCATTCAGATACACCAAGCTTTGGAAATGCCTCAACCCTCACAGCTCCCGAATCGAATCTCTCCTGTGATCATTCCTTTCTCTCTCTATTCAATGAACGTGAAACGTTTGCCTTTGAAGATGCTAACTTGACCACTCATTATCAGACAACACCACAATCGAACTTACTTCAAACCTTATCCGGTTGTCATAATCATCATCTTTGGCCCACTCCATTGCCATCATCATTATTTGCATTAGATTTTCACACTTCGTATTCCTTTGACTCAGTTTTTAATTCGAACTCGGAACTCGGCGAGGACGACAACTCTCCTCTATGGAATACTTCTTCAAGATTGTTGATTGACTTTCCTTCGAGGGAGATGATGTTTCCTTCTCCTCTCTCATTGAATACCATTCCTTTGAAACCCTATAGAGATCAAAAGATCTTGATGTCAGCTGCAAGCACAAGTTCATTGAATCCATCCAAGCTTGAAATGACACAACCAACTCTGGAATCCATTTCCAAGAATATAGAAACCTTACTGGAAGAGTCCTGGAAAGTCAATGATGTTACATTCATGAAGGAACTCAAGCGCATCGAGAATGATGTACGATGTGCACTCATTGTGAAGGAACATATGAAGAATAGCAGTCGTAGAGGTAGTAGTTGCAGCAGTAGCAGTAGTAGTAACAACTGTAACCCCACCAGTGCGAGTAATAGCACACAAAATACTTCCTATTCTTCTAAGGAATTGACCATTAAGGAAATGAAGAAAGAGGAAGAAACCAACAATACCAATGAAAGACAAATATTGACTCGATCACAATTAGCCAAGATCACTCAAAAGAAACCATCCACTACAGCCTCTTCGTCGTCTTCCAGAAAGAACTCTTCTTCCATTGTCAGGGAATCCTCCTCCTCCAAGAGAAAGAGAGAGCCCTCCGTCCTCCACTCCAAACGGAAACTCTCCCAAACGAAGGAAACTCATGACGACTCTAAAACAGAGGAAAGTAGCTCGGATCATGATGATGGTAGTGGGAATGAATCGGATTCTGACTTTGATCCAACCATTGCTTCAGGCCAGGGATCTTCAACGGACGACGAGGAGGAGACTGAAGAGGAGGAGGATGAATCCAAGTCTTCTTCCTCGACAACTACTTGCAAGAGAAAGGTCAAGAGTGAAAGGAACAGAACAAGTGTTGTTGTTGCTTCTTCTGCTGATTGTTCCTCCTCTTCTTCAGCATCACCAGCCACAAAGAAGAGAAAGAGAACCACCTTTGCGAAAGCAGACATTGCACTCCTCACGAAATGGCTTCATTCTCACTCGAGTAATCCGTATCCTACTGATGAAGAAAAACAAACTCTCTTAAAGAGTGTGAACATGACTAAGGAACAACTTGAAACATGGTTTGTGAATAATCGAAAGAGATTGTTGCCACAGCACAAGTATGTTCGTAAAACGCCAGTGAGAGTGGAGAGTGAGACGTTTAATCAACGATTGTTGAAACAAATGGAGAAGGAAACAGGTTCAAAAGAAACGAAGAAGAACAAGGTATGAGAGGGAAAAATCAAAATTTCAGAGTTCTTTCGGATGATATTAATACATCATCTCATAGCTCTAGAATGATGATGGTTGCAACAGTTGTAAATTAAATAGTGTGTAACGCTAAAGTGTCTTTGTTGTAGAGCGACCTCTTTTTTGAACTCTAAAGGTTTTGTTTATGTTCTCTCGTGTGTCTTTTCTGATGAACTCGTCTTGCAGAGATCTTTCTTCTTTGACACGCTCATGAGGAGTAGTCTCAAGTGTGTCATGAAGTGTCCAACAAAGATTTTATCGTCAATAAAGAATTATAAAAATGAGCGACGAAGAAGGGGAAGAGATTTTTCTGTCTGTCCGAATTCATGACTTTCATTCACAGGTGTAAGTAGTTTTATATTCATCAAGGACTGTTTTCCCAACAGATGCGAATGAATGAAATACGATTTTTTGAAAAATGATGATGATGATGAAATTAATATCTATAACATGTACATACCGATATGGATATTATTCAATCATGATATCAATAATTGACTCGCGTTCGTGAATTACATGAAATTATAATAATTATAGGAAAGAATTTGAACAAATTAATAGCTCTACAGATCCTAATTCATTACTTCAAAGTTTATGTACAAAAGCCTTGTCGGGAAATCTTGGCCAATCCACTATTCGCTCCATCATTTGGAGAGTTTTTCTCGGAGTGTTGCCACTCACTGATCGATTTGGAAAGGAACATTGGATAGCGAAAATAAATTCTGATCGTTCACGATATGAAGAGCTTCTCAAGAAGCATGAAAACGATCCAAGAAAAATGGCCAAAAATTCTGCAACTTTTTCATCCGAAGAGGAAGTAGATGTGACTTTTTGTGATCCACTCTCACAATCACAATCTGTAGGTGTCATTGTTTGTAATATGTTGAATGGAAGTTTTAACTTTGCAATTTCTTTTTCCAAATTCATCAACGAATTTAACACATACAGAACCCATGGTCCGAATTCTTTGAAAATTCAGAACTTGAAAAAACAATTGTACAAGATTTGAAACGATTGTATCCAGAATATCCATTTTTCAGAACTGAGGAAATTCAAAATTTACTTAAACGAATGCTCTTTGTATGGTCGAAAGAAAATACTGACCTTTCGTACAGACAGGGCATGCATGAATTACTCTCTCCCATTCTTTTAGTTGTGTACAGAGATGCTCAAAATATTGAAAATTATAAGGTATGTCAGTATGAAATCATGCAAATATGATGATGTGACACTTTTTTTTCAATATGACATGCCATTTCCACTTTCACAAAAACTACCAGTATTTATTGCAGGAAAATCCTGAACTTAATTTGCTCATGAAATTATTGGATCGCAATTTTCTTGAACATGACACCTACTGTTTGTTTGAAAAATTAATGACCAAAATGAGAGAATACTTTATTGTCGGTGAAAGTCCTCAAGGAAGATCGTTGCCTAATATTTCTACCAAAGGTCCTCTTGATTCAGGACTACTCATGACCGAACGAAAAATGGACCTCTATGAAACTCCAATTTTCAAAATTTCCAACAAAATTCAAAATAATCTCCTCGAGAAAAAAGATCCAGAATTGCATCGTCACTTGACCAAAATGTGTATTGAACCTCAAATTTATTTAATTCGATGGGTCAGATTACTCTTTGGGAGAGAGTTTCACATTGATGATGCCATTATTTTGTGGGATGCAATTTTCTCTGATTGTGGTGGATTTAGATCTGAAAGTCTAATGTCACCATCCGATATTGATCTATCATTGGTTGAACACATTTCTGTAGCCATGCTACATTTCATTAGAAAACATTTACTTTCTTCGGATGCAAGTTATTGCATGAAACGATTGATGAGATATCCACCCGTTGAGGATGTACATATTTTTGTCGAGCAAGCACTTGAATCACGTGCAAGACCAACAAGTTTATTGCCGTCTATCTCCATGACAGATCTCAACAATAGTCACAATAACCATAATAATAGTAGTAATAATGGCATCAATAATGGAGGAGCAACTGTCATTCCAAAGTCTCTCTCAAATCCAACACTGGACACAAGCTCATTATTTCCCAGACTTACCAAAGACGTTCCTGTCACCGAGAGAACCATTAAACCTTCACGAAAGCAAGAAGGTACTCCCAAACACAAGACCAGCAATAGCATTTCAGGAAAGCCCAAATTTGGGAGCCCTTGCTAAACAGTTGTTTCCATCTTCATCCAAGCCAAAATCAAAGATGGTCACACCTCTCAACTCTCCTTCACCCTCCATACATGCCATGGCAACATCACATCATTTCTATTCATCTGAAGGCCATGAATGGGTAGAACGAGAAAAGAAGTTGGGAGATGTTGTGGATGTTGTTTTGAACGTTTTACAAAACATGGCACTCGAGTAAGTAATGCCATTTCAATGATTTCGTTCTAACCAAGATGATCATTTCTGTTCTTATTCACCTTATTTCATGGAATCTTTGTATTTAATTATTCATGACATATGAAAAATTATTTCATAATTCATTTAACTGACATATATAGTGCCAAGCTGGACGAAGAGCGGTTGCTCATGTCAGTGGCAGAGCTTAAACATGTGAGAGATTGTTTAAAATTTCAATTGCCCTTCCAAGACCGAGGTACGTTAAAATATATTTGTGTGAATTTTTGAGTATTCGAATACTTTGATTATCAAACCACTCACGATAGAAATTGATTGGATCGCCAAACGATTAAAGTCACCTCGAGGATCTGAAGAGGAAGATCATGTATCATCTTCCACCTCACTCTCAACAAGAACAACAAATAACCATCCTTCATCTGTTTCAGATGAAGAAGAAATTAAAAAGTCTCTCGGTACTTTTGTGGAGATTGATTTTCACGAGTCACCTCCACCTCCACCACCTTCCAAATCATCGACGGTAACAACAAGTTCTTTTTTAGAACCACACGATTTCAAATCAAATCATAGTTCTTCGTCATCCTCACAACACAAAGAACAAGCGACAAAAACAGACACGAATAACACCAATAGCGGTGAGATTGTTTTCCATCCTCTTTTGAAATAAATTGAATAACCCTGACATTCCAAGTGACACACCCAGTGTGAAAGATAACAAAAGAAGAAAAAATGGCGCAATTTGCAATCCCTCATTCCGAGAGAGTCTTTTTCTTGTTGATGCTCTCCGTTGTACTATTAACGGCAGGGATGCTGTTAGTAGTATCGTGTCTGGAGATTCATGCATCGTTCCTCATTAAGACGGAATCCTCATCATCATCTTCTCTTCGGAGTTTCAATCATAACAATTCCAATGAAGTAACGACCGCAGCACTGAGAGTCTCAACACTCGCGAGTTCCACCAACTCTGCAGATTCAACAGTAGTACTCTTACGATTTTCTAATTGTAATCATACAGACCATATCATGTTTGGCATTGTTCCACTCAATGAAACCAATACGCTTTTGAAATTCACCAATCCTCAATTTCCTTCTAATTTTGCATGCTCCACTATTGTACTTTCTCAATTTTATGACATTCCTGAGAGATATCAACAAAGTTTTTTCGCAAAACAAAAGGAAGTGAGATTAAGTCCAACGGGAATTCAATACAATTTATGTGAAGTGATTGGAAACTATGAAAAACAATTACAGAAACAGAGAGGAATTATGAATTGCTCGCAATTGTTGTGTGATTCTGATATTCAAAATGTTGTCACTATTGTTGATTCATTGACTAGAGGAAATACTTCATTGGTTGATTGGATTAATTATTGCAGGTACTGTAAATCAGAAGGAATATCAGAGGTGTGTTTACGATCTCCGAGTTCTGGAGATGCTCAAGTGAGAGCCATGTTGCAGTCATTTCCTACAGGTTTGCAATATTGTGGAATGGACATCTTTGGATTACCCTTTTTAGTGAAGACTAATCAAATCACTCCTCAAACTTCCTTATTGACCTATTTCAGTAATTACTCATATCTTTGTTATTGTCCTGCCTTGGATACTTTTGCATTTTCATGTAGCACGGCTCTCATCTCCGACGATCCAATTCAACTGTATTTTCAAGTTGCTGTTTTGGTGCTTGCCTTTGCAGTTCTAGTATTTGTTTTCTTTATCCCAAAATTATGGAAACTCTTCAAAACGCGTTCTGGAAGTTTCATTACAAGTTGTTGCGTCATGTTGACTGCTGCACTTACCCTTGCACATTCCTTGATTTCGATTGTGGTCCCTCCACCTCTTTCCATAACCATTTCAACACATTTACAATATTTTGCATTGATCTCAATATTATATAGTGTCTACTCTTGGTTATTGGGTTTGTATCGATTGATTTCATTAGCAAAGGATCGACAAGCTCCAAAAAGTTATTATGTGATTCATGCTTTTTTGATATGTGTGTTCTTGGCAATTGGAGTGGTTACGTCAGTCGTTATTGCAACTCAGAACGACGAATCCAAGTTGTACCTATTAATTGCTGAAGTTTGTTTGGGGGTAATTGTTGCTGTGTTTTTTGTAGTGGGATCGGTGTGGGCTTACGTTGTCATGAAGAAAATCAGTGATGTGAATTTGATGAGAACAGATGTAAGTGGTTGTTTTTCACTCTGTTTTGTTCGTTGTGTGTAATAATGTTGGTCAAATTTGTATGTACCCATATTGGTGTGCATTGTGTATGCATGAATTGCAGTTTGTAAGATTTGTACTCTATTCCACATTTGTAATCATAGTATTTTCAACATCATTCCTACTCGCGATTATATTTAATAGTAGTAATCCTTCTTTCGCAGCCGTGTGTGGTTCGATTGGAAGACTGGCCACGTATGCCCTGTTTGTAGCAGTAGTTTATGCTGATTTTGATCAAAATGAATTTAGGGAATTCTATGCTGCTTGCTCTAAATTTGTGTACAAGTGTGTAAAAAAAGCAGGTAAAGAAGACACACAAAAAGAGAGGAGAAAGCTCTAGTAATTCCAGCTATAATGACTCTTCGAAACTATTGAAAACTGAAGAATATTCATCTTACCAAGAAACTTCAGGTACTTCATGGGTGACTATGGATTCTGCCAGTGTTAATGCAGATATTACAACAAGTAGTACCTCCAAATGAAATAATTAATTGAATAATGATTGTTAATTACTCCAAAACATTGGAGGAAATAATTTCACAAAGAGATATCAAGCCTCGTTGTTCGCTGTTCGTTTCCAGATATTTCTGAAGAGGGGAACTCAATATTGAAAAGAAACACACAGCAAGTGGATGGTCCGATGAACAGCTGTTTCAAATGAATGGTGTCACAAACGGTGACGATATTATAATTTTCTCTGCAACTCACGAAAAGGCTACTCACCTTCTGAATGATTTGGCAATAAACATTAAGGTAGAAAGTAAATGTTGCTCATTTTTGTGATGATTCGTGACATGGTTTAACGTGTGTCTGAGTTCATCCATTTGTTTGCGATAATGATGTCCTCTTTCTGTGCTTCCATTAAGAAAATCAGACAAGTGTTTCAGTGGGAAGTTTTCGAGAATGGTTTGTTTGAAAAGCACTCTCCTTCCATGGCCCTCAAATTTTTGAATGAGAAAATAGGCGGCGAATGTGTGGTGCAAAAGTAAATCCTGAAATAATGAATGAACAGACGAGGTAGTGGTGATCAACAATACGTACATATTTGTTTCTTGCAACATACCAGAATAGAATTGTAAATTTTCGCATAATCTAATTGTAGGAAATGACCAATTAAATTTCGTATTTTGTCAACAATGACATCATTGGTGGTAACATCAGTTTCATGGGTGGCATTCATTTCTTGATTTAGCCAAGCAATAATTTCCATCGAAAATGTGAGGCATCCTTCAACTATGTCGTAAATGTTCCCTTGGTGCGTTATTGAATCATGCAAATTATTGCAACTCGAGATCACAGATTTAAAGATCAAAAATTCCAGTGCTAAGCACAAAATGAGAGGAGTGCCGCTATAGAGCAGTATAGTCCCAAAGTGCGAAGAAATATCATTCCAAAATGGATGAGAATACAAATCGTCACTGAATGAATTTTGAATTTGACTGATTTTCTTCCATACGGTATATGAACTGTATAAATATGACTTATGAAATCGATCTTTTAGAGCTTGTTCGTCATTTGTTGGGTGTATTCTGTTCAGAAAATGATTTTTGCAGTTGTATGCAACGGATCGAATGGAATTTAGGCACAGATTGAAATAATTATAAACCGAATGGCCATTCTCCGTTTCATTCTCCTTTGATTGATCGTGCAGGTGTTGAAAAAGCTCCTTCACTAACTTTTGGGCAACATGTATAGAAATATGACTGGCTCTATAAACTTTCGAGAATTTGATAAACTGTTGAATGAATCTGTCTGTAATATCATTGGCATCATTTGTCTCTTCCAAATTTTTAATGGTCCAATAGTGATCAGGATTATTCTCACACACAGAAATTAAATATTTCAAATATGGGTTGCATTGTTTGTGTTGTTGTAGCAAAGTGCTCACTATCTTAAAGGAGAGTATCAATTGAATTCTCTCCAAGAAGGATGAATATTTCCTAAACTGCTTGAACGAATATAAGAGGTGTCTCCACCATGTCTGCAGAACCTGCACATGATTAGAAATCTTTTCAATGCAAGGAGTAATGGTCAAGAGTAGGGAAGTCTTCTCAGTAGGGCTCATGATTAAAAATGTCTCTTCGTGAGATTTACTTCTCTTCATTTCAAAATTATGAATGGAATTCAAAATCACAACATGCAATATCCTCAATGGTGTAAGTACTTGTTTCGTAAAAGAATAGAACCATTTCATGAGTAAATTTAATTTTCTTGTAGGTGTCATCTTGGTGATGGCATAAAATTCAAACACTAATTTTCCAAATTTTCTTTTCAATAATTTGCCATCCATCAAGAAATTATTAATTATTGTGTACTTCTTGGAAAGGAGTTCCACAATTCTCTCATGGCACTCGTCGATTAAATTCAAGGCTATTCTCATCATTTTGTTGCAACAATTCGTCTTTGAAACCTGTTGTTGCCTTTCTTTAACATCATGGAGATTATCTTTGTAATAAATACGGTTTCCATGGCTATTCCGATGATGATGAGAGGGATCATTTAGGACAAATGTCCCATACCATAAAGCCTGTTTCAAATGAATACTCAGTACATGAACCCATCGGGAAGAGTCCATCATTGTTGCATCATGATCATCCATCGGAGTATAATTATCTTGAAGACCTTCTTGTCGTTTCCTTAGAACATGATGTTGATTCATAGTAAAGATGATCAATACATTAATAATTCTTTTTTAATTGAAATACATTAATAATTATTGAAAATTCCGAGCATCTGGTGGCTTCATTCAATCAAAATTGCTATTTTTTTAAACAACCAAAAAAAAATAAGTTTCGTGTTCATCATCATCACACACAATGGCACACGCTCTCGATAAAGCTCTCAAATTCATGACGGCAGCAACCTTTGCCGGAACTGGTGTGCTTGCTCTCGGATTGTCTTGCTTGTATACAGTCGACGGAGGAGAGAGAGCAATTTTGATGGATTATGTCGGAGGAGGAATTCGTGATGATTATGTGGCCGGAGAAGGCACACACTTCAAAATTCCCATCATTCAGAAACCCATCTTCTTTGATACACGAATTCGTCCAAGAGAAATTTCAACCAAGACCGGAACCAAAGATTTACAAACAGTGAATATTACATTGAGAGTTTTACATCGCCCTATTATTGAAAAACTCCCATTGATCTATAAAGAGTTGGGAGGAGATTATGATGAACGTATTCTTCCATCGGTGGGTAATGAAGTGATGAAAGCTGTGATTGCTCGATACAAGGCCGAGGAGATTATTCAACGAAGAGAACAAATTTCAAAGGAAATTCAAAAGATGGTCCGAGATAGAGCCTTACAGAAATTCCATATTGATTTGGTGGATGTTTCCATTACTGATTTAAGTTTCAGTAAGGAATTTACAAGAGCCGTCGAAATGAAGCAAGTTGCTGAACAAGAGGCTGAAAGACAGGCCTTTATTGTCGAAAAGTCGAGATATGAAAAGGATGCAGCAATTATTTTGGCAGAAGGTGAAGCTAAGGCAGCTGAAATGATTTCTCAAAGCCATGCAACAATCCGGTTCTGGACTCATTGAGCTGAGAAAGATTGAAGCCAGTAAGGAAATTGCTAGTACTCTTGCCAATTCCAAGAACATTACCTACCTTCCAAAAGATACTCCTTATTTGATCACAAAATAATAATAATAAACAAGAGAATGAACTTTCTAGTGTCTCTCAATCAACCCAATTCAACCATGCCGTGTAATCTCAAACGAGTCTTTATAGGGAAATTTCATGAACTCTTATCTCATGGTGGAAAACGGAGCTTTGTGAATATGATGTTGACAGAGTTCAATCATTTCCAAGCATGGTTTGTCGTTTCCTTGATTTTCATTACTGAACTCTAGAAACAGATTTAAAGCAGAATGGTATTGTTTTTCAAACAATAATTGACAGGCTTGATTGTACTTTTGCCACTTTTGCTTTTTCTTTTGATTTTCCAACTCGTACATCCATTCATCTGCTTCTTGGTTTGTACTATCACCAATTTCATACAATTTTTGTGGAATGTTTTCACTTCTTCCCAAGTGCATGGATGAATACTCATGGTCAGAAACTAAATGAATATCTCCCACATAACGTGAATGATATTGGCAGTGGGTTTTGTGTTGAATGCCCTCACTAACTATGATTGAAATATCTAATTGATGAGCTTTTTTAACCATGGCCTCTAAATTATATTTTGCACTTGAAATAATACTAAAGGTCTTGAGGTCACGAGTTCCCACATTTCCTACAAGGCATTCCTGTTGAGTGAGTGCAATTCTAATTTTTAAGGCTTCTATTAAGGTCAATAGTTCATCATTCTTCATATGGGACAACCATTTCTTGGTTTTGAGAGACTCTATTCTTTCCAGTAATAGTTTTGAAGCCAAAACACCCTTTTCTTGATGATTTGCATGCTGAATGGAAGAATTAAAAGACATCATGAAGGAGTCGTTTTCAAAGTGACCAAGCAATCCTCCAGTGATTTTCGATATTGTATGGACCTGATCAAACACATCGGACAACATGTGAATACAATCATTTGGATTTTCCATTCTTGAAAGAACATCTGAGAAACCATCGAATACCATGTGGAGGAGAGTCACTTTTTTCTTTTCCAAGTACAAGGAGAACATGTTTAAAGGATTTCGTGAATGATGCTGCTTTTGGACAGAAGTATTTTGTGTGGAGCGACTACTTGACAACGAAACAGATGACACGGAAGATTTAGTTGAGGAATGGGTCGATAGTTGTTGTTGTTGTTGCTGTTGTTTCTTGTTGTTTTCTGTTTGATGATGATGATGATCAGAGGTTGTAAAAGGTTCTTCCTCTGCATTCTTCTTGTCCAATTGTTGCAACAAATGAGTTGGAATGAAAGCACGATAAAGTTTGATCATGTGAGTCATGTCTAGAAATTGTTTTTGCAATTCTCTGTGATTTTTGTATTTAGTGTATCCAAGCACACCGCCACCATAGTGTCAATAATGTGAATATTTGAATGTAACCAAACATATGTGAAAAAGATTAAATATGAGCGTTTTGTGTTGTTATTCTTGTTGCTTTACAACTTGTGAATTCCTTACCTGACTTCGTAAAATTTGCTTGGCTTCACCTCAATACCTTCGAGATCCATTCTCGAAATGGCTGTAAATTGATCGATCAGATTGTAAAAGGGTTTCACAATTTTCATGGATATCGCAATAGATAAGAAAATGGAAAGCAAGACAATAAGGATGGCTCCACACAGCGAAGACACCACACCAATAACAATGGTACCTAAATAATTCCATTTGGGAATGGCCATTACGAATAACCAATCAATTTTAGTTTCCGTACACATCCTGTACAGAGAAATATAATCAAAACCATCTTCAAAGGTTTGAATCTGGTTGCACTCAATATTGCTGATATTATCTTGTGCGTGTGCAAAGACAAAATTTACCACTTCGCGTGTTCTGTCTTCGTTGAGAGTTTTAATTGTTTTTCTTTCCACCGTGTCATCTGAAAGAGGGATGGCCACTTTAATCGTTGGATCATCAACTGTTCGAAATGTTTGTCGAAAATTGTAAGTCATGGTGAAAAGTCATGATGGTATGAACAATTAGAGTCATGGTGGTGGTTAGTGGACAACAAGTGTTCAAGAAATACTTACTTGCAACCACATAGTTGGTCTCTGTTTCAATAATGAAACTTTTTGATCCATGCACTTTTTGAGTTGCTTGAACCAAGAAATTCGAGAAACTTGCAACAGTGAAATCAAATGCCAAATAGTAATTGAATCGAGTCTTATTATTCATTGAAAAGCAATAAAGTAGTGTGATGAATGTATCATAATTTGGAGTCGTCACATCCACATAAGTTTCTGCAAATATTTGTTTCTTGGGATTGTCGTTACAAGTGTCAACTAAACTAGAGACGTCAAACGGACCCAACACCAAGTCTGGTGTGTTGTTTCTTTTGCAATAGTCATACAACTCGAAATCAGGATCACAATAGTAAAACTCTTGTCGGTCATTGGCAGTGTAATTAAATAAACAAGGTCCCTCAGCTGGATCATGGTAAATTCCAAGTCCATTATATTGATCGTCTCCAATGTAAACAGTTTGCACGAGTCCATTATTTTGCAAATCTTCTGTCACATAGGTTTGATACGTCACCTGTTCAATTTGACTTGCATTTGAAAAGTCTAAAAGTTTCAAGACTTGTCCTCTCATGACATAATGAGAATGTGTCAAATCCACAATAGTTCTTGACACCGAATTGATAATCTCACGAAATTCATTATCACGTTCCATATTACTCCACCGAATATTGGAAGGGAGTAAACTTGAGATCCAAACGGCAGACAATACAATCACACTCGCAAACACCACAAGGGACATTAATAAGATTATGCTACACTTGATGGATATCCTTCGAGATGAAGGATCGTTCGAGGAAAGGAGAAGAGACTGTTCTTCTTCTTCTTCTTCTTGTTCACCATACTTGGAATGGTCGAGAGAAGTGTTAGACCTGGTGTTGACGTTGTCGCCGTGAGGAACAATAACATTCTTCTTCACCATCATGACCTCAGATTCAGTTTACAGAAGGTTTGTTTTTTTGAGAGATTGCTTTGAAATAACGAATCTCATCAATAACTTGGTATTTCTCTCTCTTTATGTAAAGGCTGACAAACAACTCCGATCATCTCTGATGTGATCCGGTCATCATCTCTCCCTCAGTATCTTAATTCGGTTTGTGCTTATACAAATAAAGTAATTGCCAAAAAAGAAAAGAAAAGGGTGAGAGGATTGGCGTACATTATATCTCTCCCTATCTAAAATGCGTGCAAGATTTTATCAAAGAGTAATTTCTGAAAACTAGTTCCCAATTTCTCCACAAATTGAAACAATTCTTGCTTTATGGAAAGGCCATCTTGATCTTCCGAGTGAGGATTATGTTCCACTCGAGTTAATTGTAAGGTATAGAAGGATTTGTACTTATGGAGAGAACCTGTCCAGTTTCGTCATCTTCCACATAAGATTCCTCTCGGATCAGTTCGTTTCTCTCTCGTAAGGTGCAAATATAACGATGGAAGAAGAATTTATCCTCCTCTTTAGGGTAGTTTATGGGTTTTTTGCTCTGAAAACGACTATCAATAATTACATGTATTGTTCCTTGTTGTTCATCTCTGAGAAGGAAAGGAAATCATCCAAAACAACAAAATGTTTGGTTTTCAATTCGGAAACAATAAAATCTTCTCGATGCGTCCAATTAAGATTTTATTGTTTCCGAATTGAAATGGTGATGAAGGTGTTGTTGTCGTTGTTTCTTTTGTGTTGTTCAAAGAGAACTCGAAACAAGAAAAAATGTTGAAATTATGTTTGAATTTTCGAACAAATAAACGCATGGACAGTGATAAAAAAAATGTTGAAATTATGTGCAACGACAACATGGATCAACTCCACCAAAACATCCAAGAACAAGCTTTCATTATTCACCACAGCACAACTTTTAAAGAATAATGCTCGTTCTTCATGTATTAATACCAGCAAGAATTTTGGAAAACTTTACTTGATCATGATGAAAAAAGACTTTTCGGAAATTGAATTATTTCGTGCTTATCATTCCCGTCATCTTCTTTTACAGAATTCCAACAACGGAATGAATGAAAATGTAGCCCAACAACAAGACTCTCTTCTAATACCATCATCAAACAAACATTTAAAAACAAAGCTTGATGAAATCATGTTTTGGAACAAGCTTGAGGACTATTTCTCACCCAATTCAAAACTTGAGGAAGTGTTTGTAAAGGTTACGCTCAGTAAGCCTTCCATAGAAATTCCTTCTCACACCACCACAAATTCCGATGATGAACAGCAACTTCCAACGAAGCAATTAATGATCAACAAGGTTCAGGTGAGACCCATACAATTATTGAAAGAAAAGAAAAACAGCAAAAATTGTAATTCATCAACATCGTCACCATCACCATTGCATTACCAACTCACTCTATTTCATAAGGATAAAAAGGCCACTCATCAAAATATTCCATCAGCAGTTGAGGCATTCACAAAAATTAAAGACCTTCTGATCACGAATGGATATCAACAAGTACTAATTCAAACACCCTCTGGACACAATGTACAAATGATATTGAAATATACTAGCTCAAATAGTAGTGCTGAAAAGACAACTAGGATTGAGAGTGTCAAAATGGTGACATACATAGAAGAGGTTAATTCATGCACTCTTGACCAAGAAGCAACATCGTTAGTAATCATTGAACGTGAACACAACAGAAAAAAGCATTACATTCTGGAAGAGGGGAAAAGAATACCATTCCTTGTTGATCTTGGCATTATTCATCCTGAGTCTGGCAAAGTGCTTGCACCAAAATTTCACAAATTCAAACAAATGAATCACTTTTTAGAAATCTTCAAGGATACGATTCCAATGAGTGTCATTGAGCAGAAAGACACATTACGTATTGTTGATTTTGGATGTGGAAAATCATATCTTACGTTTTCTCTTCATCATTACTTGAAAGAAATACTAAAAATTGAAAACTTTCAAATTATTGGACTCGATCTCAAAGAAGATGTTATAGAGAAATGCAACGCACTTGCTGTTAAATATGACATGCAACAACAATTGAAATTTGTAGTGGGTGACATTCATTCGTTTGAGCTCTCGCCACACTTTTTTGATCAAAGACAAGACAAAACCTCTCAGGTGGACGTTGTTGTTTCTCTTCATGCATGCAATACAGCAACTGATAAGGCTCTTGCTCAAAGCGTTCGGTGGGCTGCAAAGTGCATCATTGCCGTTCCCTGTTGTCATCACGAAGTCTATCAACAACTCAAACATGTCAAGAACTTGCCCGAAGACCACTTATTGTTTCCACTGTTGAAACACGGCTCACTGAGTGAAAGATTTTGTTCTCTCTACACTGACAGTCTCAGATGTCAACTATTGGAAATTGCTGGATACAAGACTAATGTGATTGAATTCATTGAAACGGAGCATACACCCAAAAACCTAATGATTCGTGCCATCAAACATGCATGCACCTCAAACGAAATACAACAAGATTTGCTCATTCAAAGATATCTTAAACAAAAGCAAGGCCTGCCTGTCGAGATATCTTTAGAGGCTTTCATGCAACCCTTTTTTGAAAGATTTGAACGCAAAGCTGCTGAACGAATCGTTCATTGATTCGAGAATTTTGTCCATAGATATCCCGTAACAATCGTCACAAATCCATGAAAATTTTTTTTGCCTGATGAAAATGGATGGCAGCAGTGTTCCTTCGATGTGAAAAACACATCTGGAAGGCCACACTCGGGTGAACCACAAACATCCACATCACTGCAAGGCTGCTTTAAGCACTCGAAACAACACAGGTTGGAAACGGCCTCTACGTCAAGCAACCATCCACACATTTCTTTGACGAAGAAAAAACACCTTCAACAACACCACGCAGGAAGCGCTTGTTAACTCGGACGTCAGGTCATCCCGAGACCAGAACAAGAAAATCCAAATCATTACACATATTCGGATCTGTTGCTGCCCAGAATATCATCATCTCTGCCACAGAAGAAAACCGTTTCACACATCTGGACTTGTCACCTTTACGTTCCTTCTTGCCTGATTTAACACCATTTTTGTGTTGTTGATAGGTTATATGCATTTTGAGGCACAAAGCAGAGTCGTTGTCATTTTATGCTGCGATCAAGATCAGTCTTCCACTCCACAAGAAAGAAAACCTTGACATTCCATCATCATTCCGTTCCACCTCTCTTCGTCCACCTTCTTGCTCATCCCATACAATAACCTATCAAGCCCTCTTGTTGTTATTGTATATCTATCATCAAATTTCCCAATACATCTTCAATTCCTTCTTTGGATTATTCTTCGAATATGCTCTGTATGGACACTTCGAGAAAATACCAATCGGTCACTACGAGTAACAACAATAACAACAACACGACTCCAAACTCACAGAACTCTAAATCGACTGAAAACACTTCGACAATTAAACGTCCATCGTTGGCTAATCGAAAACCACCGCCTCCTCCATATTCAGACGAAGACAATTTTGAAAATGCCAGTAGCACAAGTACTCTCACATCAACATCCCCAACGACAAGCTCTCAATCATCAAGTTACTCACCTCCAGGATCAGTTCCAACAGCTTCAAAACCACCCTCCTCATCATCTGTGAACGAACCTGAGGTTGATGACTCGTCGGTTGTCAAAGAAAGGCAACAGAGATATGATCTGTTGCGTCTCCTCGAAATTGAAGACCAAGTTGATTCGCAACGACTGACTTGCACAGTGGAATTTGTCGATGATTACTTACTGAGAATATCACAACAAGTAAGAATCCCAAGATATGCCCACAAAAAACTTCCACCAAAACCTCCCGTTAATGCTTCTTCTCCCACCACAAGCTCTTCCTCTTCCTCCTCTCCAAGTGCCGATGATCAATTATTCAAGGAGTCAATTCCTACTTCGCAAAGCACCAATGTACTTGACCGATTGGAAAAAGTTGACACCACCACAGAAAAACCAATACGAAAATCTCTAGTTGCCAGTCGAGTGCTTGCCTTTCAAAATCCCGTAATTTCTAAAATTGCTAAACCAATAGTAAGACAACCTTTACGGAGTAGCGACACTTCATCCAGATCTGGCACAGCAAGTTTAGGTGGGACCGAATCGTTGTCACGTTCGAACCTCCTTGCTCCTCCTCCTGTTCCTCCAAAGTCTTTAAAGCCAAAAAGAGACCTCTCACCATCAACATCCGAAGATGTCACACCTTCATTATTTCAAATCCCTCAAAAGAATCCATCCCCCTTAAGTAGTGAAGAAGAATCAGCATCTAACTTACAAGCTACCTTTACCCCTGAACCAAAAATTCAACGCGAGAAAATCACCAAGAGAACGTGTGCTTGGAACTCACGTCATTGATTTTGTCACTCAATTAACATTTCCGAATCATTCTAATTGTTCTATTGTTCATTTAGCTGCAAAATATAATCATGTTGACATTTTACACTGGTTATTGGATTGTTGCTGTGATGAAACATGCCCACAAAGCCCATCCACTCCATCATCAGATTCCATGGAAATACAACATTCAAATAAGTGTATTTCTAGACAAAAGAAGCTGTGGAATCTCCAAGATAAGCAAGGAATGACTCCGCTCTATTATTCTGTCGCTGGAAACGATCTTGGACAGAAAACACTTGATACCTGCGCATTTTTGTGCAGTCAACCTGTAGTTCAAGAGAAACAACTTAATTTCTTAATTGACCCATATGGAAATTTACCAATCGTTCTCGCTTTGAAACGAAAGGACTTGGAATTGGCCGATATGTTACAATTATTTGGAGCGAAATTGGATATTACAGTCGGTATTGGTGTGCTGGGAGAAAGTTTACTTCATAGCTCCTTCCGAGATTGTGAGGTACAAGTGAGCGAATATATTATCAAAGCAATGCCAAGATTAATATTCAAAAAGAATCAAAGAGAAGAACACGCCTTGTTTGCTTGTCTCAGAGATTACAGATCCATTAATACTCACTCTTCGAATTCATCATCAAACTTTCTTGAACTAACTGAGAGAAAAACATATTCAGAGAGAAGACAAAGCAGTCTTGTCTTTACAAATACTGCTACCAGTCTTACCAACAACAACAAGTACTTTTTATTCTTAAAGCATGTTCTGATGAATGGAGAACAATTATTTGGAACCGAAATTTTTGAGAAAGCACTTTTAATGAAGAACGCATTTGGAAACAACATACTCATGCAAGCTGTTGCATTTAATGATGTGGATTCATTTAAAACCATTTGTCGATATTTGTTTGAGAGCTCTATGAAGAATGCAGAAAAACGCAAATTGCTGACGAGCTTGGCTCTCGACAAGGATCGAGATGGAAGAACCATTCTTCATTTGAGTATTGATTTTGCCATCAAAATGCTCTCTAAAAAACCTGAAGACTTTTTGGCATGGTCCAATGGATTCGAATGGCTGTTTGTTTGGCTTGAACAGAATTTCCTGTATCTTGCCGACAAAGTTCAATATGCAAAATCACAATCACTATATCATTTCCTCATGCAAAAAGATAATAGTGGAAAGACTGTGTTTGACATGGTTGCTACACAAGATGTCAAGAAAACTGAATGGAAAAACATCAAAGAAAGTCTTCAAGCTGCAGCGGATAAGTGGATTCATGACAGGTCTGTCTCTGGTACTGGAGCAGCTCTTGACCTTACTGAAACAACTGAAAAACAATCCTTGATGTCTCTGTTCAAAAACAAGATAAAGAAATCAAGCAAGTAGATCAGTGCCATGTGTGTTTGTCACCCTGACTAATTCATGGTCGCTCTCACCTAAACAATGGATAACTTACTTGTCAAATTGGCTGATTTACTCCCAATTATGACTAACCTTAAATGTACAACATGCTTGCAACCTTTACGCAAATTGATTGGAGTTCAAGTTCCATAACTATGAATATCTTTTTGTTCTTGAGAATTTTGACACAGAAAATGAACAATAAAAGAACTTCAACGAATGCAACAACCACTTTCACAATTCTTTCACTCAGCTCCTGAGGAATTGTTATGCGAAATAATACCTGTGATGCAACAACATTGAGTGTCTTACAAGAACCCAAACATGGAAACTTTATCACCATCAAATCTCGAAAATTACTCAAGCCAGGCCATTTCTATTCCACTACAACCTAAACGTATTCAGAGGTGGTATTGAGAAAAAAAAAATTAAAAATTTCCCGTCCAGCCAATTTTTTTCTCCTGGCTTGGGAGATCTCGTTACCTGTCACTCCCACCCCTGTATACGTTACTGGGGTTCTTATGTTGTAGTGATGGCAATATAAATTAGAGAAATATCAACCAGATATTACATCCAATGGATTTAAAGTAATGATGGGTGTCGAATCCTTGGACTTCTTTCCTCATCTCAAAGTAGTGGAGATGTTATCGCTTGGCAAGCTCATTCAAAAGGTTGTGCACTCATTACTGGCACAAAAGAAGTGGTGAGAAGTGCATGCAGCAGCTTTCGTAGTGAGACCCATCGACCTATTGATTCATCATCATCATTCGCTCGAGACTTTCAACAAGGTGATACAATATATTGTTGTGGAATTTGATTTCCGTGTGCCCCATGTGAAGGATAGTCATGTCGAACAACCAGCAACACGTTCAATTCGGAAAGATCCGATTTTCATTACTCCATACCGATCGGAAGGAGGTCCCATCCTCAGTGAGGGTGGTTCATCCATGTGGTGGTGGTGGTGGTGATGATGATGATCCAGATTCACTCGTTCCCTTGACACCTTGGTTGGAGTTTGGAGATGCTCGATTTGCACCCTATGTTCCTGCGTGTAGTGTGAATGAAGGTCAGAGTTTGACTATTCGACCCAATTATTATTACTAACAACATCATCGTTGAGTTTCAAGACAAGTCTGGAGTGTGAAAAGCTTTCAAAAAAAAGTTCGAATTAAAAAAATTCCAAAAAAAATGCCCACCAAACAAAAAACAAAACCGTCATCATCATCGTCCTCTAAAACGGATAAGCTGGTCGAGTTGGATGCTCTTGACCTGGGACCCACTACTGGTGGTTATGGAGTGGAAATCACTGGTGAAAAGAAAAAGAAGACTACTACATCTTCTCAAAAAAAAAAGGGACCACCTGCACCCTCCGAGCAAGGTATTGAAGTGCTCGGAAGGAAATATAGCAAGGTAGAGCTCATTGGTAAATTGTTGCAGTCGTCAGGAATTCAATGTATTCCTAAATCAATTCTGATGGAAAACGCAAAGAGAATACTTCAACAAGACAAATTCACGAGTCTATTACATGACTCGGAAGAACCAATGAAAGAAATTCACGGTTACAAGATGGGAACTAGGGCTTTTGAAATGTTGAGAGAACATGTTGATTATGAATTAACTAATTTAATGTACATTGCAAATGTTCTTACTGTTGCAAAAGGAAAAATTACTATTGGTGAAGGAGAAGTTCTTTTGGCTCGTCTTATTCAAAAACATCAACTGAGCTTGCATGGCAACAAAGAGGGCACACAGAAGGCTTTAATCAAATGTCAAACACCAAAATCAAGAGACACCATTGTTCTTGGTCAAGATGTGCACATTGACAAGATTGCAACAATTTTAGAGGAGGCCATTTCAAACAAACATCACGATCTTTCTGTTGGTGACTTGAACAGTCATAGGGTCGATGAACTGAGAAAGGCCATCAAAAATGCTGAACAGAAATTGTATAATGAAGATGGTACTAGAAAGGAGCCAAAGAAGAGAAAGAAGGAAGAAGTGAAAGAGGAAGAGGAAGAAGAACAAACTGAGAAAAAGAAGGAACCACAAACTAAAAAAACTAAAAAGTCAGAAAAATCTGCTGAGGAAAAGGCAACTGAGAAGAAGAAAGAAAAGACAGAAAAACCTGCTGAGGAAAAGAAGGAGGAAAAGTCTGAGAAAAAGGAAAAATCAGAATCTCAAAAGAAAAAGTAAATTATTAGGTCTGTCATCATATACCTTAATGAATCAATTTAAATAGATTGGATTTTGGGATTGAATGTTCAACAAGAGTCGCTTGAGCAATCCATCCATTTTGTCCGTTTCTGCTTGACAGTTTTTGAGAGCTGTACCTGTCATCTTTCGCGTCATTCAAATTCTCATCCAAAAAATAGAGAACAATGTCTGCTCAATCACGTTCATCTTCCACAGTTGAATCAAACAGCAACACTCCCACCGATCGGTGCACTCATACCTTGTTCTCGGAGAAAGGCTTACCAATCTCTTCATCTCCCTTTCTTCTCTTTCGCTACAACACCAATTCTGCAAAATGGGAAATGAACGAACAAGCCAAAACTGTGCTGTCAAACGCCACCACATCAAAGTGTATTCTTCATGTCGTTTCTGTGGTTGGTGCCTATCGTCTTGGAAAGAGTTATCTCATGAATCGTCTCCTCCATCACGAATGCACTCCGCAAAACAAAGGTTTCGAATTGGGACACTCCATTCATTCACATACAAAAGGAGTTTGGGCTTGGGGAGAACGATCCCATCAAGATGAGAGACATATTTTACTTTGTTTAGACACAGAAGGTTTATTAGATGCCAATCGAGAAGATGGTAACGATGAGGACGATGATGATGATTCAGGATCAAAGTTTGACACAAGTTTGTTTTGTTTAATGACCATGTTGTCGAGTACTTTGATTTTCAACTTTTCCACACGGATCACCAGTGATGATGTGAGACAAATTTCGTTTGCTGCTCATTTCTCGACCTTGCTATTCACTGATAAAAGAAAACAGCTCGAGTTGAAGGAAAAAAAGAAACATGTAAAGAAAGATCAAAATGAAGAACAAGAGGAGGGCTATGATGAGGAAGAAATTGTGAATTATACACCTCGATTGATTTGGCTGATTCGTGACATGACTTTAGCACTGAATGGAACGGAGAAGGATTATTTGGATAGTGTTTTGCAAGAAAATACAAAAACCAAGAAAAATAGAGAAAAGGAAACGAACAAGACTAAAACAGCCATCAAGAAGTTTTTCAAGAACAAGATGGAACTCTTGACCATTCCACCACCAACGTAAGTATTTTTTCCATTTTTGGTTTAAACAGAATTCCATAAACCATCCATATATATAGAGCGGATCCAGAGATTATGAAAAAAATTGAATACATTCCTCACAAGGACACTTCAAAACTCTCTGCCCTCTTTGTCGAAAAGATGGAATTAATGGTGAACAAGATTCGTTCAGAAGTCTCTCCCAAGAAAATTCTTTCTCCATTCCACAACACGGAAATGTTTCTCACTCCACCTCTTCTCTATCATTATTGTTCCAAACTTCTCAATGATTTGAATGAAAATAGTGATAAGATTGATCTACCCAATGCCTTTGAATATGTATTAAATCAACAAGTAGAATATTTCATGTTGAATGCTGAACGAGAGTATGAGCAGACTATGAAAGAAGGGTGTGAGCAGAAATTTCCAATGGAAGAGTTTGAGTTGTTAGAGATGCATACGAAAGTATTTAACAAACTATGTCAGGAATCGAGAGAGGAAATTCCTTCATGTAAACAAAAGGAGGTCATTCATCGATTGTTTTCCAAATTAGGTTATATTCAGAGTAGCAGTCGTGATGTGAATCACGAAACAGCAAATTCAGATCTGAAATCAAACGTATCTCCAAGCATGATTAACTATGACTCTCCTCTTATTAGAAATACCAAATTGGAAACTCTCATCATGCGAAATAGAGATGCCTCTCATGAATGGTGTGAAAAAATCTATGAAGAATGTCTTTCTCAACTTCGTGAGTCTTTATCTAATTGCGAAAATATTCAATCATTCATGGACTTGTCAAAAAGAATGCAACAAATATTACTTCAAAAGTGTGTTGGACCTGCACGTGCGAATTGCCTTTCAACCTTCTCGAAAGAACTTGTCGCTTTAAGAGAGTTGGTGTATCATCATTTGAAAATCAAGGAATCAGAAAGGCAAATTATTGAATTGCGGGAACACACAATGAAACTCGAACAGGAAAAAGCCATTCATGAAGAAGAGTTTAAACATGAGAAACAAGTCATTCTCGAGGCAATGAAGAGTTTGGAACGTCAACAGGAAATGTTGAGAGAGCAAATGGAGCAAGAGAGACGTCTTCATTCTCAAGAGTTGCAAAATTTGAGAAGCGAGTTGAATTCAAAGGCCAGTTCTTCTTCTGCCATTCCATCGAGTCATCTCGTCATTAACAAGTATTATTATGATGACGATGACGATGACTATTTCTATGGAAGTTCCTCGAGACGATCGAGTAAAAGCAGTAGCTCGAGCAGCAACTCTGGTAAAAAGTTCTACAAAGGAGGACAATTCTTGCCAGGTGGAGGAAGGGCTCCAAAAGGTGGAATTTGGATGTAAATGAGTGGAATTGTGGTTTGAGGTCATTAAATACTTCCAGAATAGTTTCCTTGCAATTTTGAGCATTACACGTTCTTGTATGAGCAGCTCTTTCTGGTTGATCATCATTCCCTTCCGTGAGTTTGAGATTAAAAATCCTCAGTGATATGATTCACACAGTTATTGAGCTAGCTTTATTGTGAATCTGACGTCTGTATCAGTGTCGAAATGTCTGCTTGTTCACTTTTGGTGTTCTTAAAAACTTTTTTGTATTCCTCCACAAGTTGTGAAAGTTCTTCTTGCATTTTAAGAGGAGATGGCTTTTGAGAAAGAATACTCCATGATTTCCAACCTTTCACATCGATATGATTCATGACTTGAAAACGTGTTTCCGTATCTGAAAGCCTTTCGAATACCATGATTTGGAAAAGAATATGTGCTCGTATGATTCCTTTTTGACTGGGTTGTGGTTGCAACAGATTATGATATAATGAGTTGTCTGTTGAAATCGAACTTAATGTGAGATGTTTTGTGCTCTTGTAGTCAGAGACAGTAGATGAGGCTCTCTTTGTTATTGGCGATAGAGTTCCCAAGCTATTGCTTGTGTGATTGACAGAAGATTGACATACGGCCGTTCCAACACTCTTACTTCTTTGTCGTGTGGCGATATTTGTTAATGATTCTTCAGAGTTTTTGGTCAAACGGCTATCATCAGTGCTGTTAGACCCTGCACTTGGTGTTAAATATAAATTAGAAGAAATATTTTTGCTCAACTCGATTAATTGATTTTCATGCTGCTCAATGACACTTAAGACTTCTTCGTGCCGTGATGATAATTGCAAGAGAATAGGAGGTGGAGGTATCAGTTTATCAATTGACCTCTCCATGATAATCAATCTGTCTGGTTCCTCCATGAAAAATCGCGCTGTTAAATATTCTCTCTTCGATACTGTGGAAAAAAGGTGAAAAAATTTTGAAACCGTGTTGTTCTTTAAATTTCACTTACCAATGAGAGTGCTGGGTGACATGGTTCTCATGTACACAACATCAAAACTGTCGTTTGGAATCTTGGCCATTTGCTTTTGTATCAAGCTAGGAGCATTTGGTAACACAGCCGAGTTCTTGTCTGCGCTGTAAAAATCTTCCAATTTCAAAGCCTCTTCCATTTGTTTGGTATGTTTACGAAGTTCCACAGATCTACACGCTTCAAAAGCATCTCTGTAATTTGTATTAGTAAGTATTCCAACAAATCGATTGCACATAACATGCGTTGATGAGTCATAAGGTGTCACTTTGAATTTTAAATTTTTCGATAAGTCTTGTGTGCTAGTGCTTTCAAAAAGTTGAGAAGCCAGCCGAGCTAAACTCGAAAAATCCCCAGTTTCAATAGAATGCAATGAAATTGCTTTTGTGTAAAGTTGGGCAGATTGCTTTTCGCTTTCTAATTGCCATCCATACACTTTTGACGTCTCATGTTTACAAAAGAGAATAAAAGCATCTGGAATGTAATTTTCTCGATGTTTTCGTCGTAGCAACTTTAAAGATTCTGCTTGTTCTTGTTCAAGAGTGCTCAATTGTTGCAATGTATGCCTCTCATCATCAATGCTCTTTTGAACTTTGGACAATTCATCGTTTTCGCTATTGACGCTCTCTTGTGACATCTCATTGAGGGCGATTTTGGATAGATTCAATCCTTGATCTGATTCATGAAGAGGATCATTATTGGATGACAAGTCTTTGGGACCTCGCGTAATGGTCACCGAATGATGTTTGTCATCATGGGAAAATTCTATGGGAGAGTTGATCGAAGAATTATTGATATCCGTTGATGTGGGATGTGTAGCTTCCATGCTGGTATTAAATGATGTGTTCAAATTTCTGTTGGTGAACGGGGAAGATATGTTCAAATGATCAACACCCCCAATGTTTGTTTCATCTTGTTGTTGATTGTTGTCATTACTATTGTGTTTTACAAACAACAGGGGTTGTCTGGAGTTGTACTCTTCTTCTTCTTTTGTGAGAAAATTGTTTTGATTAATATTTTCATTTGATTGATGATTTGCTTTTGGTGTTATTATTTCGTTTGATGATGATTCGTTCCGATCTTTTTGCCTACAATCTGTTATAACTTCACTCAAATTGTGATGTTTGTTTTCGTCTGTTGTTGATGTGATTATTGATGTGATTTGATTTGAAGTTACACCGAGGTACGGGCCGGAGGTGGTGTTGTTATTTTCTTCGTCTTCTGCTGGTGGTCTTGACGTGGTCATTTTTTGCTTGTTGGAATTAACATCTCAAACAAAAGTGTCATTTGGTATTGGAAGACCTTCTCTCAATTAAGCGATTTGTGATGTGAATGGTTGATGATCTTGCAGAGTGCTGAGAATTACTGCTTGATGGTGATGTTGCTTTTGGAGAAATTTTTGAAATGGGTTGTAGTGCATGGGTTGTTCCTTTGGAAGATGAAGGTGTAGTGTTCGTATTTGGAGTGGAAGGAGATGTTTGCAGGGGGAATAGACTCTGAGAGGATTTAGAGGTGGTTAACTTCTTGGTTTTAGGAGTCTTTGGATGAGGGGATGTATAAATGGAAGCAGCTGCAAGGGAACTATTTTTCACCGGTGTTGGTTCTTGAAAGGATTTGAGAGCTTTAGAGTCTAATGTCGAGGTTGATTTGCTTTTAACAATGGTTTTTGGGGTTAAAAGTCTGTTAGACTGTTTCGGTTCAACGGTAGTGTTGTTCTCGTTAGATTTTTCAGGGATGAGGCATTCCTCAATGTCCTCATCAAAGCAATATCTGTATCGGTCCAAAAAGTGTTGCTCTTCTTCATGTTGTGGAGGAGAGAAAGCTCTTTCTTGTTGGGTATCTCGAGAGGAAAATATACTTTCTTTCACCCTTGTTTTTTCGGGAGTTCCCATCATGACCACATCTTCATCTTCAAGCGATTTCTTCGGGATCCTTATTACATGTGATTCCAACATTTTTTTTAAGCGCCTTGTGGAGCCTTTTGTGCTCCCTCGCGAGTTAAAATTTTATGCAGTATTTCGCTCGGTCGTTCCATTTATGCCTTGCCTCAACGTGGAGCAAAAGTTTTCTTACTCTCTTTTAAAGCCAGTAAGTAATTCTGTCTTTCATTTGTATTGTTTTCTTGAAACTCACTCCGATTTTCATTTTCTCTTAAATTTTGAGAGAAAATGAAAATGAGACGTTCTAGTTCGGAGAGAAACCAATCAAAAAATGTGTTTTGAAATAGTCCTAATGCATTCGGACTTATTCTTGAAAGATGCGCTTTGAAAAAATTGTGAACTTTTGAATCGCATCTCTCTCTCCAAATTTTGTTCATCACTTAGAGTCCAATAATTGTATCGGAAAAGACAACCCTTCTCCAATCCTTTTTATTTTTGATCATCATTGTCAAACTGCGATGAAACGAACATCATCCTTTGGCCATAGTTACAAGTTTCATGGTTGCATTGGACAGCTTTGTCATGCATCCCGAGTGATGACGCTGCAGCATGTCGGACGCTTGATTCTTTTCTTCATTCTCACTTGCGCATGTGGTTCGTTCCTTACAGTATTCGGGATGATGATGAAAGATGAAAATGCAAAAGAAAAGACCTCAATTACAACAACAACAAGACACACTACCTCGAGCAATGAACCTTCTTTCTATTGCAATTTCTATTCCAGTTACATTCCTCTCACCTTTTCATCCTCTCCTTTTATAGCCAAATTATGTGATGGTGATGCCTATTGCTTTTCAGCCTCAACGAAAACACTCACTGCCACTTTTTCCTTGAATCCCCACTACGATGATTTATCGGTGAAAAAATTTGTTCGTGCCTCGCAAGCCATGGGTGCAAAAATTAGTGGAGCTTTCAATCCATGCTATGCCTATGATGAGAGATTCAATCTCACCTCTTTGACTTCACTGCATGTGAATGGTCAACCTATTTTGTGGCAACGAAAAAATTTGGGACAAGACATTGTTGCAGATGCTTGTGTTAACAAAGGGTCCTGCTCGAGATCGTTTAGTGCTGTCTCATCCATGATAGAGGCTGCCTATGCCACAGATTTAAATATTACTCAAAATGGAAATGAGGTTACTTTTGAATTTGAGGGAACGTCTTCTCCAATCACTTATTTTTGTGTGAAAGAGGTGGAATTGAGATTATGTGCAATTCCAAAGAGTCGAACTGTCGTTTCGTATAATGCACAAATCATGTCGACAACGCCAAGTATTTTGAATTTTGTCACCAATGATACCGTGTGGGCACTACAAAATGAACCATTTCTCAATTCCAAAGAATTGTTGAAAAGCTATTCAGATCAATTTGTGAGAAGGGTGAAAATTACGAATCCAGCTCTTGCATTCAGTTCAAAATTTAAGTTAACTATTAATCCAAGCATGTATGACTTCATGAAAAGCATGGAGATTGACATTTTAGGGGTGAACAAGACCTTTACAGATCCTGTTACCAATCAAGTCGTCATGCTCAATATTTCTGAGTCTGTCTCTTTGTCACGAACTTCTTCCCAATATGAATTAACATTCAATTCATCTCTTTGGAAAGATGACGAAATTTCATTGGACATTAGGATAAGTCTTGTGAAGCCATATTCCTATTCAGGTTTTGGCTATTTCACCTATGATGTTTCTCCTGTAGATAGTTCTAGCAATGCATTCTACAACACTTTTCAATATGGATCTGCACAAGATCGATTCAGCTATACGTCACGACAAACATTTAATCTCAATTTTAATACTCCTCAAACAATTTCAGCTTTGGGTAACCTTTCAGATGTCATTGCCATCAACTATTCTCCAGATCCAAATACTCCAAGCTTGGACGGACAGTTGCCACTATGTTACATGCAAATCAATACCATCTTTCCTGATAATGTTTTCAAATATTCCGGAATGATTTATTTCTATTCAACCAAGACGAGCAAACAATACAGTGCCAACTTTGGACCAAGTTTCACCATTGATTCAAGTAAGAAACAAGCTCAATACATGATTTCATCAGAAATGCTCGACTGTACTCAGGGAGCGACTACCACTATCTATGTGTGGTTAGAGATTTTAAGTTGGGATTCATATTACGACTCTGGAGTAATTACTACTCAGGTCTCTGCCTCACGAAAAAGTAAGTAACTTGTGAATGCTGAATGATTCAAGTATATCATTTTAAATTTATATTATTTTGGTTCTGTTATTTTTTAAAACATTCTGAATTCTTTAGCCATGCAACTTATTGACGATGTAAACAAAGTCTACTCAGATCTAACCTTCTCTTCAAGATATGAAGGCGCTGTTTATTATGTTAAATCCTTTTCTTCCCTCAAATACCCCTATGATTTAACAATGTCAACCACTTTCACTTCTCTTGATTCTCCATTTTTGTCCTTCCTCTCCTACGGTGTTCCTCTCTCCTGGGCGAATCAGAAACCAATGATTTTACAGTCCACAAAGACACCTTCTTCCTCCACTGATTATGTGGCCTACGATGTTGATGTGACACCTGGAATGTATTTCACATTTATTGAAAAAGGTTCCTGTAACGTGTATCCTTGTCGTGCCTCCTTTAAATTTTCAATCTCACAAGATTTGTTAAGCCCACCAGTTCTTTCTACTGCGCCGTCTAATAGTTTGAAAATTTCCAAGAGTGGATATAGAGCAAATGGATTTTTGACTGCTGTAGAAATTCCTCAAATTAGTACCAGAAGTTCACAAGGAACTCCCAATATTCTTTATAACCTCAAAGTTTTAGCTTCTGTACAAGTTGACACTCAGCCTTCTTCGTTTACTATCACGAACCCATTAACTCTTCAAGTCACCAAACAATTACAAGATGCAACACAAAACCTTCCCTTCAACTCAACTTACTCTCAACAAATAGCATCTCAAAATTATATTACTTCTTACAAATGTACAAACACATTTGAAACACATTATTTGGTGGTGAATACTGTGATACAAAATGTCAACGATTATGGAAAATGGTACATTACATTTTATTCTCATCCCGAAGTGTCATACAAGGTGACTTTCACGGTCCATCTAATGAATAATGTCTTTTCGGTGACACAGACAACGAATGGAGCCAAGTTGCCAATTCTCTACTCTCCCATTAGTCGTGTCCTGTATGGATTGCAATTGAATTCTCAAAGCTCGTTTGGTCAAACTAATTTCATGATTTCCCTAGACTCAAATACTTTGTCCTTTTCTCGAAACCAACAATATGAAATCTTATTCAAGCATGGATCCGTTCCAACTGACACAGATTATGATGTAAAATCTCCCTTGTTGCAGAATGTCGCTCGATATCCTTATCAGCAATTTATTACAAGATTCATTTACGGACAAAATGTTGTTTTGAGCTACTTGATGGATAATCCGTATTATTCTAATGGAAACACGAGGAAAAATTTCCCTTCTTCCATGTACTCGAGTAAGGTTTTATCTGACACTGGTAACCTTTCGAATGGAATTCTATATTTCCTGATTAAGGCAATTCCACTTTCAGACACTATGTGCATTTCCGATTCCTCTCTCGACACTCCCAGCAATTTCATCTTTGCTCAATACCAATATAGTTCCACATTAATAATATCAGAAGGATCCTCGAAAAAGCTCAATAGCCAAGTCATGTCAATTGACCTCTCAAAAAAACCATCATCTCCAAATTCTGAGATCATTGCAGATTTCTATCAAGAAACACTTTCCACTATTTTTGAACCATCTGCATCCATTTTGTTTTACAATTCCAAAACAAAGAGTGTGCAATCTAATAGTGATGACAGCTATACTAATGATACCGCCTCCTCCGTTCAAATTGCGTTCCATAATTTAACCTATTTACCCAATGGACCTGAATTTAAAACTCCTTATTATTCATTCAAATATACAATACGAATGAAAATTGACAACACGGGTGACAGTAGCAATCAGAATTCTCAGATATTTTTATTATTCCCAGTCTCACTCAATGGATTTTTGTCTCCCTTGAATAATTTCGATGCCATATTGAGTATGAATTCCAAGTTCGATCCAAACATGTATTTCATTGATTTAATTTCACCCACAATCATTGTTGGTTCCATTGTTGGAGCATTTTCAGCATTGATTGCCATTGGATACTTGATTGCTACTTGTGTATTTTTACTGGCCTCCCAAAAACGAGAATTCAATTTGGGAAATCCAAATCCAAAAGTTTGGCTTGCATGTCTATGTCCTGCTTCTATTCCTGTTTCAATCTGTTATATCTACTTCTTCTGTTATGAAGCAAGAAAGAATATTTTACCACCATCAGAAACAAAGAGACGTCGTCGAGTAAGATTTTTAATTGCATTCTCCATGCTGTCGTTTATCGTTGGAGTGCTAGCGAGTGCATACTTTTTTGGAAGAATGTTTTTCATTCACACACAAGCTGTGGCGAGTGCTAACAGTAGAGAATATTATTTAGGAAGAAAGGACCCCAATGCCGACAAGTATTCAACTCCAAGTTACACTCCAACATTGATGCCTTGTTGTTCCACAGCACGTCCTTCCACGGATGGTCAGTCCTTTACTTATTTTGGTAATGCTCATGTATTTTTCAAACAAAAATATGGTGGTCGTCTCGATTGTGCACCACCTCAATGGTTCATGGATTCTGCGCTTGGTACCAAATTCCTTCTTCAATCCATTGATGGTCTTCCTTATGTGTCTCCTAAACATGATCCAGCTATTGCAGCCACGAATATGAAAAACGGAAGAAGTCACACTTTTGAAATGGCCAGCACATATTGTATGGCTAACTCGGTCATTCTCATGCCAGCTGATGATGATTATAACGCATATGGAATTCCTGGAGTGTTGTTTGGAATTGGACCAATTTTGTATTCATTCTTTTTAATGTCAATTGTCATTTTTGAAAGTGTCATGAATAACAAGATGAATCAAAGTAATTATTTCATTGTTGGACAAACAACGCTATCATCGCTTGTGAAAGGAGAGAATGTTCAAGAAAACACTGATGACAAGACCACGTTATTGATCAATGAAGAGGCACGGAATAGTATCTATGCAGTATATCCATCGGCTCCTCTTCACGATGGTGATGACCGTAATAATAATAATAATGGAATGTCACAGTCCAGTGAAGAAAGTGGTTTTCAGCATGAAGAAGCACAACCATACATTCACGAACAACTGGCACTTCAACAATCCACGAATCAGTTCACTAAAGAGTATTAAAAAAACGTCTGAGAGATGATCCATGCCATTTAGCATGAGTGTATATTCGAAACAAGTCAATTCACCAAGTCCAAGCAACTTTGCGGAGTTTGATTCTATCGCTCGGAGATTTTCAAAAAAAATGCATAAACACTCCGAAAGTCTTGTTCTCGGCGTAAATTTTTGTACATTTCTGTGGCTGCTGGTACTGCAATCATCATCATCGCCGAATTTCGTTCTTTCCTCCACAAGTATTTCGAATTTGAACATTCCCATCAAATTTTTCAAATGTCCACTCTACACACTCGGAACCAATCATACCATCTATAAAAGTTTCAATTATTTACATCCGAATTATATATTAAATGAAACACTAATAGCAGAGTGTGCGAAAATTAAATTGGCATTGGATCCTTCACAGCCATGGCCTCCATCGAGTAGTATTGAAGTGTTTGTGAAACGATTGAGATTGAATTCGGAAAGTTCTTTCGAAAAATTTGGAAAAAACAACCATGTGAAAAGTGACACAGAAAATTTAAAAGAACAAGTAGCATTGAACTCACTTTGGATTTTACCAGGCGTCTCTCCGACCTATTCTGTGAATTATAACCATGAACAATCAAATATTTCCAAAAATTCGTATTTTTTAGACTCCTTGTCACCAGCAACTGCAAGTGTTGTGTTTTTTGAGCCATTGTTGGATCGTTTGTCAACTTTGATGAAAAACCAACAGCTTCCTTTTCAATATATTTACACACTAGATCATCGTGGAGTGGGAGAAAGTCAGAGATTGAGTTGTGTGGCGTCACAAGCAGAAACAAATGGTTCCATCTCTGGAAATTTCATTGACATTTACAACGAATTGAAGCATTGTATTGAAATCAAATCAGATTCAAATCGTTTATTCTCATCCGTCAATGCTGCCATTGATGTCCTTTCTCTCATGAAAATGCTGCATTCCAGCAATGAAGGAATTTTTCTGTATGGAAATTCGTATGGAACTGTTTGGTTGAGTCGATTCATGAGATATATCGAATTGAATCAAGTCGTAGATTTAAACATTCGTGGTGTGGTGATGGATGGTGTCATGGCAACTGTGGATTCTTCCTCATCATTGATGAAACGTTTCACATTTGATCAAACCATGCGCTATCAAAATCAGGCACTTGCGGGTTATTTGAAATTTTGTGACATGCCAACAAGCAATCAAACAAATGTGAAGAAAAATACCTGTCAAGAAAAATTGCAACAATTTTATGATCAAACGGGACACACTAGTGCCATTTCTCTCCTCCAAAACACCATTCAGTTAATTTATCAAAATGGAACTCTGTGCTCACCAATGCTCGATATTATTGACAGTGAAGATTATTTCAGACAATTACTCACTCGAATGTTGTCCAATGAATATGAGAGAGTGTTAATTCCAGCAATATTATACAGATTGAATCGATGTGACATGGACTTGGATATTCCGACTCTTCAAAGAATTTTCTCATTCATGATTGAAAGAAGAGAACAAAATAAGAATGCCTATATGGACTATCCACTTTCACAATCTCCATTATTAGGTTACAATATTATTTATTCTGAAATGTGGACAAAAAATATAACACTTGATCAAATGGAGATGCTCTACAATCAATCGATTGGAACCACTCGAGATGCTCTCTCTTACAAGACAGCCCTTGATCTCTCAAATTGGAAAACCTATGATTTAGATCCTCAATATGATAATGTTGCATTTTCGACCAATGTTCCAGTATTAATGTTGAATGGTGAATTGGATCCATTAACACCTCTGGATGGAGCTCGTACTCAATTTTCACACATCAAAGGTAATTCTGTGAAATTTATTGAAATTCCATTTGGAGCTCATTTCTCATTGTTCAACACTCCCATTCAAAATTCAACGGTCGATTGTGGATTACAAATTCTCATGAACTTTCTTTCGCATGCAAACATTTCTCAACTGAATTTACAATGCCTTCAAGAATTGAGTTTTAATTTCACAGGTTCACCTGTTGTGAATTTACAATTCGCTGGAGTTTTGGACATTTATGAAGACATGTATGAAGCTCCAGAACAACCTCTTGTGTTTGGCATGTATTTAATGATTGGAATTGTTTTGGCAACTGTTTTAGTTGCATTGTGTGCGATTGTATTGCTTTCTTATGCCTTAATTGATTTAAAGATTCGAATGAAAAAACAATTGGCCTATCTTCGAATTCAATAATAAATTTTAATATTGTTCAATTTGGTCATTCTCCAACTAATAATAATAATTGTTTTTGGAAGGTGGAAGATGGGACTTGTAAATCTCGAAAAATATATCATGGAGTAGTGGCGATGATAACATTGGAAAAGAGAGGTTTCTCTTCCAGACCTGCATCCACGAGAAGCTCATGGTGGATCCCACACGTCAAACCTTTCAGAATGCGAGATGACGCACACGAACCAACTACCAGCTGTTATATCTGGTTTTGTTCCATCATGGACTAGCCGTTACATTTTCATTTAAAAAAAATCAAAAAAAAATGAAGAAAACTCACCTCTCACAACAGTCTCTTCAATTCAAGCCCAAAAAGATGGTTCTGCAACTCGTGCCAAGAACGGAACAACTCTACAAGGAGATTAGTGCTAGAGGATTCAATCCGGGAATACAGTAAGTGTCATTTTAGTGTTTTATTGAACCTCTTCTGATCTTTCCTCTCTCGTATGGCCGACTCGCTCGCACCCTACGAATATCACTCATGAGCCTTGTTAGGATCAAATTCAAAGAAACCAAACCAGCATCCTATGTTGTACAGTATCTCATGTCTCGATGGAGTACCATTCTTTCTCTTCTTTCAGTCAAGGAAGTCAGAATCTATCCTCGTAAGATCAACTTTGGATGTGCCACTCACAATGGTTGGGGAATGGAGAGTTCTCAACATGCCATGAGTAAGGTGAAACGAGAAGTTCAGGCTTTTCATTTGCATGGTTCTGCTCATCTTGATCAACAACCTTTTGAGCAACCACAACAACAGTCATCGACCGATGAGCCTTTCATCATGGAATATGATTTCATTTGTGGACAACCTGCGAATCAACAGCAGTTGCCACTTGGACAACTCCATAACTCACAAAGCCAGGATCTGAAAAAGGGCAGCACTTCAACCACCTTATCCGTGGTGTCCAGTCATTCTTCATTCCAGAAACCACCACCTGTCAGTCAGAATTCTGTGATTGCCATTCCTTCGGTTGTGCCTCAAAAGAGTTGTTCATCAACAACCACTTCAACTGGATTTATCACGTCTTTTGCAGATGTGAGCCATGTGCTAGATTCCATGAGAAATGCACAAGTCGTGCAACCTTCCTCCATTGGTACTGTAAGGACACTTTCCGTCAATTCTACTTTGCAACACTTTCCTTCTGTATTGCCTTCCAATAGCAACACTCAGGCACCAATAGTGTCACCCACCAAGAGCACCTCGTCACGAAAGAGAAAGACGAAAGAAGAATCAACCAATGCAACGAGTAGTGCTCCCACAACTACCTCTCCCAAGAAGAAACGTACTTCAAAGAAAAAGAAAGACACCTCAACCGTAGTGCCACAGAACACCACTCCTCTTCCTCCTCCAGTTTCCTCTCAAAACAAACTTTTAATTACTCCTTCTCAAGTAGAGGCAAGTTTAAGTAATTTCCTCAACACTGCCGATCTCAATTCTCAATTTTCACAATTTAACAACAAGCTCAATAACAATTTGGAGGGTTCCAATTTGAGCGAATTATTTAACTTGCATTTTGGTTTCTCCTGTAAAGAACAAACGACCACAAATTTTGGATCATTGTTTGGTGGCAGCAGCGAAGTGTTCAACATGAATCCTCATGGACGTCCATCCTCTTCTGGTTTTTCAGCTCACCCAAATGCCTTCAAGACAAACGGTAGCAATCTTGTCTCAACCACATCTTTTGTAAATACCATGACTCCGTCAAAAACATCTAACATTCTTCATATCATTAGCAATAATGACTCGTCTCTCATTGCCAGCTTGAGAGAAAAGTCGACTGGAACGATTGGACCCATCGATGATTCATTGCAGTCTCTATTTGCATGATGATCATAAATGAATCAATAAATTGGCGTGGCCTTGTGAAGTCAATCACTCTGTGCGCAAAAAAATTTTATTGAAAGTTTGATTGACCACAAGTTTGGATCGGTCATTCTGTGTGCAAAAAAATGAAAAGACACCTGTCACTCTCTGTTGATTGACTTTTTCATCAAGTGCTTGAAAATGGAGAGCATTATCATCTCTAAATTGAATTCATGCACATCCTTTGTTTTATCATGTTTCCGATACGTCTCCGCTAGAACCGTTCAAATATTATCAATTTTGGTGTCACCCGAAAGCGGATATCGTCTGTTTTTTCACAGCTTGCCAAATCTTTTTTCATGATGTCACAGATTCAAGAAATTTTTATATGGCAAAATAGAGACCTGCGAACGATTAATCATTATTTGTGCATCAATCTAGATTGATTTTAAATGCGCAATGTTTTGTGGCAGTCCAGTATTGTGAAGATCACAACACTGCTGTTTGGTGGAGCACCACCAACTCGGTAAACCAAGAGAGGAATTCTTCATGAAAGGTTGTCTGAATTGCTTAATAAGTATTCACTCTTGCCCAAAACCACTCGGAAATTGAGGTCCCTTCAATCTCCACTTGGAAAATTACATTCCAAAAGAAGCCGCATGTCCAAGAGGAGCACCAACCGATCGAAACATTCGAAGCATCAGAAAGCTCGATATTTAGGGAGGAAAATTTTTCAGTTCAGATCTGAGGGATTAAGGGACTTTGCGCACACCAAACGTTTAATTCGGCGAAACATGAAACAACAACCATTTCGAGGTACACTCCATTTAAAAAATATTAGCCGAGTCTAAGGTTTTCAAAAGGCAATCGATCAAGGCTAGATCGTGGTGATGATTCTTTTGAAGTTTGCTGACTAGTCGTGTGTTGAGTCATTATTCTCATTCTTCCTTTATTCATTGTTATTATTGTTATTCACCTTTATTCATTGTTATTATTATTACCAAGTCTCTGAATATTCCTTTATTCATTGTGATTGTTATTATTACCAATATTAAGTTTAACTATTACAAGAATATATTCCATGACAGAGCCAGAAGATCATAATCATCATCATTCTTCAGGAGCTTCTCTTGCCAATCATGAAAAGTCTGTTTTTTCTACCATCACTCACTCCCAACATCATCATGTCCCAACAACGAGAAAGATCAATCCATCTTCATTCTCATTATCAGGCTCCTTAACCGCTGCCCATCCGAAAGCTAATGTCTATAAGAAAAGATTTGCAAGTAATGCCGTCGTTCCCATAACAAGTGATTCATCATTTGAAGGGGCCGCACACGACCATTCCAATCCATTCAAAGAGGGAAATGCTGGAAATGAAGCGGCAACTACGACGTTGCAACAGCACTCGTTTTTGGAGGAAAAGACGCAACAATTTTTCATGTTCATCAATGCCTTAAAATTGGAGCGGTCGATTCATCCTTTGTTGTGTTTGAGTATTCACTTGATGATGATTTATCAAACACTTTCATTGGGAGTTTCTATTGATTATGGATGGGGAGAATATGGAAGAAATATCATTCATGCTCTGGTTACTCCGAGAACGTTTGGATTTCAATTTTTACCGTATTATGGATTTGTTGCATTGTTTGCGATCATGTGTCTTGTTGAATGCTTGGGAGTGATTATCATTTTCTTTACATATCGATCTTTAATTTATGGAAGCAAATATTGGAAGAAAATTCGAACAGCTGGTAGAAGTGTCTTTGCAATCATGACATTTCTTTCATTACCAATGGTAAGTCTTGTGGCGTTAGCGTGATTATGCATGTTCAAAAATTTGTTGTTGAATGGAACTTGATTTGCTGAACTGTGAAATTGAATGATGAAATCTCCTGTGCGAACACAACATGCTTGTTTTGATCTGTGAAATTTCGTCCTGATGCGATGGAATGCAACTATATTATTCAAGACATTTGCGTTAATGCAAGGTTTTTGGGACTGTGATTATTCCAAAACCGTTGAACTTCAGAAAGGTGTCCAAACATTTGTACTTTCACATTTTCCAACAGAAGCATGTTGGGGAACCATGAATGCTATTTTTTCTATCTTGTCTCTTGTGTTGGTGTTCATTCAAGTTTTAATCACAATGGGAACCGTGTTGATTTTTTGCGACACTTTCATGACATCAAAAGCGAAATTCTTATTGTTTGATCCATTTCTCATTTCTTATGTGATTGGTTCGAATCAGATCTATTTGATCATCTCCATTGCAACACCCAAATTTGTTAGCTTTTTAAGACCCATTTATTACGCCATATTTTCATTTGGATTCATTATTCTGTTATTTTGGAATTTACCATTTGTGAAAAGAAGAGCCAATTCTGTGTATGGAGGTGTTGGCTTTGCGAGAGTTGGGATCGCTGTGGCCTCACTAATTGCTTCATTGGTAAATCTTAAAGATGAATGGGACATTGGCCTTGGTCTCGCATTTGGCCCTCCAGTATTGGCTTTAATAGGTTTTCTCATTGGATTTTTTGTCACCGATTTCTATACGAAACATCTTTTCAAAAGAGGTCTCGAAATTGTGAAGCGTGCACTCACGCACGACGAATCCATCCATTACCAAGAATTGAAATATGTGTGTGCATTTCTTCAATTCTCCATGAAGGGCACAGATGAAAACAAACGATTGATGTCAGACTTTATAGAACTAGCCCAATATTCAGATCGACTGAATGCTCACATGTTGGTCCTTTTTGCACTTTTTCTGAAGGATATTTCTCGTCCTGCTCATTTCTTCGCCTCTCTGCAACTACTGAGACGAGCCGAAAATCAATCCTCCAGCGTATTCATGAAATACAACATTTTCATACGAATGAGAGAATGTGAAAAAAGTTTATCGAATGGACGCTCAAACAGTGCTTCAGAAATTATTCTTGAGGGAGTTCGACTCAAGATGCAAAAACTAAGATATTTGATCATTCAATTTTGGAAGAATTTACTCGCATCCAAGGATGTCAACGACGTGGTTCAAGACATTCAATCTCTCTCATCAGATTGTGATATTGCATTCAACAATCTTATTTTAGAGCAAGAAGACGATCCATTCTTTCAAAAACTATATACTGAATATCAGGAAGAATTTAGTTTCAATATAATCAGTAATATTTTCGGAACAAAGGATGTTCAAAATGGTGCCAAGGAATATGAAAGTAATTTATTGGATGTTCCAAACTTGGACGATAATTTTGAATCAGCATCCCAAATCGAAGACGAAACCGTCGACAAACAACAAGAAATTGTTTCAAATGCCATCAACAAACAAGAGGTGAATCGTATCCTGTTTTACGTGCTCGTATCCTTTGGAGTGGTATCCGCTGCATTTGTTATTGTTCTAATGTCAATCACACTTCCTCTTTTAACTTACTACACAGATTTAGAATTAATGGGAGCCAGCGCACCACTTCCATCATTACCTTACTCGACAATTGTTAATATTGAAAGTAGAAACTTCAAACTTTCAAACGCATCTGATTCAGAGACATATTCCTCTCTCGATTTTGGAATTGCTCAAATTGAGAATATTGAGTTGATATTTGACCATGGTGTCTCTGATGAAGAAGTTGTGATCCTTTTTAATAGCAATGACAAGAAGTTTGTGGTAAGTACATCCATATGAATCATTTGAGAAAATGGTTCTGATTATTGATGCATCTAGTTTGATGAGAGTACACAGTTAATGCAAAATAGTTCCAATTCATGGCTTGTTAAAAAGATGAAACAAATTATTTATACAAGAATCAATAACTTCTCATTACTAGCCCCAACAGACAATTATTTTGAATTTTTGAAGGCTAATGTTGAATTTTTCACTCACTGCTTTCTTTCATTCTTTTCTGACAGTAACACCATCCAAACCACAAAAAACGAGCAATCTCAGATCTCATTCGTCATTGTGAGTGCAGCAATTTTTTGTGTCTATATTGTCTATGTGATTACATTTTTCATTTTTGCATTCATTTTCATTCGACAACGCAAGCTCATCATACAACTATTTAAAAGGATTCCCAAGGATGAAATGAAACAGATTATATCCAATCTAGAAAAGCAATCTATTACAAAGTGTGTGAGTCATGACAAACTTACATCAGCTTCTCGTTCATTCATTGTTGTGGCTATCATTTCTTTTCTAGCGACATGTTGTGCATTATCATTGACAATGGTGGATGGTATTTATGGATTCAAATCTTACTATGTTGGCTTACAAAAATTGCAACTTGCTACAAAAACAATGCTATTATCTCAAGCTCTGAGATATCAATTATGGAACCAGTTACAACTTGAAAAAAATTTCACACAAGGAGAAGATTCATATGACTCTGTAGTTTCCACATTGGGTGAATTTGATCGTGTTTGGAGTTCATTTCGATATGGATCGGCCTTAGATGGTTATCAAAGCATGATAGATTATTCATCAACCATGAAAGATTTAATTTTAAAAAAGAATAACATAAGTTGTGATGAATATAGTTGCCTTTCCATCGACGACCAAGTTGCAAAATTCAGATCTAACATTCTTCTGTACAAGGATGTATCACATCAAAATATCACTCTCTCTAACATTGATTATTACACTTTTTTGAGACAAGATAGTTTTGAGCTTGTCATGAGTATCAGTAATATCACTCAATTATTAATCCTTAGTATTGAATCCAGCCGTTCTTTGATGACTATTATTGTGGTTGTCGTTTGCTGCCCAACGCTAATTATTGCTTCATTTGTCATATTTACAAATGTTTCAACAATGCAAGAAGAAAACTTTAGATTGAGAAAACTCTTCAATTATGTTCAATGGGAATGTTTGGACGCTGATGAAGATATTCGAAATTACATTTTCTTTTATTTCTTATCTTCAGGAGGAGGAAGAGCAAAAGTTAAACAAAAGATATCGAAAGAGAGAGCAGTTCTTGAGGCAGCAGTGACGTGTGCAGCAATTTGCAGTGCTGGTGGAACCATTGATATTTTCAACTCGTCATCTGAAAAATTGTTTGGATATCGGTAAGTATATTGGACATGCCATTCAATACTTTCTAGACATTGAAATTGTTCAACAAACCAATCACAACAATTTGGAAATTTAATCAAAGTGGAGATCAAATTATTGGGTTTCACTTGTCAAAATTATTTGATAGAGAATCTGGATCACAACTTGAACCTATATTAGCCAAGGTAAGAGCGAAGGTGAAATTTTGATCATTTGCTTATTTCAATGTATTTCTGCAATAATGATGATAATTTAATAGATGGCATTTAGCAATGTCAGTTATGCAGAAACTATTGAACTCACTGGTCAGAGGAAGAACCAAAGTACATTTCCTCTTGAACTAAGGATTTCTGTGGGAGTTTTGGATGGAAGAAATATTATTTCGTGTTATATGAGAGATATTACTGAATACAAGAAACAAACAAAAGAATTGGCTGAAGAAAAAAAAGAAAAGGTAAGTCATCATCATGAATTGTAGAACAATGACAAAAATTGATCATTTCATATTATGATTTTTTTCGAATTTGATTCTGAAATATTATTTGACACAAAATCGCATGACATTATTTTTTATGAACAACGGGTGACAACAACACTTAAAGTGAATCTCTTCTGATGAATATTATGCCTGAAAGCATAGCTCAACGATTAATTGCTGGAGAAACATTTATTTCAGACAAGTACGAGGAGGTGACATGTTTTTTCAGTGATTTATACGGATTGTTGGATTTAAATCTTTCTGCATTTGAATTGGTTCAAACCTTAAATTTGATAATTCACCAATTTGATGATTTGACCTTGACATTAAATTTAGAGAAAATCAAAACAATTGGATCAAAATATTTCTGTTGTGGAGGTTTGAAACAAGATTCAGCGGCAGAATTACCTCACTGGGAACGAATGTTTGATTTTTCGATTCAATTATTTGACATTGTTGAGTCGTTCCGTGAAGAGAATGGTCTCAATATTGGATTGAAAGTTGGTATGCATGTTGGACCAGTGGTGGCAGGAATTTGCGGAACTTTGAAATATGCATTTGATGTAAGTTTTTTTTCTTGATGATTTGGTTTTCATCGAGGTTGTCATGAAACCAATTAATTTTCAAAGATTTGGGGAGATACTGTGAATACCGCCAGTAGAATGGAGAGCACATGTCCAAAAGGTCACATTCAAGTCACATCCATCTGTTATCAAAAATTGAAAGACAAGTATAAATTTTCCGAACAAAGTGTTGAAGTTAAAGGAAAAGGTTTAATGCAGACCTTTCTTTTCAAACCAGAGAGAAATTCATCCAATGGAGTACTACTTCTTAATACCGAACCCATTAGCTCTAGCGACAGTCTTGGTTCTAAACCAAGTTTGAAAGCACTGTTAGTTGGTTCCCCTTTAAGAAATGCCATTCAAGACCTTCTTGTCTCAAATAGTAATGAGGAAGGAACTCATCAAGATTAATGAGATTTATTAAAGATTGTTAATATTGACTGACGACAAATTTGTCATTAAGAGACTCACAAATAGACAGTTTGTGAGAGAAACAACAAACACTTTGTATAAACACTTCAATGCGCTCCCTGTTTTTTATTTTGAAAGATCATCTTGATAGCTGGATTGATGACTATCCACCTTGGAAGTAGAGAGTCGTGGCTTGTCACTCACTGGACCCACATCTCCAACACTGCGATAGACATGTGTGCGAAGGCGTTCCTTAATGTCATGGTCACCCTCTGGACTGGTGTAATTGTCTTGTCCTCCTCCATAAATATAGTCTGCTCTATTACCATGGTGTGCTGTGTTGGTGGTGTCAAGTTGATCGACAAATTTTGAAGCGTCAGTCATGCCCTTCACTTTGAAAGGGTGTTGATCAAGGTCCCTGCCCTTTCGAACATCCTCTTCTTTTTCTTCCGAAGAATAGTGTAGTGGATCAGTCCAATCAGACATTGCAGTATAATGAAATTTCAAGGTGCGTATACGAGGAGGTTGCTTTGGTTATTTTTCAAATTGTTTTTATTCCAATTCATGGACCATTCTGCTCATAAAGGAATCTTTCTAAATTGGTCCTCCTCAATGAGTAAACAGCAACATTACTCGTTTTCCACATAGTTTAAAAGATTGACTTGGTAGGGTATGAGTTATCAAAAAAACTAAAAGACTGCAAAAAAATAAATGAATTATCAAAATGACAATTAGCAAAGTTGTTTAATAGTATGTATCATACATTGAGGCTGAACTAAATCGCTCTCTCTCAACATGTATGGTCATACAATCTTTCTGAATAGATACAATCCATTGTGGTTGTTTCTGTCACAATGACAATGGTATTCTTTTTGTAGTTGTGATTCATGGTCTTGTATGATTGCTTCAACGCATTTGCCACTTGTTTGTTCGGAACAAAGATATGCAAAATATGTTTTTCCCAATTGTCTTGTTTTTGCACATTCTGATTGGCCCAACTGATACCACTCAACTTTTTCTTCAACAAGTTCATGCCATCTTCAACGGTGAAATCGGCAAACATGCCATTGTCTTGCTCGGTGGGTCTCTTGTACTTGAAGGCACGTGTGACAGAGATGCCAACCTTCTTGTTGTCAATCATCATCAAAAAGTCGGTCTTTTTGCTTCCGTCATGAATGTATGCAATTTCCATCTCTGTCTTGATCAATCTTGCATCAAACAAACGAGTCATAATTTCACAAGACATGACTTCAGAGAAAACAGAACATCCACCAGCATTTTCCTCTTCACACACTCGTCTTGAACCAACTCCAATTTGTTTAGTTATCAGTTCAAACATTTGCTTATTGAACTTGACATCCATATTGTAGTGAGCTGCCTTTTTCTGATCTGTTGGATACACTCGATGTGTCATGAAGGCTGGTTTAAATGTACAATTCAAGGCCTGATAGAATTTGTGATAAAAATTCATGTAATTGGTTTCCATAATAAAGTCTTCTCTCACATTGATAATGTTGTGGTTTCTCTTGTGAGGATTGGATATGATGGTTGACTTGGTGGTTCTTGGTGGCTGCTCTTCTTCAATCTTTTGCCGCGGCCCACCCTGATACTGTTCAGTCCTGCAAAAGACACGACGACCATAATGAGGACAATAAAAGGCTTGTACTGTCTGTGGTTGAGGTGGTGTCGGAGGAGGAATAGGAGGAACTTGGCACTCTCGAAAGATGCGTTTGTTTTTGTTTTTGGGTTTGTTGGCCAACACCACAACTGGAACGGTACTGCTGGGTACCACAAAGAAGATGACACTCTTGTTGAGGATGAGTGGTTTGTTGAGTGCCTCCTTGATGATGATGATGAGGCTTCATGAAGAAGGCTCTTCTCTCCTTAGGATGGACTTGCGGAAAATCCTCATATTCCTGAGGATGATCAATGTTTGGGTGTCCGACATGTTGAGATTCAATCATTCTTTGATGATCGTGAATGAATGGCATGTGTTGTTGATGTTGTTGTGGTTGGTCTTGTTGTTGATATTGGAACATTTCTCTATGAGTGTAGGTAAAGGTAGGGTGAGAATGGTGTGTAGTTACAATCATGATTCTTGAATTTCTGTTGAGTTTTAAAAGAGAGAGCTCTCTTCTGTGGGGAAAATTATTAGAGATGATGATGTTGAGATTAATTTTTGTTGTTGGTTTTTTGATTTTGCAGATCTATTTTTATCATTAAGGCAGTGAAAGTCATTCGAGAAAGATCGTGAACCATTTTCCATCGAAATCCTGAACTTGATCTTTTTAAATTTCCTTATCGACATTGGAAAAAATGTAAACGTTGGCTTGAAATGTTAAGATTGAATTTATTTGTCACACCTTAACAAGTTGAAGTTACTTAATTACAATCATGCACAAAGTAGTTTCACAATATTCTCCATAATGTAAATGTTCTCTGACATGAATACATGAATACTTCCTCATGGATATTGAATGCTTTTCCATCTGTTCTTTCTCATATTAATATGAGACCACAAGAATCTCCTCTTTGGAGTTTAATAGACCCACAACAATTCACTCATTCACACATACAAGTTTTGAGGTAATGACTCCATGCATGCATTATTTCTCAATTGATAAATCTCTTCACGATGATTTCGATGCCACTTTTTATGATTCTTTGCATTCTTTGCATTCGGAAACTCCATAAATTCCTTGTATGATTTTAGCTTCCAATAAGCATCACGTTGTCGAGTCCATCCATCTTCGAAAAGGAAGAATTTCTTTTCTGCAGTTTTTACATCTGAGGTGACCGAATTGATGGAGTGGTTATTCATCTTTTCGAATTGTCTTCGACGTTTCACTTTTCCTGACAAAGTTGTGGTTTTGTGAGTTGTTGTTGTCTTAGATTGGTTGTTTGTATCCACAATGGAATTCTGAGTCATGGATTTTACCTTTCCAGCACGAAGACCCCGTCGTCTGATTTTGCATCTTTTGCTGTGACCAAACAATTGTTGAAAAATTGTTTTTTTTGATTTTGAGGTTCAAAGTTCAAAAGTGTATTAAGCTATTTTTAAAAAAAATATTGAACTTGAATGAACGCTTCTGGATTGATAGAGATTTTTGTGAAAGTGAGTCATAATGGTGGCTCTTCCAATTAAAGAACACTCTCGTTGAAGGTTGAGCCCAAAGATACTGTTGAACATGTTTAAATGAAAATACAAGACCTGATAAATGTTCATTCAAATGAGCAGCTATTATTCTCTTGTGGTAAGCTTTTGCAAGAGCCTGGAAGAACCATTTCGGAGCTTGATATTCGTCATGAACAAGTGATTATTATGACAAAAAGAAGAAGATGATGATGATGGCACGTCTTTGTACAATTGAATCCTCCTTGGATTGCACAAAAATACTGAACTTATTTCAGAAGATACTCTTGAAAGGTTGAAAAAGAAAATTCAAGACAAATTTGTCTTTTGTGGCATGGTATTGAAAGAGACTGAGAAAACCATGTCGGAGCTTGATATTCACTATGACAGAGTGCTTTATTTAGTCAAAAAAAGAGTATTTTGAAGTCTGTGATAATGGTGATTGTGTTGTTTAGCCAACTGATCGGCCATTCCGTTCATGAAAGTTCACTGCACTAAAGTTCATCAGAAAAAAATTCATGTGTTTATTAATGAATAATAAACGGTTTATGAATACTCAAAGAAAACTCCCAACATGCAACTCTTTATCAAAACACTTCACGGAAAGGCTTGCACAGTGAATGTACGATCGAACAATTGAAATTGAAATTGCATGATCAGGAAGGTATTCCATCAGATCAACGGACACTCATATTTGCTGGAAAAGTGATGGACCGTATGGGACACACGATATCGGAGTGTAATATTCAACAAGAATCAACAATACATTTGGTGATTGGAAATAGAAATGGATAAATTAAATTGGTGCAGAATTCTTTTTCAAGTGATTCTTGAATTATTAAGAAAATGTTTGATTTTAGATGAACTCTAATCTTGTATGATTGACTTTTTGAAAACATACCTTGCGGATACATGTTCATTCCAAGTCCTTTCAAAAACATTTGCATCTTTTCCGTATCTGTATTGGAATACATGAAAGTAGTGTAGTAGTGACATTCTCCAGAAATTGGAGAAAGATTGAATCAACACAAAAAAATGAAGAATGACACAACAAGTAAACACACACATCAACATTCCAATAATGAACCCAGTCCAACTGTTGTCATTTCATCATCATCTTCGACAAAATCAAATTCATTAGTGATTCCATCATCGACACAACAGGGGTCCTCTTCGTTGGCCTTTCTTGTGGATAACAACAACAGCACCACCACAAACGGTATCAAAATCAATTCCAATCCGCAATCACTTTCACAACAACCACACAACAATCATAACAATAATGGAAACCACAGAAACAACAACAATTCAACTGCCAACACCAGTACCGTTGGATCACAAACAACAACAATAACAAACGTCACTCCTCTCAAACGTGAGCTCTCGCATCGATTGTTACCTCTTCCAACACCACCCAACCTCCAAAAGCAGCAACAACATTCTCATCAACCACAGGCTTCCTCATCATCGAGTTGTACCCGTGCAACAACAACAACAACATCGTTTTACTCCGATGATGATGAAACCATCACTCACCATCCTCACTCCGATTCCGAAGATCAAGTCATGATGAGAAAGGCACATTCTGCCCGAAATTCCTCAGCATCATCATCAGTGATTGGTACACCAAGCGCTTCTACAACTTCCAATTCGTTCCTTCATCCAATTTCGCACCACCACGAAGAACAACAACATCACGAGTGCTCAAAAAAAGAAAATCCGTTACAACGAGCCTCTTTTTCTGGTGCGAGTTCTTCTTCTCATCCTGCTACGACGACGATAACGAATTCATCCACGCAAAGTAAATTTGAACAACATCATAATCCCATTGGAAGTGCTGTTGCATCGGGAGTTCATAAGAGTATAAAAAGTATTGGAGAGGCTTTACAGGCCTATCGTTTTGAAATTGTAAAAGTAGAGAATATCGGAAAAAAGTTGTTACATCTTCGGAATCATCATCCTACCCATCCTAAGGAAAATACATCAAGTCATACAATAATGATGAATAATAGTATCACTGCTACAACGGCAACTCAGTCTGCAACCAATCACTCTGGAATGAGTGAAAATGTAAATAATATTAATAGTAATAATAGTAATAGTAATTCAAGTGAGAAGATGGCAACAACAACAACAACACCGAGCACTGCCGAGATCATTTCCATCAAAATTGAGCCTCACGATCATCATCAGCAGTCATCATCAGCTGTACCATCATCCTCCTCTTCCCAGCCACCACAAGGTTCATCACCTTCTTCTCAACAACAGCCATCAACTACTTTCACTACAAATTTGACCACAGCCACCACAACAAACTCGACCACAAATAGCAAAGAACCGCATTCATCACAACAGCAATCGCCTCCCACTCTCACCTCCCCCTCTCCTCGTATCACGAGAAAACATGCTTCTATGAGGGATGATATTGTTTCAGCGTTTGTCAAAGGCCCTCATTCCGAAGATTTTGATTTAGCTCAATTTTCTTCCATTGTCAACAATGATCCACATGTCACTTCACAAGCACTGTCAACCACTTCCGCAACCACTCCACGATCATTGTCTTTTGTTTCAGCTTCTCAACCATTTCTTCCCCCTCCACACAACAACAACAACCATCATCATGAAATCAAATATTCTCTGCTCATGACAAAGAGTGAAAGTCTTTGTATGGATTGTAAAAATATTAGTTGCAGATGTTTATTGATTAGTGTGCCAACAACATGCACTCCAAGCCAAGAACAAGATGAACAAAATACCATGATTTCATTCGAAATGGTGGGAACTGTTTTGTTGACCACGAGTCGAATTTTGTTCCTCATTGATGAGGACTCTGCAGCCATAGAAGCCTCTTCACCAGAATCACAGCAATTACAAAAGATCATTGAAGTTATGTTGTCCAATGTTGAATACATTGAAAAGAACACTGAAAAAGAGAGATCCATGTGTGTGATTGAAAAATCCTCAATGAATCCACGAGAAGGCGACATTGATCCTCCACCCATTAAATTCATCAAAAAGTATGAATTTTTTGGATTTGAAAGCCACACAACCTTCCAGCGAGCTTTTAAAACATTTAATGATATGCTCAATGTTATTCGAACGATGGAGCATCATTCAGAAACAAGTGTTGAAGGCAATAATTCTGATTCAGTAATAACTGGGAAAATGATCCCGTCATCGAATAGTACTGTTCTGAACAACGCTGAAAAGAAGGACACTGGCACATCCAAACGAGAACGACTCACTCGAAAGCGAGTTTCTGTATCCAACACTTTCCATGACCTTCCCTCAAATTATTCCATCGGTAGTAATGTCAGAAAATTCTTGAGTCCTCTCGAAGAAGCTCTTACCAACAATTTTTCCATGGTTGATAGAAAACTTTTAACACCACCTTCCAAAAAGAATTTTGTCATGGCTGAGACCAAACACAGACGCTCACTGTCGTTGAGTTCTCCAGTGGTCTATGAAGGTGGTTCAAAATCAGGAGCAACCTCCAACAAACCTGGTAGTTCTGCAATTTCAGAGTCAGGTGATGACGAAAAGAGAACAGTCATCTCAGAGGGAGCAATCAGCGTAGGTGGAGGCGCAGAATCATCGGCAGATGAGGCCGAATCGAAACGAAGATCTAAAAAACGAGAAAAGAGACAATCCTTTGCAATTCCTACTCTGGTTGTCGATCCTCCTTCACAAGAATTCGATGAACAATTCGATGGTATGGTTGACGAAATTGCTCACTTTGCCGATGATATTCCTCCCATTGAACTCAATGACATTTTTGCAGTGGCAGACCAAAAGTCCTCCTCGCAAGTCAAAATGAAAGAAGTGACAAGCAGAAAATTTGTGGGAATATCAGCAGAAGAGCTCTTCCAAGCATGTTTTTCGAACGCTTCTACATTTCTTGTTAGAGTGCACGAAAAATTAGGAGACACTGGAATTGAACTCTACGATTGGGTAGACTTCCAATATGGAACACCAACAGTGAGAGGTATTACTTACAAAATTGGAGGATCCACACCTAATCATTTCAGCTCCTTTACACAGACAGCAATTCGAGTTTTGGAAACTCAGAGAGTTGTCCTTGCAAAGACTGCCTCCAAAGACAAACCCATGTCGTACTTTATCTTATTTACATCGGCAGCAACACAAGATATGGCCAACAATCAAATGTTCCAATTCGATGTAAAATACATTGTGAAAGATACAAAACCACTTAATTTATTAATGAACAAGGAGTGTGAAATTGAGATTTGTGCAGGTACACAATGCAAGGGAGGAAGCATATTTTGGAGAAGCAAATCCACAGAATCTAGTGTCATGAAAGCCATCAAAAATCGTCTCTTATCCGAGTTGGATATGATGAATGAGACGGTCGAAGCAGTTGTAAATACAAAGAAAAATGCTGCGTCAGAGCAACGCTTGAAATCTTGGGAAGCTTCCGTGATGTCAACCATTTCATCCTTAGATGGTGGTTTTCCAAAGGAAATGCCAGCCTTAAACAACTTGTTGCCACCTCCCTTGTGTGTAGAATCTTCTCCGCCTCCTTCACCTCGTGGCGACAGAGATGGAGACTTATCAGAGAGCTTGGCAACAAATGAAGATGAAGATGAATTAACTTGTGGATCAACCATTTCAGCAGTTGCCAATACACCTCACAGTGAATACAGTGGTGGAGAAAATGAAGCATCACAGAGAAGAGTGAAAGTGGTTGGATTTTCATCGACCTCACACCTCACCGTGTTGCCGCCATCACGCATTAGTGTCCCAAGCCCAACCACACCCACACTATTTCCTGGCAACACTAATAATGAGCCATCCAGTTTGGGACGTATTCGAAAAATTGGCTTGCTAGATTCCTCTCCAACATTTGCCAACAATTTTGTTGTACCCACAGTTTCCATGGAAACACAAAGCAGCGTTGAGGGGGCGTCAGGCGAGTCAAGCGCCAATGCTTCAAAGCAAGCTCAACCCAATGAGACGTCGACGACTGCCTCAATTGATGCTTCTGTTACAAATGCTGTTGCATCGACGAGTATGGAAATGCATTCATCTCTTACCATTACAGATATGAGACCAGATCAAATCAAACAACTCGATCCAATTTTATTATTATGTTGGGAATTATTGGTCAATGTATTTAAACCTGTGATGAAATTCCTTTCGATAGGGTTTAATTATGCAGTGAATTATGTGTTGGAACCAGTTTTAACATTTTCATGGAATTTCAAAGATGTTGTTTCAGGAGTCATTGTTGTTTTGTTGGTACTTGTGTTCATGTATGGAAATTATTCAATGACCAACAGAGTTAACAATTTAGCTATTGAAACAGTACATATTCACACCGAATTGAAGAACAAATACATTCTTGCTAGGAATATGATTCATCGAATTCAAGATTCAAGCCACATGAACTCGACACAATTGCAATCAAGTTTACGCGACATTATGAAAGACTATCTAGTTGAGCATCGAAAGCTTTCACGTAAGGTGGAGAAGAATGATTTGATGAAATCACTGAAGGACTTTAGGAACAAGCTAAAAGAAGGTTTCAAGCACTGAAAGAAATCTGGCCAAATTTTAAATTTAATAAATACTTAATTTTGTGATGAATGAGATTACACAACACTTCTCTCATTTAAGGCAAACAATTGTAGTGACATGTCTCTCACATCTACCGATTTTCGCGTTTGGACACATGTTTCCTTCGATTTCAGAGCATGAATCGGAGCATGTATTCTGTTGGTGAAGCAAGAATTGCAACGGTTTGAATTGTCACAAAGAATCATCACAATACAAATCGTCAAAAAATATGAACATTAGCAATGGATGAAAAAACACACATCGCCAACTTACGAATAAAGTGGGATATCCCTCAATGAAGGTGGTCGCACTTCCTCCACCATCCAAGTTGATGGCATTCTGAAAACCAAGGAATAATAAAAGATCTGTCATTTCATAAACATTAAGACCTAACTTTTGAGGCTCATATCCATTCACCTGCAATATCATTAAATTTCCGTTAATGTCGTTTCCAATAGCGACACGTGGTGCAGCCAAATCACAAAAACCTTGGCTTGTTTTTTCAATTTTGATCGACTCATTGACAAATGACTTTCCTTCTCGTACGAGCCATAATGCTCCCTGTTGTGAATGTCACATCATTTTGTTCATGTAAAACACCAATTTCACAATAACATGGCACCAATTTTTCAACAATATGGTGGAGAACCATTATAGTTTCGTCAATCAATGAGGTCTTTTGTCCACACAAATACACCTACCTGAACCAATTGAGTTGGGTTCAATTTTGCAAGATCAGTCTCATTCAAATATCCATACAAATATTGAGGGTGATTTGCATTGTCGATAAATCCAAATACAGCATTGTGTCCAGAAGCAGAATTTAACAGCTTTCCATTCGAAATCACTCGTCCAATACAATAGCCATGAGGTACATCAAAAAATCCTGCATTTGTTGCCACAAGACAATCGTTCTGCTTGGCCGTTGTACTTGTTCTTTCTTTACATGGATCAGTGTCAGGCGATGGTGATTTGAACAAATTGAATGTTCCATACTCTTTGTGATGATGATGAATCGTGCTAGTCATCGTTGGATTAGTAGAAGTACTTGGCTGACAACATCTTCCATAGGGCGCAATGATTTGAAAGTGACCACGATTCACCACTTTGACACGTAATAAATTTCCACTCACTTTCTGATTCTTGATGAAAGGAAACGACTCATTCTTCAATTCATAATGTGAATACGAGAGAGGAGTATTTGGTTGAGAATAAACCGAAGATACCAACAAGTAATTACTGTTTACATCTTGGACACTTATGGAGCTAGGAGAGTAGTGATGATTGAGTGCCTCGGGAATACTCCACTCAAATCCGTAGGGATGGCTCGAGTGATCCAGTGTACTAGTTGGAATATCATCATTCTTCTTCATGAAAAACGGAGCAGAACCATTCACTGAATAACAGGAGAAGAAGAAAATGGCTCCAATCACGTGCAACAACCAACAATAATAATTCAAGAAATTGGATTTCATGATCATTTTTTTCTTTCATTGTTCCACTCATGAAAGGTCATGTCCGGACAAGGCTCATCAAAAGACTAATTACTTTCCATTGTCGTTCTTTCTCTTCTTTTTCAAACAGACGTGAGAGTCTCTCGAGGAGGGATGCATCGCGAAAGGTCTCGTTTTGATTGTCTTGAAATATTCAATTTTTTAGTCCCATAATTTCCCTTTCCGATTTTACCTTCACCTCTTCATCGGTTGTTTGAATTCTTGAGAAAACCTCAAGATGATGACAAATATTCCTACCACACAACCTGATGACTCCTACGTGAGTGAGATAACTTTGGCAAAGCTGTCTGATGATCCCACGCTGCACAACGATTGATTGCGTTATTGTTGTTGTTGTTAAGCTGTTGAATAGAGATGAAAAGGGCTCTCTTCTCTGTTCAAAGGCTTTCTTGTTTTTTGTTTGAAAAAATACTTTAACTCTGTGATTAAAAATTGACGAGTGATCACTCTTGGATGGGTGATCTTTTTTGGAATTTGTCAACGAATTAGTTTAATATTACTAGAGTATTATTATTATTAACACAATAACAATGCCTCGGAGAAAGCAAAAAAAGGCAGTCATGACGGAGGAAGACGGTGAAGAACGAGCCGAAGAGGCTCTTCCTCATGTTGTTGATGATGAAGGTGATGAAGAAAGAAAGAGTCAAACAAAGGCTCCTAGAACCTCACGAAGAGCTAAAACCAAAAGAAAAAAGCAAGAATCTTCGGATGAAGAAGAAGAGGAATCCATATTGGATGAAGAAGAAGAGGAAGAGAAACGTTCTAAAAAGAAAACAAAGAAAAGCAACTCCTCCACGAGTAAAAAGAAAAAAACATCATCCTCGAGTAAAAAGAAAAAAGCAGAGTCGGAGCTTGAGGAAGAGGACGAAAACGAGCCAATGATTGAAAAAGATCAAACCGAAGATGTCATGGAGGACGAGGAAAAAAACAACACAATAACCAATGCTTCATCCATTACCACTCCCACAGAGGAGGAAGTCATACCTGAGGAACAACCAGAAGACGCGGTTGGAGATTTGGACCTGACCAAAATTCAGTCTGAAAACTCATTTGTCATGGAAACAATTCAAAATGTGATGCAATTTCAATCTGTATTGCAAAATGTCGAGTCTGGATATGCAACTTTGTCAAGTGAAGATCGACACAAGATTTTGAGTATTCTCAAACATCAACAACGTAAAATTGGAAAATTAGTGGAAATTTGTAATTCAGCTGAGTTGTTACTGTTCCGTGGTGCTAAGAATGATTTGAGCGAGTATGGTATTCTCAACAAGATTGAATTGGTTGAGGTTTGGGCTGTCGTTTTTTCATTTCTAAAATTTTCCGATTGGCTTAAAGCATCCCAAGTATGCAAATTATGGAAAAAAGCAAGTGAAGAACCTTATTCCCTTTCCTCTCTTCAATTTGACTTTAAGTACAATTTTCAACACAAGCACATTCTCGAGGTGTACAGGGAGTATTTTGCGGAAAGAAAGATATTTATTCGATATGCATCAGATATTCCAGGTATGTACAATGATGATATTTTCTGCAGGAAGAAGAAGTATATGGTATGATAATAATAATAATATATGGCTTCCAATATTCACAATCATCACCACAGGTCATTTTCTAAGATATTTAAGCGAACATAACATTGTATTTCCCAACGCGAAATATCTAATCACTTGTAAGATTCCTTCATGGGAAGATGAACTGTCCTATTATTCAGATGAGAATATTGAGAAGGTATTTCCAAAATATGCCATGCCACACTTCAATGCGTCCAGTGTAGAGGAATTTGGATTTTTAAGAAGTTTTCTTTCTTCCTCTTCTCAAAAAAGTAAGTTCTAAATCATCATTTGTTGCAGTGATGTCGTTATTTACTCTGTGTCATTTTCAATAATCATTTCATGTGCTTACGAATGAATTTGTGATATGGAATTACCCATTGGAATAATAACTCTTATTAGCAATTGATGTTCCTGCATCTACCAAGTGCGTTAAGCTGGGAAGTAGATTTGTCGAGTTTGAAAATCCCGATAATATTGTCAAGCTAGTAATCTCAATTTGCGACGAAGAGACATTACCACAATTTCCAAATCTCACCGAACTTGATCTTTCCCTACATTTTTCTCCCTTCAATGACGACATTATTTTGGATTACAAATTTGGAGAGAAAGTGAAAACCTTGGGACTGTGTTACCATGCCACCATTCAAGATGTAAAAAGATGCTTGCCTTCACTCTCGCAAATACAAACTCTAAAGCTTTCAGAAGTGGGTCTTAATAAGCGAGCGTTTTCCGTTGGATCCAACTTGACCAGTTTTGAAAATTTAACGGAACTCGATGCTGATACAATGTATGAATCGCAACTCGAAGCGATTGCACCTCGACTAAAACGTTTGAAGATTTCCAAATTGCTAGAAAAGAAAGGCAAAATATTCACCCATTTGACCAATATTGAAGCACTCTGTATCACAGATCAAGTACTTGCAAATCCAAATGACTTGACCAAACTAACCAAGCTCAAGACGTTACAGATATCCAATAATTCAAATAACCATAACAAGCAAATCACGATCGATTCTGCAAGTTTGGAAACCTTGATCCTGCTGACATTTAATTCGATCACTATTAACTGCCCAAACTTGTACTACTTACTAATAAGCGGTGGCTTGAAGAGCGGATCTGAATCAGTCTACATTACATCGAACAAATTGAGCTTGTTTCGTTTGGATCGTGAAGTCCAGGTATGTTTTATGGTTTACACACGTTTTCCAAGTTTCAATATATATATTTATTTGGAAATGATTCAACCCATGTTCATTTGAACCATATTTTCATAATTATACAATCCATGTGAATCATATTTTCCCTAATGTACAACCATCTATATTGAAATCATGATGTTTATCAAAATTCATGCAGTCTTTGAGCATTAAGGGACCAAATTTATTCTCAGACGGCTCTATACTTGAGCGTGTCAAGTCCATTGTTGATTTGGAATGCCCTCTCATAGAGAGTGCTCACATATTGTCAGCATCATCAATCACGCAAAGCGATAGTTTCAAGACACTACTCGTGAGACAAATCAAGACTCTAAGAATCTCGGCATGCACGTTACAAATTTTTGAATATCAAACACAAATTCAAAATTTATTCATTGATGGATGGAAGAGTATTTCGAAAATTTCACAAGCCAAAATGTCTCTCTACAAGCAAAACACGAAAACAGTAAGACAATTATCTCTTCAAGGTTGCAGTATTGAAGTAGTCAAGTCGATCAATAACCTTTTCAGAGAATCGAGTAGTATTGAAACTCTTTCAATTCTCGACACCAACTATGACAGTGAAGTCATGGACTCCATTTCCAACTCTTCACAATATTATCCAAACTTGAGTGAATTGCATTTGAAAAATATTGTTGGTTTCAAGCCAGCTACCATGAATCTATTTCTGAAAACACTTGATCCAAGAACCAAGCTCAAGACTTTGGAGTGCGTTCTTAAAACTACCTATAAGAGATATATTCCAACACACATTCCAACACATGTAGAGCGGTACATTGGCTCGATCGGTGGTATTGCGAATGCTCCTGTGAAAAACTTAACCTCCCTAATCGTACCCAGTGGATGCATGCACATGGAGGCAGAGGAATTTCAACATCTCCCAAATCTCACCTTCTTGAAATTGGAACAAATATTTGTGGACTCGACCATGTTGAAACATTTGAAGAATGTCAAGATTTTGGTACTGTCTGCCTATAACTCTTTATTACTGAAATTGAATAAGGACGAGAATCCTGAACGTACCATCTATTATGAATAGGAAAGAGTGGGTGACTTCATACGAATGAATATTGTGTTCATGTCACTCGCATAGATAGATTCCTATCATCTCTTCTCCTCGAAACATTAATGTAATCAATCACATTATTGACATCGAAATATAATTGACTTTGAATTGTTAATGAATATTTTCTGTGATTGAAGTTTCGCACTGACAGTGCCTTGCATCATACCTTAAACGTGCACGAATAGCATCTTTCAATTAGATTCATCACAGTCAATTAATTATAAATTGTTCTTCAAATTTTTAAAAAAGATGAAGTCTTTCATATTAAATTGTCACTTGTTTGAAAATGGAAGGTTTCCAAACTTGTCCAATGTCTGGTCCAGTCGACAAGAGCTTAAAAGCGAGGATGGTACTTCACACTAATTTCTCTCTTCGAAAAAAACACACAACTTTAAAGAACCCTTTGTCTATTAATTATTTATTCACTAACTATTCTCAACAACAACAAGATGAGAACCACACCTCCACAAGGTAGAAACCAAAAGAGATTAAAACTGGTTCGAAGCAAACCGGTTCACTTACCAACAACCCAAAAGATCATTCGTCATCGACCCAAACTCCAAAAAGAGCTCAGATTTAGAAATAACAACAGTGGCAAGTACTTTAATATGGATTGGGCGTTGCAGAGTGTTTGGGTTGGTCCCTCTCGTCAAACCAGATTCATTCATCTCAATAAGGACAAGGAAAATCAAAAGAACATCTCCATCCAGAGTGCTCCTTTCACTTCCAAGAAGAGTTTGTACCGTAATCGTCCCATGCTTCAGAACATCAAATACAATTCATTGCAACGGATTGATAACATGTTGCATTCGTATCGAATTCGTGCCTTAAGAGTTCTCAAACAACAAAATCAACAACAACAACAACTCGGATCAGCAAGTATGGAAAAAGGAAGTGCCTTGAGTAAAAGTAGTGGTGCCATTCCAAAACCATCGTTAGCTTCTGTTGGTGGTGGTTCCTCTTCTCGAATCAATCCAAAGGACGTGATGAAGAGAATCTATGTCAAGAAACAAAAACCAATGGCAGTGGTGGGAGGTCCAAGTAGTAGTAGAAGTAGCAGTGGTAGTGGTGCAAGTGCTTCAAAGTCGGCGACGGTTGCTCCAAGTGTTCAAGTGAGTGGAGCTTCAAAGAAAAAGTAATATTCTGTTGTTGTTAATGGAATCTTTCAAGATGTATTGTAAATAAAAATTGAACCTTATTGAGATGAAAATATTGACAACAAGAAGAAGTTGTTGTTGCAAAGGTGTTTGTCGAAATTTGCAAGGAAGATTCGAATAACCTTTGACAATGACACTTAATGTCTTACAACTGGACATGTGATTCAATGTACTTTAAACTTTATTATAACAGAGTCATGCTATTCGAATCTTTCATTGGACGAGTACAAGACCTTTCTTGTTGTGATCAAGGTGGTGTTGAGTTTTTGGAGAGTTCCTTAAATGGGTTCATCAAACATGTTTTAAAAAAAAGAAAAAAATGCTTCGCAATGGTTCGTCGTTGCTGTCGTTGAAGGCGATCCATGCATCATCAACAAGAACAAGAACTTTGAGGAAGAAGAGTTTTGGTTTTTTCATCAATCAATTCTATGGGGTGAAAACATGTTCATCATCCTACTCACGGGCATTACGGAATAAAGATCATCAAGAATCAAGGCAACTTTTCAATCCTGTTATTTCCGACCACACCATTCATGGAAATCCAAATATCTCTTACGTTGGAAACAGCAGCAACAACCACCACAATTTACGGAATATTTCTTTTCAGTTGAATAAGAATGAAAAAATTCCCAATCATTTTGATTATGTGGTGATTGGTGGAGGCTCGGGAGGTATTGCCTGCTCAAAACAACTCTCTCTGGCCTCAAATTCCAATACAAAAATTTGTTTAATTGATTACAGAGATCCATCCAATCATTGGCTTTCGGAAAGGAATGGCAAGTTGAATGGCTGGTTATGGCCACTCGGTGGAACCTGTGTCAATATTGGATGTATCCCAAAAAAGTTAATGCACAAAGCGGCACAAATTGGAGAAACCATTTCTCGTGACGCTGCTGAATTTGGATGGAAAGCAAAGAGCGAGCAACATGATTGGAAAACTCTAGTTTCCAATGTACAAAACTATATCAAATCTCTGAATTTTGGATATCGAACAGCCATGACACATACATATGCTTTTGATGCCCAAGATTCATCACAAAAAAAGCTCTACTATCTCAACATGAAAGCCAAATTTATCAATGACCATACGCTGGAACTAACGGACCCAAGAAAGCAAACAACACGTACCATTACAGCCGATCAAATCATTATTAGTGTTGGAGGCGCTCCCAATATACCGAGCGATGTACCAGGTGCTAAAGAATATTGCATTACTTCAGATGATATTTTCTCGTTACGAGAGGCACCAGGAAAAACACTAGTGATCGGAGCTTCATATATTGCTTTAGAAACTGCATCATTTCTTAGAGGTCTTGGCTACGATAGCACTGTCATGATACGATCGATACCATTGAGAGGATTCGATCAAGAATGTGCTTGGAAAATTGTGGATGGTATGAAAGACAGAGGAACAAAATTTTTGGAGCGATGCATTCCTATCAAGATTGAAAAGCTCGACCAAGGAGAAGTTGGTGACGAATATTTGGTGCATTACAAAAATCTTGACAATGGAATGATTCAAACTGAAAAATTTAATACCGTCATGTTTGCTGTTGGACGAAGGGCTGTGACCTCTGAATTGAACATTTCGTTGGATATGGATGAAAATGGGAAAATTATTGTAAATGAACGAGAAGAAACATCAAAAAAACATATTTATGCTATTGGAGATTGTATCAATGTAAGTGAAAGTCGTTTGCAATTGTCTTGTCCAAGTGTTTACAAACAATTTTTAACAATTAATTGAAACTAATATCATTGCATTGACGTCATCCAAATGTATCAATGTTCACAATGATGTGACTTTTTCGAAACATGGCATTCTACATTCCATCACCTACACTTACTCAATTCACAGAGAAAAACCGAGCTCACACCAGTCGCTATTAAGGCTGGTACACTTTTAGCGAATCGACTTTGCTCTGCTGGAGAAGAACTGATGGACTATGACAATGTACCAACCACTATTTTCACACATCCCTATGAGTATGGTTGTTGTGGATTATCTGAAGAGGAGGCCATTGCTCGTTTTGGAGAAGATCAAATCGATGTGTACATTTCGAGCTATGCTCCTATTGAACATTCACTTGCTCATCGAGATGAGAACAAAACTTTTATGAAACTTATTTGTCACAAAACAAATGAAAATACTGAGAGAGTGATTGGATTTCATTATGTGGGAGACAATGCAGGTGAAATTACAATGGGAGTTGCAGTTGCTATGAAAAGTGGAGCAACCAAACAAAATTTTGATCATACCATTGGTATACATCCAACTGCTGCAGAAGAAATGACACTATTAACCATTACGAAACGATCTGGAAAATCTGCAGAAAAAGCAGGATGCTGAGGATAGCTCTCTACCACTGTGCATGTCAAGACCCGTACGTGGTTTTTTTTGTAATGTTGAACAATCTGTAGTTATGGGCTGAAGATCAGAAGGGAGGGGTTTTACAATGACAACCATCATGTAAAGGTGAACCTTTTAATCCTCTCTTGATATTTGAATTGTTGGGCAAGTGGTAGAGAAATATTTCATATTCTAATTTTCATGGTTACTTTTTGGAAACTTGCGTGACATTACACCGACAAACGTATCACTTTACCTAAATACGAGTCCATGTAATTGAAAAGAGTTTCCATCGTTTAAAATAAAATCATGTGAATTTGAAAATATATTTTGTCATTGAATATTCTTGTTATGTGAAATCAAGCTGAGTGTTTCCATGTTTATATATACCCTCAAAAGTGTTGGAAATAGCCATATAAAGTCCATTCCAAGCTTTTCTCATTTATTGCCCTCATTGCTGCAGAATGGAACTGACAAGGAGAAGGGATTATCATCTTCCTCCATAATGGAAATGGAGGGAGCAGAGGTGGAATTGAAAGGATCCGTAGTTGAAGAAAAAGTCCATCCTCCTTCGACGCCACCCAATTGATGACCCTCTGGTTCTTGAAAGGGATGATGTGACTCTCCAATGAGTGTGCTGTAACCTTTAGAAATCGATTGGTTTGGTGAATGATGATTGGAAAGGTCGTTATGTGTAGTGCTGTTGGTTGAGTTCTTGTGTGAGTGTCGATGATGATGGTGATGTTGTGCTTGTTGATGCATTTTGTTTGAAGCATCTAAAGAAAGAGATTTTTCTCTAATAAATATCGACCAAAATGGAAATTTTCTATATTGTTAATTTTTATCGCAATTTTTCTCTATGACACTTTGTCCAAATCGCAGTATGGAATTCCACTTACTCATTTCCATCAGCAGCTCAAAGCAATCCTAAAAATATGAAAGTCACTTTCAGTTCTGCTTCACCAACATCAAAGTGTGTTGTTCTTCACAGCAAGAGAACATTCATCGGGCATTGATGTTTGACTTGCTGATGAACCAGGAATTGTTAATAATTCTTCCTAAACACCTCTTTGAGATCATCACAACAAACACACAACACTACCAAGGTATGTTTTGCCAAAGTTATTGTTGATGTTTATTGTGAAGAGATCGATTTACACAAATCGGCAAATACAAGCCTCAACCCTTTTACCACAATAACAAATATAGGAGTCGCTGGGTTCGTGAACTTCTTCGAATTCATTTTCTTCTTCATTCGATTCAAACAAGTGATCAAAATCAGCATCATCAAAGCCATCTTCGCTTGAACATGACTCTTCATCATCGGCTTCAAAAGGGATGATATTCTTTGACGATGCCGAATCCATCTGCTCCTTTATGTAGTTATTCTGAAGTGAAAGGACATCAGGCTTATCATCTTTGCGATCATCTTCACGATCATCATATTGATGATCAAAAGAGTTGACGACCAGAGTCTCGACATCCAGCTCATAAGTATCCAGCTCATCAGCCAAAATGACTTGCCCCATGATTTTTGTCTTTTTAGAAATTGGTTGATGATGATTTTGGTTAAGATTTTCATCATCATCACTACCAAGTTCGGAGGTAGTGGTTTCGGTTGGAAAAAAGAAATCCAAATCTCGTTTCACGCCCATTCTTCTTCTTCTCAAGTTGCTATTAATAACAAACAACGAGTTGAAGAAAAAGGGATGATGAGAGAACAGACAGGCGAGATCAACAATTCAGAAGAGAAAGTTCAAGAGAAGTTGTTGATTTTTTTTGTTGTTGTTGCAAAAAAAATTATTTTTTGAAGAGCTTTTTTATTTTTATTTTAACGATCCGGGAATTCACGTGAAAACATGAGAATACAGGACACAGTAAAAGGAAGAAGAAGAATGGCTTAATTTTTTCAATTTTATTATGTTTAGGAAGATATATATTGAATTAGGGATACATCGAGTCAAATGCCTCTCCGACAAAGGATTGACATTCTTCTTGCGAATATATTGAATCTACAAAGGGTGACTCTTCAATTGGAACAAAGTCATCGAGTTGTGTTGATTCATCTCCATCAGAAGACAATCTCAGAAAGGGAGAATCATCTTCTGGAATGGATTCAACCTGTGTTGAAAGAAGTTCTCGTTCTAATTCTTTCTTTAAAGTTGTATCCAAATGAAAGGTTTTTTGTTTTTGAATCTTTGAGATTGGAATGATGTTTCTAAGAGATTCATCATTCGAATCTTGTTGTTGATGATTAGAATCGTTAGATGAAGCGTTAGAGTGGTTAGAATTTTTTGATGGTGTCATTGAGAATCAAAAGCAATGCAAAGAAGGGTTTGAGCAATTGCTGTCAAGTGTCGCAAAGAAACAGCTTGAAACTGTTGAAACGGAAAGAGAAGAACTGCTTGAATGCTGATTACAGGCACTCTTCAACAGAATGCCACTGTCGGTTTCGATGATGAAAAACCAACCAGTGAACGAGTGATGTCAATTTTTTTTAGAAATTTAAAATTAAACTCCGTGAAGAAATTGGGAGTTGTGTCATTTGACAATTCCCTCATGCTTGAGCCAAAGAAAACTCTCTCCAAGTGAGAATATCTCACTTTCATCTACGAACCAATTGTTTCACAAGTTCCTTCAACTCTTCCCATTTCTTTCTTACAGTTTCAGATAAATACTTTTTCAACCATTCATGAATGGGATCCACTTTCAATCTCTTTTCTTCTGTGGCACTGTACATAATGACACCCAATACCAAAATGACCAACGCCTCCAAATCCAGAACTGTCAAGTGTGATGAAGTGGCAGGACCTGCCAATACTGGAATCATAAATCCAACACTTGACAGAACCAATCGAAGTGCTGCTGAAATCACTGCCAAAGTACTTGATCCATATTTAAAAACAAATAACTTGGAAATATTAAAAGCTAAATTGAAACACATAAACACCAAAATGACCGCCCAAACGTATTCACATAAATCTCCTTTCATCGAATTAATTCCAGCAAAACACTGAAATCCATTTGCCAAATATTCACCAAATTGTGAAATATTAAAAGCCGAATAAGGAGCTGGAAATGGAATAAATGCAATTGGAAGTGTCATTAATCCAAAAAGTAAAGTGAACATCATGGTCCAAGTTTGCATGTACCAAACATCCATATCGACCTCTTTCTCAGTTTAGACATTCGAAGCAGCTCCCACAAGAGTTGATAAAACGACGAGAAGAGCCCAAAGGAGTTGTGACGATTCGTTTTTGTAGGTCCTCCCATGGATGAGGAATGAAGAAAGATGGGTAAGAGATCGAGTCCAATGCCAATCGCAACGAGTGTAATTCCACCGATATGTAAAATGTTGTAACGAACGGAAAGGAAAAGGAAGGAGAGAATGACATTGTTGATGATGATGGATTGGTTGAGAGCGACGTTTAAATCTCCATCACTTGGAACGACTTGAATGAGATTTGAAATGCAGGAAAGAAGTCCTAAAATTGCAAACTGGAATTAAATTATGAATCAGTTGTTCATCAAAGTGAAAATGTTTGAGTGTGAAATATCAACACTGTTTGAAATAATTACCTTTTTCAATGGAAATTTTCTCATTTCCTTTGTGATGGACTTGGTCACAAACATTTTAAACCAAACAATGGGCCACAACAGAACGCAAAACAAAATTGGTAAAAGGACTGAACTCAAAACGACTGAATAATTTTGCATTTGTGTGGAAATTCGAACAATGAGCACAAAATCAATACTTCTCGCAACGACCATAATGAAAGTAGAAATGAGAGTAATGAGAAGAGCCAGACGAATTGTAAATGGACGAGAGAGGACAGTAAAAGAAAGCTCTTTCTCAAATATTGAATGCTTCGTTGGTTCTTGTCCATTGACTTCTTTGGAAATGGCTTGAAAGGAATGATGGCTGTCACTTGCCAAATCCACCTCTTGACTTGGTTTCTTCAGAGGTTCTGAATCCTCTTCTTGAATGGAATGGCACTGAGCATGTATGAGATTTGTTGATTCCTCATTCACCAATTCTCCTCCTTTAAAGTATTTCTCAATTAAATTCATGAAAGAGTTTTTGGATGACATGATAATTGTTGAATAAAAGACGATGAAACTGTGGATTTCTATTGAAAGAATGCGTTTCTTGTTGTTGTTGCATGTGCTCAATTATGAATTTTTTTCTTTTGAGACTTATATTAAAAGATATAAATATTTTTTTACTGTTCTGAGGAATGAAAACTCCGGATTCTCCGTCTGATGTTCCAGCTCAGCTGAGAATTGTGGAATATTTATATTTGGAAAATTGACAATCTATTTGGAATTCAAAGTAGTTTCTCAGAATGATACTCCTATTAATTGAGCGAGAAATTACAACGAGAATTATTGCATGTGGGAAAATCGACAATCTCACACTCCGCCCTTCTTCTCAATAATTGCACTTGAGAATTTTGAGTAAAAACAGCATCCCTCCTTGGTTCATATTTTCAAAGTGGATTCAATTATTGTGATTCGACACAGAGTTCATAATTAAGGGTTTATGAATGAGCAATACTTCCAAAAAAACTCTTGTCAACTTCTAAACGAACCTTCATCTCATGTATTTAGTTCTCCTTTTCAAATCTTTATCAAAAAAAATGTTTCAATTGTTGATCGGAAGAAATTTGTTTCTTTTTGGATTCGTACTGATATTGGTGTGTTTACTTGAAAGAGAGGTACATCGGAAGGTGGTGGTTCATGCGTTTCCGATTTATGATTCCAATGTCATTGGTAGAGGAATATCAATCACCACCACCACAACCACTACCATTCAGACAACAAGAACAACAACAACCAATAATGAGATGGATTCATCCATGAGGAGATCAAGGCTCGGTGGAATTGCTGCTGGGAATGCCATTCCATACTTTGAAACGGAGTGTGGGTTTGTATTTTCATCAATTGAGAGGAATACGTATTTAAATACATTTGGGATCAACATGTAATATATGGAACTTTCAAATGATGATACAATTTCAATTCGGTGTTGGATTTACAACAACAACAATATTCATTACGGATCATGATGACCCATCCACGAATACGAACAAACATTTGGAAATATGATACAAATTTTGATGCTAATTGATTGAACGAACGAAATCTTCTCACTTTCCAGAACGAACTTTGAAGTGGGTCAACAAATTGGAGCTCATTTCAAAGATAGAATCCGATCTCTGTTATTCAACACTTCTCTTCCATTCCAGAAAGTCTATCTCCCTTTTTCGAAACAATTTCCAGAAGTCATTACACAACTATATCAAGTCAACAAGTTTTATTTTCCTGAATATATACAAGAGATTGAGGGTGTAGCGAGTGGAGTTAATGTCAGCTCTGAATGGATCTTTTTGTTGAATGTTGGAGTTGAAATTGAAAATGACATTTCAAATGCATCCATGACTATTCATTCCAAAAAGTGGTTGGACAAAATGCCATTTTTGGATAAACAATGCTCAGACATTTTTGTGTCAGTCGTAGACAATACAAACACGACGACCAATGCACAACATAGAATCGCTTTACTCGGTCACAATGAAGATGCATCTAGTTATAGCCAAAATTATGACTATATTGTGAAGAGTTGTATCAAATCAGACAAGTCCAAAGATCCTCTAATATTCACAGCATATCATTATGCAGGTCAGTTGCCAGGCAATGCATTTGGATGGAATGAATACATGGCCTTCTCTACCAATGCTCAATTTCCAACCATTGTTCGTCATGGAGGTCATGGAGTGGCACGCAATTTTGTGAATCGATTTGTATATGAATCGAAAAGCATTGAGCAAGCAAGTGGAGCGTTGAGAAAGTTTGGATTCATTCTCGCCTCTGGTTTTGCTTCAAATTTTGCTGCATTACCAACCAAAGATTCACCTCAATATGAAATGGCAGACATTGAAAGTGCTCCCATGATTACACAAGGAGTTTTGGAAATGGCGATTCACAAAGTAGCACCTGTGGTGGTTGACAATATTCACCCCACGTTTTACTTTCATTTAAATTCTTACAGAAATTTAAAGGTTCCTCAATATTTAGATCCTAGTAGTGTTCACAGACAATCACGAATGGAACAATTTTCAAGAAATAGTGTCACTACACCACAACAAGTGCTCGCCATTCTAGGTGACAATCATGATAAGGAATATCCTATTTATCGAAATGGAGCTCCTCCAGATACCGATGTTAAAACAGTGGCAACTGTTCTGTTCAATCTTGTGACAAGAGAAGTGAGCATTTATAATGAAAATCCAAAATATGACAAGCCTATTTATGTTTTCAAGAATTGGATGGATTTGAATGTAAACAGTCATTCATATTACCTTTCGTATGGTTCAAAAATTTATGATTTTGAAAATTGGACAAAACTCCATCTTCAAAAAAATGTACAGACATGATTGTTGAATTTTTTTAATTGGAATTCTTGTGGAAAGATTTTAAACCTCTCATAGATCATCATTCATTGATATTGTATCATCATATTTACAACAAGTAATTAATAGGAAATTATTTAAGTTACCTTTTTCATCCATTAATATTATTATTCCTTTCTTCATCATCTTTCATCATCGGACAAAAAACATTCTTGAAATGATACCCTCCCATACATTTCATAGATTGCAAAAACTCATTCATCATCTTGCTCCTCAAACCTCCCTTCCTTCTCATCCACTCCAACATGATGCAAAGCCTTCTTCTCAAATTCACCATCTTGCATCTTCCAACTATGATTTTTCATCATCACCCGAAGAAGCCATCATCATGGTTGATAACGAACGTGATTTCCATGATTTATCCAAAGCATTCCGAGAAGTATCATCTTTGATTCCTTCTCCAAAGATTATTATGGGAGATTTGACTCAATTTTTGAAAAGTGTTCAGAATGAAACAAACGACAAAATCAACAACAAACGAAATTTCAATGAAACACTCGATCACAACACTACTGCTGCTTATGTATTCAATGGTTCATCCATTGCTCAAAATTATACGAGCAGTAGTAATGACAACAAGCAGACCTTAGAATCAAATCATCATGATCATCGAAAAGAATTGAGTTCCACCTTTGGCATGAAGATACAAGGGACTCCACATTTTTCAACAGGTATCTCTATATCTGCTGACGCAGCTGAAGATGAGCTCGATATTCTCGTGAGGAGAGCCGAAGAAATGAGAATTCAAGAAGAATTGATTGAGAAAGGCACATTGAAACACGCCTCTGGAAAAATCTATGAAGTGGTGAAATACATTCCACATTTAATTGTTCCAACCTATGTTGAGGAAAGTACTCGAGCCGGAATGGAGAGTCGAGAACGACGACGACAGAGAATCAAGATTTTGTACGATGTGCAAACAACACGAGCTCAAACACCTGCGTTTCTAGATGTGTCACAAGATGATCCAAAAACACCTCTGGCCTTTCGATACATTCGAATTATTCTCACTACTGCTGAAGCTAGAAGAGCACAAGATATTCATCTCGATCAATACAGTGCGAATTGTATGAGCATTGTTTATGCCACTCAGTTGGGAGTGACTGGAAAATTAGTTCTCAAAGGAGCAGTCGTGCAATCCATTATTTACTATATTGCATTCTATGATTTGTTGAGCAGTGGAAAACCAATGCCAGGAGCTGTGAGAGATTACTCACTGAAAATTAAGGTTCGTTCGCATGATTTTTTGCAAGGCACTTTTAATGTCTATCGTGTGAATTGTATCCGAACGAACCATGAATTGGGACTCTATCATATTGTGATGAGAACTTTACAAAATTAGGTGCAAGCTATGAAATTTCACGCTAAAAAATTGAAAGAAATTTCTCTGCTTTTCGCCTAATTCACTCAAAACTCTCGAAATCATTAGAATCAAATTGCAAAATTTTCAAAAGCAATCTTGGTGTGTGAATGAGTTCGATTGTGACATCACTAGATTAGTGTGTTTGAATATCCCCAATAATGAATAGTCTCAAATTTGGAGCATTGACTCTCAACAAGTGTATACCTGAAATACTGATACATTTGATTCTTCCGCTCATAAGCGAACAAGATACTGTATTGATATTTCGAATGGAATTGTGATCAAGATCTTGACCATTCAAAATCAACGTTCTTATGGTGTGCACATTAATCGTGAAGGACCTATCTTGTGGGCTCAATTTCCCAATAAATTTCACATTTCCACAGTGTAATCCAAGATGCCTCAAAGATGTGCAACATGTTGCAAGTCGCTTGAGATTCTTATTTCCTCCATTTCATGGGCTTACTAGATTAGAGGTTTTGAATATTACTTGTAAAGGTTGGAACCAAGCTAGCTCGCTTCAAAAATTTATTTGAAATCATTTTATTGAAGGATGAAAGGGATTTGATGCTGCTGTCAAATAGCCATCAAAAATCTACAAATATGACCAATTTTCAACAATTAAAATAAAGGAAGGTAAAAACTCTAGTAAAATCTAGCATTCAGGTTGTACGAACATTTGTTTCAGCAATAATGAAAATTGAAATTAATTGCTTAATCCTTCTTGGTTCCCTTCTTCTTTTCTGCAGTTGTTGACTCTTTTTTCTTTGATTCCTTCGTCTTTGGTTTCTCTTCTTTTTCTTCCTCTTCTTCCTCAGCTGCTTCTTCCATTTCTACATCCTCTTCTTCCTCTTCCTCTGGTTCCTCTTCTTGCTTGTATTCTTCGTCCTTGGATTCGTCCATCGAACTTCCTTCTGATTTCACCTTCTTCTTGTGTGATCTTTCAGATTCCGCAAAATACTCTGTGTCATCAGCATTTGGATAAATCTTGTAGCCATTGGCTTCGATTGCATGTTCCACATCCTTGGCCTTGATGGTCACTCGATCGGCATAGACTGTATAGACTGCAGAACGATAGAGAACATCCTCCAAAATATCCATATAAATACCCTTTACCACATCATAGACATCCTTATTAATTCTAAGAGCACCTGCTTTCAATGCCATTCTTTGAATGGACTTGCTGTTAATAATCTTTGGATCCTCCGATGATCGTCTCTTTCCAACCTTACTCAATGTTGTTGTCTTTTTTGTCTTTTTCTTGCTCTCCTCTTTTGCAGGTTCTGTAGAAGCTGAAGCCTCGGCCGATGATGATGTTGGTGCCAATTCTGGCTCTTTACTTGCAACCTTTTTAGCTTTACCGGATTTTGATTTTCCTCCTTGAGAACTCTCTTTTCCAGAAGTACTTCCAGTACTGGTCTGAGAGGATGAAGTGGGTGTTGTTGTTATTGTTGCTGATGACGATGTACCAGCCGTGATGGCTTCTTCATCCTTGACCTCTTTCTTGGGTCCTTCAGCTTTTTTTTGGAGCGGCACGGAAGGCTTCTTTGGGGGCATTTTTTTTTTGAAGTTTTTTTTGAATTGACTTTCTTGATGTGTGACCACTAGGATATGATCAGTGAGGAAGCATGATGATGAATACAATGTTATTGACTACGAGTAAGGAAGAGAGAGCAGGATAAACAGATATTTTCATTGGAATGCCTCTCAATTTTAATACTATCTAAAGCGTTGTGGCGTTGCCTTTTCGATTCTGAGAGACCTGATAGAGATATTGAAGTCGGTTGAGAATTTTTTGTTCGAGTGCCGTATGGCTTACTTTCGGAATGTCATTGTTGACACTCGAGTCCTGTTTGTTGTTCTTGTTCGTTCTACCACTGTCACTACTTTGGTTTGAACTCTTTCCACTCTTGGTCGTCTTGTCTTGAACTTGTTTCAATAATTCTTGATAGTCATGAATGAGAGAGGTGAAATCATTTCTCGAGATGTAGGTATTTTGAAGAGACAATTCACGAATGCTTAATCGGAGAAATTGTAATTCTAAATTCGAGGGATCTTCTTTCAAGAGTTGTTCCAATTTGGGAGTTGCTTCTTGCAATCGTTTGAGCATGTGCATTCCTGCCACATAAAACGATGCTGCTTTCACAACATTTGGTTCATGCTCTTCAAATAAATATCTCAATGAAAAGAGAGTTTCAAATGTTTCACAACAGGAAGTCGCATTACGAGCATAAAAATAAGCTCTTGCTTTCAAAAAAAGGAATTGATTCAACATGTTATTGGTGAGAAGGAGAGGGTTTTTAGGAAAGAGCAATTTTTCCAATTTTCCCAATTCCATTAACAGTTGATTCACACTGCTTTGAATTTTCGGTGTGAGTTGAGATCGTGAGAATAAATCAATTTGCATGCTATAGATGTGGGCTTTTCGGAGAGGAGTTGGTAAGAATGGAGTGAATCCAGAGGTCAGATAAGGTAATTGATCTTTCCGTGTTTGTGGTGGTGAGTGTTCTTTGAGAATATTCTCTAATTTCTCAATTAGAGAGAGTTCAGATTGAAGAGCGTTCTCAACTTGATACACATTCTTGTCAAAATCTTGCATCATTAAGAACTTTGCCTTCTTTTCCAATACCAAGCAATGAAAGTATAAAATATAAGGATTATGTGGATCTGTTTTCAATAATTCTGTCAATTGAGATTCTGTAATGGTATAGGATTGTTCGTTTCGCGGATTAAAATTAAAAATTATTCGACACAAATTCATGCATGATTTCACATGGATGGGTATGTCAGTACTCACATCGAGCACCGTCGAAGTGTCTCGTCTGTGATGAATGAGAGGCTTTGTTGTTGTGATGGTAGATTGTTGTTGTTTCAACATGTCATCATATTTTTGTTGCACATGTTTCCACATTCTCAGTAACATGGTCTTTTCAGACATGTCATCACTCATCATTACATGTTCATTGAATAGTACTGAATAACAATATCCTGCAAAAACAGAAATATTGAGAGGAATATTTGTTTCATTCTTTTCCTTAATTGCCTCACCAAAGAAAAGAAGTAGATGTTTTTGAATATCAAATTGCACCAATATTGAATGTGAAATGTAGTCGGACCATGGTTTCATGTTCATGATGATGCTGTTGACGACTTTGTCAATCATTACAACAACAAGAAAATGACTTGAATCGATAGAGGTTGAATGAGTTTCGAATTCACCGCTGAAATTAACTTTAAATTCAGTAGTATTTCTTTCGATATCAGTAGAGGTTGAATTATCATCAACATTAAACAGACTGGGATGTTTTTTCTTAATCATTTCTGCGAGAGTGTGCGAAATTTCAAAATGTTTTTCCTTCAATTGTTCTCTCCATTCTGATGTATCGAAATGCCAAGCTTGCACCATGGATTTAATAACCTTCTCCAAAAGTGGCAATAATTCATCAAGCACATACACTGCATGATTTGGTTCCATTTTGAAATTTTTCATGACATTCATGAGATAAATTCCAGCTTGCGCCTTTTCGTTATTCATCAACAAGTGGTTGGCATGTGCTAAATGATTTTTCAAGTCGGATTTAATTTTGATGATGGATTCTCTCGTTGCAGGATCCAAAGATTCCACAGATTCGACATGAATGTCTTGTTGTTGCTTTGAAAAAGCCTCATGCTCCGAATTAAAGAGTGTTTTCAATTGTTGGTCGGGTGTGATATTTTGTGTTATTTTCGCATTATTGTCCTCTTCATGACGAGAGTTTAGTTGTTGATTTTGTTTGCAAGTCGATGACATTGTAGTTTTTGATTTTTGGTTTAATTTTGAAAATACATCAACGGAACTATTTCTCATTTGGTTCGTCTGAAAATACCTCTCCGATCGATTATTTCCATTGAAATGATTTAAATTTGATTTGAACATGTTGGAAAGGAGGCTCCGATTTCTGGGAGCAAGTGAATGGGCTGAAAGTCGCCCCAAAGAAGACGTGAACATTTTTTTTCAAATCATCGCGACACCTTTCACTGCTTGGTTGGCATAATTTTTACAACACACACATAAATCAATTCATGTTTACGTATGCAAATTACCCAAACTGAGGTGATATATTGTGTAAAAAGACTTGATTAATTCGATGATGCCAAATCACTCAAACTCTTGTACACTGCATATTTGAAATAAATCAAAGAAAAACTTTCACCAACTCCTAATAAGGCTCCCTTATACAAGCTTTTCAAATTCTCTCTCTTAGTATGAGGAACGTGGCCGCTACCAAAATACATTTGATGTTTGTACAAGGCTTCCAGTGGTGACATCACCACCTTAGCAAGACCCAACGACAAAGATTGAGCAAATCTCTCAGCATACAAGCTACTGGCTGTGTCGAATGGCAGGTACTTGCTAACCAAATTATCGTATATCACGCCCGATAAACTCTCTTCAACCACACCATACAAGCAAAAAGTTCCGACTGAAATGAGCCAATTGGCCCAAGTTTCACCACCAGGACACGCCGATTGTGCTCCAATACATCCACCATAACCATTCACTACATTTCTCACTCTCTTTGCAACTAGAGGATACATGATGACATCGCTCACCATGCTTGTTGCGGCACTGGGAATTTGTAAATTCAATTTGTTGGCAATTGAGTTCAAGCCAACACGGAGGAAAAATCCTGAAAACTGAATACACAATTCTTCACCTAATCCCATAAACCAAGGAGGTGGTAGAGCAATATGACGATCCGATATTAATTGAGCAGAGAATTGTTCCCGAGTTTTCATATTTTGCATCGGAACGAGTAATATTCCCTTTGCAACCAGGAACGAGATGATGCCTGAGGCAGCATGAAGGCCAATGTAAGCCTTGCTTTGTGAAGCACTTTCAATGATGACGGAAGACTCTTGTCCTGTATGTATGATTGAGTATTATGTTTTTTCAAAAAAATGTTCGTTATACAATTTAACGCCAAGGTGGAATTCATTTGATATGCAACATTCCGATTTGGTTCAAATCAACCATAATGATGATGGATGAACGGATCGTTAAAGATCATTTCAATGAATTTTCGTTGTTGGCACCAACACACAGTAAACCTACCATGCGAAGACATTTTTTTTGAATTTGCCTTAAGCTTGAAAATGAACTAAATTTGTACTTGATTTCATCGTGTATTCGCCCTTTATCCCGATCTTTGCGATCATATCTCCCGTTTGTTCTTTTTATTCCAAAAAACATTTTGTTTTAATATCAAAATAACTCGTAACATCGTTGTCGACATGTTTATGCATTGCAGTGGTTAATGTGACCTATAATCGCGAGGGAATAAGGAGCTATTTCCATCCTCTTTTGAAATGAACTCAATAGGATCCAAATTGTTTTTATGATCTGAGTCATGGAATGTAATTTATGTGTAGTATTCAAAGAATTTCTGTTCAAAGCAGATATGGTTTCGCATAGGTCTTTTTCTGCCCTCATTGATTACCATGAAAGTGCTGAGGATCCAATGAATTCTTAGTGAAATAATGGTTCATTAAGTTAATTAATAAATGGTATGAATATTCGTTATATACTCTAGGTATGCAACAAATTGTTTAAAATGGTAAAATTAATAATTTCAAAATAGTTTTTCAGTGTCAAAGTGAAATTTGTACTCCTCCCTAATACTCAAAATGTTCGGAAAATAGGGACATGAATTGTTCCTTTGAAATTGTTCCAGTCTTTGCAAAATCAATTTCGTAAAACATTTCTTCAAATATAGGTGTGGGTAAAAATTCTCCAACCTTTTCCATCGAAACACGTAATGATTCCATGGTCATATAACCAGGTTTTGTTTTATCCTCAAAGATTGTAAATAATTCATTCAAATCTTGAAAAAGTTTCTGATGTTCCTTGTTCACATCTTCGTCATCATTGATGGCATCAAGTTCCTTATTTTGTAATTCAATAGTTTTTAATCGTTCTCCAACATCTGGATATTCTCTCTGTACTGCATATGCCACAAAGGCAATAAATTCTGGTAAATCAAAGGCATATCGATATTCAACGTATTGATTAGCCCTTTTCAATTTTCGATTTGAGAGGAGAGGTGATTGTAAAGTAGCCGTACTACTAGCAGACATGGTTGAAACTCGTTGTTGATCATCATCTTGATTGCTCACCTTTTCCGATTTCAACACAATTTCATTATTTTCAAAATCAGCATCATGACTCTCATCAACACTTGAATCATCATCTCTGAATTGTTTGCTTGAATGATGATGATGATTACGAGGAATATTCACCGAAGAGTTATATCCTTCATACAAGGAATTCAATACGGAGCGATCCAAAGCCTTCACTTCATTGATCAGATCCTCCAAATCGGAAGGATCAATTCGCACTCTCAGTGCCTGTAAAACAATTTCTAAATCTTTGGCCGTTACATATCCTTTAGATTCCGAGTCGAGAAGAGAAAAGGCGTGTCTGCATTGTTGCACCGTGCTTGAGGGAAGGGCAAACATGGGTTCGTTTTTTTGGATTTTCAAAAAATAAT